GATCTTTCCGACATCCATGAGAATGGGGTCCATCACCTATACTCAGTTTCCAAACCACGCTCCGGACCGCAGTGGAGCAGAGAAGCCAGCAGTATGAGAACATCTATTCAATCGCTGTGAGATGGGAGCTGGATGATACAAATGCCCACGAAGATACAGAGCGCTTCCAAGATATGCTACAGAGCCTCGATACTGGACCAGCTGAAGTTTTGGTTCTTCGGTCCGATGATAAAATGCCTGAATTCACATTGGTAAGGGCTTGGATCAATTTTTCCACCCAAGCGAGACTCACCCCGGAACGCAGCTTGATAATCTTCATTATGCAGGCCATGGAGCATCTAAGGACGGGTCTTTTACCATTACGGATAACAGGATGGAATCCAAGACCATCAATTTCCAAAATACTATCCTCGATGAGGTCAAGAACCCGGCCAGATTCATTAATACTGATTTTCTGTTCATCTTTGATTGCTGTTTTGCTCATTACGCAACTCGAGCACCAGAGACTACTCGAAATATTATTGAGATTCTTGCAGCAACAAGCTCAGAGACAGTTGAAGCAAGAGGCGCAGCAGATAACACCTTCACTGCAAAGCTGGCTAACGAGATTGCTCGCAGGCAGAGAGCGAATCATGACAGTGTTGATTTTGCTAGCGTATTCCAAAGCATTCGCGCTCGATCGACGGTTAGGGTGACACCCACGCATGCCTTGCTGGTTGGTGCAGCTTCAGTTACTTTACCACTGAACGGACATAAATTGGTAGACCCGCAAGCTATCCCTGCGGATTACACGGCTCTTTTCAGTGTCAATGTCTCAAGGGATGTCACAGCTCAAGATATGAAAGAGCTCGTCGCATGGATGCGGGGGCTACCACCGTTTGCGGGATTAAAGATAGAGAGTGTCTATCGCACTCAATCAACGTGCTTTATCCTGCATGCTGCACTTTCAGTCTACGCCAAGTTACACAGTATGCAAGGATACACTCTGATTGCAGAAAATCCTGGTCCGCGGCTAAATCATCTTCTGCAACTTGAGCCGTCCGAAGAACCTACTCAATCGCATGTACACTTGAGGATATGTTGACCTGTGTACGTTTATTCTTGTTGAAATGCATACATACTAAGAAAACACAAAAAACAAGCTAGATAGAGAGAGAGAGAGAGAGAGAGAGAGAGAGAAGAAGAAGACAGTACAGTATATTATCTACCATGGAAGATCTATGTTTTCTCCGCAAGTGTCAATTAGAGGCATCTAAAGAGTATACCAAGAACGAGACAAAGCTCTTTGAGCAGTCATATAAGTCGTTCCCTTTTTCACTTGCATCGGAACTAACAGAAGAGTTCCGACCCTCTGGATCCAGATATCCAGATCCATCTTATATAGGACTGCCGGTAAATTTACGTCATAACGATAGTTGCTTGTTAATGCACAGGTTTTACATATTATTCTACAGAGCTCATAAAAGGAAAGATAAAATCAAAGGGGAGGTTGCGTGGCCATACAACTCAACTCAGAATGCAGGAATATCTAAGCGAGCCGCTGCCGACGCCGAACGACATCCCGCAGGGCTCGCCTATCGCGCCTATCCTATTTCTGTTGTTTAACGCCCCTCTCCTCCGGGCCTGCTCTTTGAAGGCGCAGGAGAGTGACTGTTGCAGCTGCGGGGATGGGTCCCAGACTTCGAAGGACGTGCTTTTAGAATGCACCCGCTTTGTAGAGCTGCGCAATCAGATATCTGATTAAATTACCGCATGCATGGATCTGTGGGCTAAGATGACTGATTATAATTCGCTTACATTAGACCCGCAGGCGATACCTAATATTGCTGAACTTATATTATAAACAGGCTTGCTCAGGTCATTTAGTCAAGTTAAGCTTGATCCTGATCCTGATCCTGATTAAAGCCAGGAATACGTAGATCTCAGGGCTATGGGTATAGATGCTGGAGATGCTGGATAGAAGAAACTAAATATATCCTGGATTAAGTTATCTAGAAAAAGATATATAACCAGAAGAAATGAATATATTAGAAGCAAGCATATGGGAGAAGAATAGAGAAAATAGACTTACAGATAACTAGTCAGCCAGTTACAATACTTATCTATATATTTATATTACTGTATAACTTCTTCTGCTTTATCTCTGCTGTTTTCTCTAGTTATATCAAGCTACAGCGAAATCTTCCTACGGTGTAGCATGCATTGTTTAATGTCTTTACTGCGATTTTGAGATATTTAACGGCGTTTGGGATCATATTCCTGCTTTAAACGGTAAAGCGCCTGCATAGCTAGCATCTTAGATAGCGGGCTTGATCAGGTGTTATACATGTATGATCCTACTTGTGCAATTCCGCTCTCATAGCAACTTCAACCATCCTCGACCATAATGCCCTCCATTAAACAACTAAGAACTAAGAATTCTACGCATCCTTCTCATCCGGCCGTCTAATCTTCTGAAAATCCCCCGTATGGTATAAAACCTCCGGCTCAAGCACCTGAATTCGCCACTGCCCATCCACCTTAACATACGTCTGCTGCATCCAGCTCCTCCCATCTGACGTTTCATCGATCTTGCACAGAACAGGGCGTGTCTTATCCTGGCCTTCAACCCACCGTCCGTGGCTCGCTAGTTGCTGCCATTGTACGACGATTTTCTCCTCCGATGCGAACTTGAAGTATGGTGCTCCGAGGAGATGCTGCGTCGCCAGAGCCTTGTTGCCGAGGTTTGTTGGGTTCAGCCATTTCTCCACAAAGTCGTCGGCTTCGTAGGTCTCCCGGGTGACGTGGGGAAGGACTTTGTTGTAGTCGACTATGACGGTGGGGGCGAGGGCGGCGCGGAGGCGGGTTTTATCCTGAATTCAAAGAATGTCAGTCGTTTGTACTCTGATGGTATTGTGATAAGCTGGAAGTGAATCATTAGAAAACACTAGTCTTTACCTTGCGATCATACCCATCAGCAAATGTGCGCGCACATTGGCAGATGGCGATGTAATCCTGGAAGGTGAGGGAGGAGGGAATGTATATTTCGAATGTCATTTTCTTGTTCAGGGTCAGATGGATTTAATCTTGATGATTACAAAATGGCGGATTTCGTTGTTTTTCAGGAATGACATGAAGGAGGCTCTCACTCAAAGAACCATCTAAATAATCACCTGATGTTGTCCACGTCGGGCATTGAGGAGGGAAGAGGCGGGGCTTGCAGCTGAGCTTGGCCTTCCTTTAAAGTGCATGTTTCGGCTCCATCATCGTGTTTGTCGGGTACTCCTGCGTTTAATGCATTTGACAACCAACGAATGAGATAGAAACATAGCTCTAGCTCTATGCATAATGAATCGTAATGTCTTCTACCTAGTCCTCCTGGAGATCTTTATCACTCTATCCCACGTGACCCGACACATTCTTATGATGATAGGTCAGCATGGTATACTATAAAGTACATGAAAATAATACACAGCCATAAGAAGTTCTCCTTCATGGTCCGTGAGGTATAGCGCACGGCTCGATCCGGCTACGTGCGTGGATGGTGGACCGAGCACCAGCGTTCGTCCCGAGAAGTTACCTTATCATCGATGTCGACAGTATACGATCAGCATTTCTTAGCGGGAATGTCTTTGATGGGTCTAATGGTCCAGAGATAATAGGGAATGGAAGAAACAAATGGGAGGGCACCCAAATCCAATGTTTCACCAGTTTTGAAGATAGACTTCTACGACACAACACCCGCATACTGATAAGCTGATAAATAGAAATTGTCTCATACCTCCTTACTACCCTATCCAGCTGTCGGCCTCGCAAGGCAAAACTACGGTACTCATCACAGATTCTGGAAACACGCCGCTGCATCGGCCTCGCTGAACACGCATTGCGAGTCTCTGCGGGTGAATGTTAAGGATCAAGAGAGCGGGTGGTGGTGGTGGGGTTAACAAGGCTGAGGTTGAGCTTGGTTGAGATGAGTAGAAGCAGCAGGATGCTGTGAAGACGATGCACAAGGCCTCCTCTCTCGATATTTACTTTCCACACCATAGTCGTCGCAAGTTCTGGACCCCCATAAACTCGTGGGTAGTCTTCACTCGGGCCTCGAAAGCATCCGACACTCAAGTGACGCCAGGTTTCCCGCCACAGTCATAGATATAATTTTCATCTCGACGGTGTCTCTACATACAAGCATAGTAAACAACGTAACCTTCTAGATACATTTGAGATTCTATATAGATGTACGATCGTTGGGTCGAACTTGAAGGTGAACACCCACGAGGGAGCTTCAAGTCCATACCCCGATCGCAACCCCCCGGGGATTTACTTGATCTGTTCACCACTCATCTTTCGTTGTTTTCATAGGTATGGAACAGCTACCGGGTCCTCACGTCCTGGTGGGAAACTGTCTGACATTCAGCTCGCTGAGGTCGGTACGCTTCGCCTCCAACAACCGACACACATCGTCAAGTTGTGCCTTCAAGCCATTGATCTCCTGCTGTTGCAGGAGCAACGACTCCCGGCACACGACCAGATGGGAGCCTTGATCTTTGGCAATAGACTCGAGGACCTTGACAATGCGCTCTTGAGATGAGGATGGAATGGGTGTGAATTGCCGAATAATGTAACGCAGTAGGATTTCAAGGTCGGGACGGAGCGCCCCAACCCAAGTACCCAGCGTTCCCAGAATAGAGATGATATCTGCAGAACCCATAATGTCAAAAGCTTGGACACGTACGGAAGTACTAGCTGATAACGTTCAGAATTGAGTTCCGTGGAGAGAGGAGAGGAAAACTAAGACGAACATGGGGGGCATGCGGAAGATACTCGTTGGCCTTCGCCATGGGTAGTTTCCATTCTGGGCAGGAGCGAGGTTCTTTCTGGACTTGGTGATTGTCCATGGGAGCAGGGGGAACATTTGAAAAGGAGCTCTGAGCCTTTTATTGTGATAGAACAATCTTGCTTAGGAGCTTGGCTAGCGTTGTTTTTCAACTAGCGATGGAATAGATAGTACATAGATCCCGAGTACCTCCACATTGCCCAACGGTATCGTCTCGCCATCAAGTATGATCTGTTTCGCGGTGTAAGGTCACTGGATTGATCAGAGGTTCCACAAAACAGTCGACGCACCTCCCCCGTGCTCGACATGGCGTCAGCACGCTCGTATATAGGTTCTATCATGGAATTAAAAGTAGCTTTCTTCCACTTCGGATCCTCAATATCCATTCCAGCTCCAAGGTCTAGCCATTTGGTGATTACCACTGCCTTTCCATCCCCGCCACAGTCTCGAAGGGCAATCTGGAACTCCACTCCACAATGAGAGCACCGCATATACCCCTCTGCGATGGATGCCTCATCCCAGCAGAATCCCCGTTGCCGAATGGCAGATTGGATAACATCCCCAATCTTCCCACGCCCAGCACTTAGCCAGTTGCAAACACTCAACTTGGCGAGTACTGAAATAAGAACGTCGAGGTCGTTATCCGAGACCATCTCTAGATCATGAAAGAGAACCCAGTGCTGTGGTTGCAGCACTAGCGATGGAATTTGGCGAGCTCCGGCAGGTGTACAGACGCGTCCTTCCACTGATAGCAGTGTCGTTATTGCGGGTTGTTGAGGATAATCAACCACCTCGGTGTAGGCCAAGGACTCTGCGTTGATGCCGTATCGGCCGCCACATTTGTAGTTCTGCAGGACAGCGGCCAGGTGGCAGTGACGGAAGTCGTAATGGGTGGGTAGGCAGTGGACAGATACTATCCACCTAATCCAAGGTTGTGGACCATTTTCGTGTAATATTCCTAGGTCTGGGCACGCATGGTGAAGAATTCTAGAACTTGCTGGATGGAGGACGTCAGTGATAGGATGCAACTTGGCGCAGTAGTGGCAGCAGAACATTCGGGGGGAGTCTCGGATCAGCCTTGTCAGGACTAAAAGCGCTAGGGACCTGTCTCGGGTTTGCTTGAGGTCGTAAAAGCTTGTTGTGAAATGGTTCAGTGTTCGGCTGCATAGCCTGAGGCAGATAATGTCAGCGGTTGTGAGGAAGTTATTGATGTGGAGTAATAGTTCGCGAGGAAGGAGTTCCAGGTTCGAAAGCTGCTTTTGGCGTGGGTTTTGTGAAAACAGACGAACGATCCAGTCTATTATGGTCATCTTGAAAGTGCAGAGTGGTTGTCCAAGAAAGGTTGGAAAATTTCTGGGTGTAACAGTCCCTGGACCGTCATGTCATCGGCATAGGCGGAACATAACCCACGGTACCTACACGTGGTCTCCTGCCTATTTCTCGCAATTTGGAAACTGCGCTAGATCTCAAAGGGGTGCGAGGAATCTTGTTCTTCTTGCCTAGAGACAAAAACGCAAACAACATAAACGGTTTCCTTGTGGTCGCATACCCGACTAGTCCATTCCCAGCGTGGTTCAATCATGACTTGCGTAGATATTATATAGGTGAGTCATAGTATTCAGGTGTATATGCTACCGAGCAGGCAAATTTAGGTGAGAAAAGTGTGAATATAAGGGCTCTACTCGGGGTGGAAGGTGAAGGTTATGTCGGACAAGACTGATTAGGTGCTTACTAGCGATTCATAGGAAGCGAAGCGAGCACGAAGATGACTGGCCTTCCCCTTCCAGCCTGATCTCGCTACTTGCCAAGCCAGTCGGCATTTCCGAGGGTGTCAAATCCACTCAGGGTGTGTTGGACCCGCCAAATAAGATTCGCTAAAGCCACAGCCTCGCCAACCCGTCCCTGAGTGATCCACTCAGCTGAGAGAGGCTCATCCGCGCATCCTGGCCGAAGTTTATGCTCCAGAACACCGGACTCTTTTGGGACTCAGCGACGTGAGGCTTGTAAATCATAAGAGTAGATAGACCCTGCATATCCGTCCCCAGTCTCTTTTTCTTTCTTGTGTAACTGACTCTAATAGTCAAGTCACATCATGGGGTCCGATGACACCGCTTTACGCGGAGAATATATTCCGTTTCAGACTATGAACGATGATGACAATTCGGCCGATTATTCACATAGAACGTCCCGCCCCTTATCCCGAAGCCTGAAGCACCTGGTCCCGATTGTTCTACTATATTGTTCGCTCCTCATCTTCTCATGGACCGTGACGTGCATTCTTACCCACCGGCCTCTCCTCTATCACCATTCAACGCCGACATGGGAAAGCGCGCGACAGCTGACCTGCGCGTCTCAAACGGTCCTGGGCGTCACCGACTCGGACGCAAGAGCAACATTTTCTTGCAGTCAAAGGGAAGTGACCAAGGTCACCCTCACCGCTGCGGTTATTGCTGCTACACGCCGCTGGAGGTTGGCCGCTCGGGTCATCAACTCCGTCATGGCGGTCCTAACCATCCCGTTCTCTTCGTTTATTGCCGCCCGCGCCGCTATAGTTTACGGCCAGGCTGCTGGGAATAAACGGACATTCAGTCTTCGGAAACTACTTGCGGTGGCTGATCGAGGATGGTGGAATCCCTTCATCCTTGCCCGACTGTTTTCTGCTGGGGGTCGGCGGCGGTTGGGCAGTCCGCTCCTGTACTATGCATTTCTTGTTTGCGCTTTAGGTATGAGACATGATGATAGTATGTGGGCCTTGCTGATAAAAAATTGCTTAGGTGGTCTAAATTGGCCGTTACAGCAACTGCTCGTGTCTGAAGTCACCATCTTGGTAGAGAGTTTACCATCCAAGGTCACGCCGCTGGTTTCTGACGCCGACATCACCGGCTTGTCTCAAGTGAAGTCAATCGAGACGGTTGGGGATACTAGGCCATTGATCCACTACGCTACTCAGTACGACTCTCAGCCTAATATCTGGCGGACACCTGACTCGATCTGTAATGCATCTATGAGCTGGGCATATTCTTGTGTGGGTAACTCGGACCAAGCCGGAACTGCTACGCATTTCAATTCCCTCCGCGGCAACAGTTCATTTGTCTCCGTCCCTGTCAATTCCGCCACGACGGGAATAATCAGCAATCATGCCTTTCGATTTAATACGTCAGTTGCCTCAGAAGAAGTGTCAGAAGAGGCCTATCCCGACAACTGCGGCGGACCAGGGTCTTTTTCTGCCTCAACGCTTGCCAATTTGTCGGCTTTGGATGCTTCCTACGGTGTCCCGAGCTCTGCCAACGGCATGATGGAGGTAAAGGTGTGCGCGCTGGGCGATCTGCAGACTTTCCCGTGGAACCTCACCCGGAACCGCCAGGATATTGCCGAGGAAGCATACATTCACTTCAATTCGGTGGCCATGAGCTTCCTCACCAATGGATCCCGGATAGCCAGCTGGACACAGCGCATTCGTGCGAATACGACGGCGGGTTATTTCATGCTCCCCAATTATATGAACAACTACCAGACAGGGCCCTTGTTAGAGACATTCGATCTTGCAACTAGTTTTGATCCGGAGAATGTCATTGTGGATCAGAAGGAGAGTACGGATGTGCGAGCTTTTGATAACTCACATGTTCTGGGGTAAAGACCCACAATTATTTTTGTCGTGATGATCTTCTAACATGGCTTAGATATGGTTATCCCGACCCCACTCCCGTCAGTTCACCAGCTCTTGGCCCTTTGCTCACAGCCACCAAGGCCCTCTTTGGCCCGTCCACCTTCTTCGCCAATCGCGCCAACTCAACGCCTACTCTACCGAACATTACTTCCTTGTCGTTAGACGAGTGTTCCGAGCCAGTTCCATTTACATATCTCTCCAACACCAACACCGAAGATACTACCTCCTGGCGATACGCGACTCTTAAGCCCTGTGCCTCGGACACCAACTCCACCTACTTCAACGACCTGGCCGCCTGGCTTGGTCAGCTCTTTGCGAACTATGACGACCCTCAGACCACGTCTGTCTTCACCCAAGGAGCCTTCTTTGCCAACAAGGCCAATCTGGGCCGCGCCTCCACTCAGCAAGCTTACCGCCGGATCCTCCTCAAGGATGACGGAACCTCTGTCGAGATTTTTGCGATTCGACCATGGGCGATCGCATTCCTTTCTACCGTCATCGGCCTGCATCTTGTCGGACTCGTGATTTTGGCCTTCTATGCGGGGTTGCACCCGACGTGGACGGAGTCCTTTGATGCGTTTGCCATGCTGAGGATCGGGGCCCAGCTAGCAGAGCGGAAGGATGTGAGAGCTCAAATGCCGCTGCTGGGGAATGCGCAGTAAGTTGCTTGCTAGTTAATGGTAATTCAGCGACTAACACGAGTGGCTTTAGAATGGAAGATACTGCCATCTTGGACTGTACGAACGGAATTATTGGGGAGGATATCGGTGCAGTGGAGACTGAGAATGTCGGCCGCCTGGTAGTTGGTGGACAGGGACAGGTGAAAAAGGGCAAACGCTACCTCGTGTTTCAGTAGCCATGCTCCACTGTGTGGAATTCATCCTCTCTCCCAATATGCAGCATATTCTCAACGACAGCTTTAGCCAACCACTATGGGTGCGCTGATCAACGAAGCCGCGTATCAGTTTGTGTATGTTACACTACTATGCGTGCGTGGCCCAGTCATCCATGAAGCAACCTGGACGTCATCATGTCCCTTGTCTCTCACCAGAACGGCCCGAGACAGGCAGTGAGTTGCTTCATTCATGCGCCATTACGCATTGAAACCGAAATCCATCCAGGGATCGCATCCATGCACCAAATATCGACAGACTCTCGGAAGAATCTGTCTAGGCCCATTAACCAACTTCCGCATCGGCAGTATAATATCATCACATCAGGGGAGGAATCAATACTGGGAAGCTATTGATAAAAAGGAGGCAGTGGAGAGCATCAAAGGTTTTCTCGAACTTTCATATAGACATCTTCAATAGAAGCATTTCTCCATTTCAAACCACACGCCATTGATGTGATGCTCTAGAAACAGGCGGATTCACTGTACCACGCATTGGTCGCATATGAGTTGCTTTTTCGTCACTGGCTATTTTTCCAAATCGGAAGTATTTCTCACGATCGCTCATTGAATCGCCATTCTTACTCCTCCACACTAGTGCTTATACCCTACCCCGATCCAGTTCATCAATTAATGCCCATCGACTCCCCTGTGTCCTTCGATTCTCCGTCCGTGCATAATCCTTTTAGTCAAGTTCCTTCTTCGTTGCTCTTCCTCCTCATGCTAAACGTGAACGATAGACGAATACCAATATTCTTTTCCCTCTCATGCGCAACAGAAAAAAAAGAGAAATAATAAAAATAATAATAATAATAATAAAAATAATAATAATAATAATAATAATAATAATAATAATAATAATAATAATAATAATAATAATAATAATAATAATAATAATAATAATAATAATAATAATAATAATAATAATAATAATAATAAAAATAATAATAATAATAATATTGGAGAATAGGGACAGGAAAAAGTAAAGATAGAAAAAAGAAAAGCATGAAAAGATAAATGCACGCCACAAAAGGCAAGGAGACCAAGCAACTTAGACAGAACTGAGTTCTGGCCCCCACGGCCCACCGCATGTTCTCCACAGGGCCATAAACCGCCGCACCAAAATCGGTCTTCCAGCAGGTCCTACTCCGTATCCGAGCTCCGTTTCCCCGTGCCAACTCATCCCTGATCGGCAGAAGATGAAACAACTTCCCAACCAGTTCTAGCTCTACCACAGCCACAACTGATGTATCAAGGTTTACCTTACTGCATGAAAAGAATATTCAGCCTCAATGCCTATTCTGCTTTTGTTCATCTATCTCAAAGCCATTTGCTATTAGGATATTGCCCCGTAGCATTATCCTCATGCAACAGCATTGCCCTGCATCATGTGCTTTCGTCCAACTAGTGCTTCGCCTACAGCACATATCATGACCTTCTCAAGTCAATATGTAACTATGTGAAGTACCAAAAGCTGATGTAAGCAGTGACGGTGGCTATACCATCGATATATTCCCACCTGAAGAAAATCAAGGTGAAGCTGCAGATCGGTTCATCAAATGATATGGGACGCTTTTCGGTAGAATCCACTTCGTCTTCAGGAAGCACTTCGAGGAATCTTCGTGTCAGCGTCTGTCATAGGTTCTCATTGGAAGAGACATGACTTGATTGTATGGCACATTCTCGCCCGCTATTTTGAAGGATGGGTAGCCCTTGCATGATGCTGATGGTTGCACATGATAAGCATGTGTCTATGGTTACATCTGTCTGTTGCCTCTTAAAGAGGGGTTGAAGGTCAATAAGGAACAGACAACCGACGCCACTGGATTGGGGAAGTCATACGACGCTACCACCTGTGACACGCGGCTCCAAGACGTAGAAGTCAAGGTTCGATATGTGAGGGGCTATTAGTGATTCTTCACTAACTTCATAGGTGACACTTCAATGTCCAATCATGGCAACCACGGGATTTCGACAGTCATAATACCAAACGGTTGGTGGAAGGACATGCTGGACAGAGTAACCGTAAAGGAGTCTTAACTGGGCTGCGTGATGTGAACCGAGTCAAGTCTTTCATTGAACCAAGATGCCATACGTGGAGGTCACCCGCCAACAGATTCTTCGACCAGGCTAGCATTGTACGTCTCAGGATAATGCAGTCAGGATCCTCGCGTAAGCGGGCGTATCCTTATGCTCGTGATAACCTTCTACGACCATCTGCAAGGGGTAGGACGCACCCCGCTCTTCGCCAGCGGGGTTGGAATGCATCAAAGGTTGTTTCTGTTGCCCTCGCATAGTGCTTTTGTCCGAAATATTTCGGTATGACTCACATGAAGAGTATGGTGAGGCTGTGTATTTGGCGAGATGAAAGTACTGACTAGTGAACGGGTAGTGAAAATGTAAAGGACTGCAAATGGATGTCAAATACTTGCCATAGATGTGTTAAGATCTTGCTTGGAATGTCCATACCACCTTATACATATTCATTTGCAAGTTGCTATATCATGCTAAACAGCCTGATTCACGCTTGCCATGGGTGTATGTCTGTCCTTCAGACTCTTCCAAAACATCTACCGTGATAATAGACTAGTCTATATTCGTTCTGCAAGAGATCAAGATTTTGAAGGTAGCACAAGGTAGGGTTTGCAAATAGTGTCTGTAGGCCATCCTGCATGAAGAGCGCTTCAGAGCAATCTAGACCTTCTTCGTAGTCTTAAAAACCTCCGAGCATAGTCGAAGTTGAGTCAGTTGACAAAATACATGGCAATAGCCAACGCAAGTATAGGCTGCACCAAGCCAATGTTTTGCAGGTTATCCTCCACATCCCGCCTGTAATGAGAGGCTAGATGGTCTATCGGATTACTGGATCAACATTACGTCTCAAGTATGCAAATAGGGCGTATATCCCAATTAGCAAGTCGAAAGAATTATCTAAATTGGGACCGAACTCAAGGGTGAAAGGGATATATAAACCATCGAAAGTCCCATTCTTCCTCCTGAAGTTTTCTATCATCCCAACACACTGCACATTATCACATCTCAAGAAAAAAAAAAATTCAGACCCGTCACAATGAACTTCACTCATATCCTTGCCGTTCTCGCGACCATCGGTCTTGCCAGTGCTGCACCAGCCAATAGTGATCCATCGCAATGCACTACGGCTCAGGCCAACTCTTGCTGCACCAGCTTGACCAACGGCATCTTGAACGTGAACGTGCTTCCAGCACTTTGTGTCCGTAAGTAATCAAACTATCCTGTGGAATCTTCGCCTTTGCTAAGAATCATCCAGCCCTCGTTGGAAACTGCAACAACCAGGCCGCTTGCTGCGAGACTAATGGAATTGTAAGTGACATTATAGCAGTTCTTCTTTTTTTACCTTTTTGCAGCCAGATACTCATGGTTGCTCACAGGGTCTTCTGAACTGCCTTACCGTCCAGGTCTAGGTGATAAGATGGTTGGATACGACCATCCATCAACATGCGGCCTACATTGACATGATTGGGTCTTTGTTTTGTTTATTGTTTTGAAGGAAGTTATGCGCACGATGCATCGTTGTATGGATACACTCTTTTGACACATAACTGGGCCCAGACCAATATATGAATATAAGTTATATTCATCGATCTAACGAACCTCAAAATTTTATGTCCGTTAATATGTAGACTTGAGATGAGGTAGATCTTAGATAGTAGCCTTCAGCCAGGATATAACTGTTGGTCGATCATGGCGGGTATGCAGATTCGAGCTTTTCTTTACTAGTAAGCAACCAGTGTTAAACAGGGTAGTCTTAGGGTGATATAAGGATACATTGGAATCATTATCTATTGACACATGAAGAGACAGAAATACATGTTTGATATTTGATATTAGCTGATACTCGGGTTATTCAATTATCCCACATTAATGATGACACGACCCCACCATCCACGAGAATGTCATTCCCTGTAATGAAAGACGATTCGGGACTAGCCAAGAATGCCACAGCAGTCACAACATCCTGCGGCGTGCCCACACGACCAACAGGACTCATGGCAATAAACTTCCCAGCTGGACCATTGATCTCCTTCCTCACAGTTCTTGTAGAGATAACCCCGGGCCTAACAGTATTGACTCTCCCCCCAACGCGTCCCCATGCTTTAGCTGAAGCCTGAACGCGAAGTATATTTCCGCGCTTCGACAGACCATGCGCCCGTGGCGGTCCATGAGGATCAGCCGAATCGATCTTCAAAGCAGGGTGCTCTAGCAATTGATCCCTGGCGCTGTCGCAAGATGACGCTCTAACTCCGCTGGCAAGCCTGATCCCATGTGACCGGGCATACTGGCTATGCAGACCATACTCATTCCAGACTGCGCCACCTCTAAGAAAGCATCAATAGCATTCGCAGTGCCGAGAAGATCCACTTCAAGGATTTTTTGTGCACTACCTGCGGATGGTGACAGCCCGGCTGTGTGGATGACTGCTTCGATGGGGCCCTGCGATGCAGCAGCCTGTGCAAAGCAGCTCACAGATGCATAGTCGGATACATACACTCGGAATGTTTTTACATTGTAACCGTCGTCTGTCAAGGTTTTCTGGGCTGTGGAGAGAATCTCATTGGAGAAGTCGGCGATGCATAGTCGGCGGCCAGCACCAAGGCGTCAAGCGATGACCAAGCCCATGCCTCCGCATCCGATGACGACGATATTTTTTGTGGACATAATTTGGGTGCGATGTGTACCTTGTAATGGATAGAAGCGCGATGGTGCGGTAGCTGAGATTTCAACGGCTTTATATGCATGTGCTAGATGTGGGTTCAGATTACGAATTTAGAGACACGACTGCCCTGTGGAGAATACTGCTTTTACATATCTGATGCTGAATACTGTTCAGACGAGTGGACCCTCCATATTAGCAACTGAATGCCTTCATAGGCACACATCTTTAGTGCCGATCATCAATCGTGGATCCGAAGCCGAATACGAATAAGAGTTATAGTCGGAAATGGCAAAGAGCCCGAATACGAACCCGAGCCCCTTTCATAACCGGAACAAACTAATCCATCTGATTTTATCCACCTGTTGCATAAGAGAACTGCATAAATATCTCCATCCGACATGTTTCCGTCTCAATTTCCAAGATTCTCTCATCAAGGAAATTCTCCTCTTCTTTCTATGACACTCTCTCGTTCGCGAATATGACTGTATCTAAATCCAATCTTCAATCCTCGGTCGGAGTTGGGCGCGATATCGCGACAACACTGAACTACATAATCCCGCCTGGCCGTGACGGGTTGAAAGCAATCGATGCCGGTATACCCGATGCCGAACGGCGCAATGCTAAACGCGAGGGTATCACGGATGTGAGAGACGTTGTGATCAAAGATATCCGCGGTAGAGAACAAGAATTCACCTTGGATGTCCAAGGCTTCCAATATGTCAAACATGAGATTACTGGGGTCACGAATTGGCATGACCCAGCTCAAATAAAGCAAATCATTCAGCCCGCTACGGAAGAGCTAGTTAAGCGACTGTGAGTGCCTCACCCAAACTTCAAAGTTAGCGGGCAAATGAACTTTGTTTCTCTGACCATATTTACAGAACTGGCGCATCCGAAGTCGTTGTGTACCTCACTCGAACCAGATTCGAGGGTAATAAAAACGGAGAGCAAATGAGTACCATGAATTCTCCATCGCATGGTGTTCACTCAGACATGACGCAGGCATCTTGTCGAACTGTATTGAAGGATGTCTTGAGTGAAGATGAGATCGAGCGACTCCTGAGCTATCCCTATGTCGTTGTCAATGCCTGGAGGCCAATCGATACAGTTCGGAGAGATCCTCTTGCATTGTGTGATTGGCGATCCGTTGACCCTGCTTCAGACATTGTCCCAGATCGCAGAATTGTTTCCGGCGATGTAGTCGAATTTGGGTTGCCCGTCTACAATGAAAAGCATGATTGGTATTATCTGAGCGAACAGCAGCCGGATGAGCCGCTCATCTTCAAGCAGCTGGGTAGTGATGTGGCGTCTAGCGTGACACTGCTTCACTCTGCGTTTGTCGATCCAGAGCATATCAACGGACCCCCACGGGAGAGTATCGAGATGAAATGCTTTGCGTTTTTCACTGAGCGGACTTCTTAAGCTTTCGGTTAGTTGGATTGTCTTTTGTCGGATAGTTGTGAGAACCCGATCATCAATATGTTTCCGGGATCTAGATCCCGTCCACGACTACACATGCCGATCAAGCAAACCATAGACCGTAGCATGCAACGACCACAGCGTATCGACGCACACGTTCGCTTCACCTTGAAATCTCAATAATCGCCCGCAGAAATGGTATCGAAATCCAGATTCAGAGATTTGCAATCTACATTTGCACTGCCCATCAGCCCACATGCCATGCACTAGAAGATCAGACAGGCTAAACCCGTTTCGGATCCCGACCATCCGCAATCATTTTGGGTTCCCGACACAACCTTCTACTTAAGAAAGCCACGAACTCGTCTGCCCTGCTTTGGAAAAGATACAAACAGTATTAATCACAAGCGGCTTTCCATCACTCCAGAATGCCACCAAACACTCCCGGCCATGCGATTGTTTACGGCGCATCAGGTTTAATTGGCTGGGCGCTAATAAACCAGCTCTTAAGTCCGTACCCTGTCGCTGATACATTCAAAAAGGTCACAGCTGTCACGAATAGACCACTCGATCTCTCTGAGACATACTGGCCAGAGGCAGACTCTCACCGGCCCCGGCTGCAGTTGGCCTCGGGCGTTGATCTTCGCAGCTGGGATCGGGATAGACTGGTGGAGTGGTTGAGGCAGGTTGTTGAGGATAGTCAGGGCGTGACTCATGTCTATTACTTGGGTATAGCTATGTTCGAGGTGGTTGATGAATAGAGAGTTTACTTACAATGAGTAGTCTTCACCGCTATGGACGACGACCTGGAAGAAGTCGCTACCAACCGACGGATGCTGCAGAATGTCATTGATGCTCATAACCTAATCAGTCCCAAATTACAGTTCGTCTCCTTTGTGGGTGGGACACGGGTAAGCATAGTCTATCTATACAACTTGTGTAAGAAACACTTTTGACCAGATATCAACCAGGGATACGGCATCTATTCCCCCGGCGGGACATTCATCCCACCGCTACACGAAGAATTGGTTAACAACCTCCCTCCAGACTACGCCAAGACTGTCGTTTATCCCGCATATCGCGAGATACTCAGTACATCCAGCCAGGGAAGGAATTGGACTTGGTGTGAAGTGTGTCCGGATGCAATTGTTAGTTCCTCCTTCACCTTCATCCTGACGAATGCAACGATTAACTGTAACCGTAATAACAGGTTGGTTTCACCCCCAATGGATCGCAATTCAGTCTGGCATTGCACTGGGCGCAATACTTATCCCTATATGCCTACAATAATGGCATCGGACCACATACTCAGGGAAGCGCCAAGCCAGCTGTAGAGGTCCCGTTCCCCGGATCCATAGCAGGCGCTACGTCGTTATTTACTCCCGTATCCAGTAACCGACTTGCACGGTTCATGATATTTGCATCCTTACATCCAGAGACGTGCGGGGGTGGTCGGCTGTTCAATGTCGCTGACCAGCCGACACCTTGTACGTACGGATCACTGTGGCCTCGGCTGGCAGAATGGTTTGGTCTCGTGGGCGTGCCGCCTGTTGACCCTGCTCCAGAAGGCGAGCATAATAAGCTAAAAGTTGGGGAAGTCCCTGAGCGGGCTTCAACGCTCGCGCCTGGAGAGTATATAACTAAATATCGGGAAATCTTTACCCGTTATGGATGTCCGAAAGCTGTTACTGGCGGGGTCGGAGTGGGGTATCGTCAGTTGGATAGTGTCGGGTATTGGTTAACTTTTGATCGGCAGTTGAGTCTGGAAAAGCTTCAGGAGACTGGCTTTGAGGGGAATCAGGATCCGGTAGAGGGCTGGTTGGAGAGTTTTGCGATGTTTCGCAGGGCGGGGTTGATTCTGTGATGTGGTGCCGAGGATATATACACGGCTTGTTGAAGGGGTTGGGGATTGTAAAAGAAGCGTTTCCTAGTAATTCTGTACTAAAGGTATAAGACTGTACTATAAGCATTGTGTTTGCTTATATATAAGCCGTATTGTTTGACCTGAGTAGCAAAGGTTGTGAACAGGCTTTGGGGATATCTCGTGCAGATTGCTCTCGTTGTTGGTGCCTCAGGCAGACGTAGTCTAAAGTGGGGGTGGCAGGCACAATCAACAGGAACAACGAGGCCAAGAACGCCATGGTCTGGGCATAGATATTGTTACAAATGGTGATAAGAGATTGGAAATTGCGATAAGACGACCAATTTGGGGACCGGAATGAAGGGTTGCCTATGCAATGTAGCTCTTCTTCGAAGCACAACAGCTGAGCTTCCTGAGAACCTACTTGGAGAGATGTCTTTGTTTCCATTCCCATTTGTCATGCGAACAGATGGCACGAGGCGCAATCCCCAATAGGGAGTGCGCACGCGACAGCATGCCCTGAGTTCGATCTGCGATATGCTAGTGCTAAACTGCCCTAGCCGTTCTTGCTCGGGTTCCGCTTAAGCCCGGTGGTTTTGTCGACATAGTGGGCCTGGGTTGGATTCAATTCTTTCCAATGCCCGAGGACAAAGGCTTGATCAAGTGTAGTCAAGCTGAAGCTGATTAAAGTCTCCACTGTGTGCAAAATCTTTCAAGATGTACATGTACATATAGTTTCCGAGGGTATTCGAAGCAGTCTATGCTACCTTATCGGGAAATGCAGTAGATGCCGAGATGTTAGTGCAGAAACCAGTCACATGTGCATATCTGTTAACCACTTGGATTAAGGCAACAGACGGAAGGATCGAGTCCCTCGATACTACTCTCATTGACTAACAACACCCCCGGAGTCCGCCGGAATGCGACCGGGCTGATTGAGGGTATCAGCCTTCCATCTTTGCGCGTTTTATCTCCGCCAGATGAGAGTGGCGGGCACGTGGGATAAGCCGGGCCACATCCACCGGTCCGCGAAGCTTAGCAAGCTTGGTAGAAGGTGAATCCCACAAGGCTGTCTCATTCTGGGTTGAATGGACTGTATAACTGTGCAAGTCATTCGACGTCAAACAGGCACGCCTAGGGGACAGCCATTGTGATTGGGTAGGGAAGAAAGGGTGATGCTTGAAGCCCCGAAATTGAAGCCCCGAAAGGTGGTGGAGAGAGACTCCACCAGTAGACCCAACCGGAGTGGATCAATGGATCATGCACCCGCTTGGTTATCCAAGGATTGTCACTCGCTCCTCCTGCCGGCAGGAACGTGAAGTCAACCCCATTTCTGACTGGTCCGCGGGGTTCATGTACTACTAGTCCGTCCCTGGTAGTAGTATGCTTCCACGGTCGCATCGGCCGATATGCCTCCCAGTAGGCACGAGACACTCCAGGATAAAAGGACGGCATGCCCTGCAACTTGCTTGAATATCCAGGCACCTTCTTCTCACTGCCGCTGAGCACCTCTTCCAATGGCTTCTGTGACTGCGCTTCTCACTTTGGCCGGGCTGGCCGCCGGTGCCACCATCACCACCACGGAGCCTCCGCTCGCTGCTATCCAGAGGGCTCAGGCGACCACGGTGCCCCAGACCTGGACCTCAAATGTCACGGGCAAGTCTTTCGATCGTTTCTATCAGATCTGGCTGGAGAATGTCGTAAGTATTCCGTGCGTCCTCCAATGCTTTGTTGCAATACTCACCGTTAATGCTAGGACTATGTCAATGCTGCGAATGACACCAACCAGCAGTGGCTGGCTAGCAAGGGTATCACTCTAGTCAACTACTACGGCGTTGGCCACACCTCGCAGCCCAACTACTGCGCTTCTGTCAGCGGTGACAACTATGGAATGGACAATGGTAATGCTAATGCATCCTGGCAGCCAACGCAATGCTGATTTTCTCCTGCAGACAACTTCCATAACATTCCTTCCAATGTCTCAACCCTGGCGGACCTTCTCAACCCCAAGGGTATCTCCTGGGCACACTACCAGGAGCACCTGCCCTACCCCGGTTTCCAAGGGTACAATTACTCTAACCAGAGAACTGGCGCAAATGACTACATGCGCAAGCACGACCCATTGGTCATGTTTGACAAGATCTCCAGCAATGACACCGCTTTGCGCCTCATCAAGAACTTTACTAACTTTGAGGAGGATATGAAGAACAAAGTGCTCCCTCAGTGGGCCTTTATCACTCCTAGTGCGTCTTCCCATGCCTCAACATATCTTACCTATTAACTTGGTTAGACATGACGAACGATGCTCACGATACCAACATCACCTACGGATCCAAGTGGCTGCGCAGCTTTGTTGAGCCTCTCATGAACAACACCTACTTCTGGGACAACACTCTGCTGCTGTTGACCTTCGATGAGACCGAGACCTACGGTGTCCCCGAATCGGAGATCTACAACGACCGCAACCGCGTCTTCAGCATTCTGCTCGGTGGTGCTGTCCCTGAGCACCTCATTGGAACCAAGGATGAGACCGTCTACACTCACTACTCTACCCTGGCCACCGTTGAGGCGAACTGGGGCCTTCCTTCCCTGGGTCGCTGGGACTGCGGTGCCAATATTTTCAGCTTCGTTGCTGACAAGGTCGGCTACACGAACTGGGACGTGGACCCTACCCACCTCTACATCAACCAGTCTCTGCCCGGTCCCTTGGAGCAGTGGGGCTACTCCAAGTACCGTGCCAACTGGCCCATCCCTACCACCAACGACACTTGCTCTGCCGGTAACGGTATCTTGCAGTCCGTCATTGACGCCTACAAGGGCCAGAACCCAACCTACAACTACACTGCTCCCTTCCCGTACGATGCTTCGTACGGCTTGGATGTGAACATTCCCTACAGCCGCAACGGCACTACCTACGTGTCTGGTGTCAATACCACCGGTGTTGTAGGCTATGATACCAACACCACTACCTCCTCCTCCAGCTCGGCATCCTCTTCCGCTGCCGTCAGCGCTGGCTCGGCCATGACCATGCCTGCTGCTGGCTCAGTGGCTGCTATCTTTGCTGCTGTCGTGGCATTCTTGTAAATGGTTTGTGTGATGTAGTGATGATTACGCGAATGCCTGCCGGCAAAAATGTTTATGTTAATACTTCGATGATTTATACCACTCCTGCCACGAACCATGAGTGATGTTAGATGTCATCTCTGGATGATGATATGACCCAATGCTATGTATATACACTACTATATGGTGGTCGCCCGCAATTAGCTTTCGTAGTTACATTCATTTATTTACATAATTGAAAAAATACCGAACCGCCAAAAGTACACAATGCAATCGAGACATACAGCAAAAGAAAATATGAAGTACCAGCACTGAGATCCACACTACTGACTCAAACACTATGGGACGCCTAATCCAACATGCGTGAGGGATGATAGCCGCCATATCCATAGTAAACAGAACTAAGCAAAAGTCCAGATCTTGTGTCCCCTTCGACTACCAATCGGAACAATAGGAATTAACTATTAGCCTGCAACTGTCTGCACCATCATGCAACCCCTCTCGTTGTGATTGCTCCTGTTTTACATTCCCCGAGACATGCTCATCTAGTTGCAAGCCATCTCTAACCCACCTGCATGAAGGGTGCAGAAACACGAACAGTGGCGTGGTAGCACACACTCTCTGCAGTACTCGATGCCAATATTTCCACCAGCTGAACTACAATCTCCGCGTCAGAATTAATATATAACCATCACCAATACCCCTTACATCCCAACTCAGCAACTACAGCAATACTTACACCTATCCTCCACAACCCCACAACTCCACCCCATCATGTCCAAACTCTCCGCTGCTATCTCCAAGGTACTTCCCCATATCCACAACACCCCCCACACCATCCCTCAAATCTAACAACAATAACAATAACCTCTCACCACCCCAGCTCTCCCTCTCCACCATAGCCACCACTCTGCTCCTCCTTACCCCCCCAACCACCGCCTACTTCTACAAATATCCCGCCCTCTTCGTCTACAAAGACACCAACTGCACCGATATCTCCTTCTCACTTGTCTACCCCTCCCTGGGTAACTGCAACGGCGGATACTACGACTACGCGGGCTCATTCCAGATGTTCAATATCGATGCTGCGTATACCTGTAATGGCAGTGACTCGACACTGATGTTTGAGATGTATAATAGCTCCGGCTCGGATTGTGGAGATGAGAGTGATTTGTTGTTTAGACAGCCGGTGACGGAGGAGTGTACTGTTGCGGATGTGGAGAGTCCGGGGCCGTTGGAGATGCCGGTTTGGTTTGAGTTGGGGTGTATGTAATTGATTCGTTGAGTCGGTAAGGAGGGATGGACGGGGGGTTATATAGGTAGCTTGGTGGGTAAGCACTATTGGGGAATTGTGGTGGGATGGCTGGTACTATGTTGTTCGGTGTGGGGATTCTTGAGGGTGGGTTAGAGACTAAAGTGAGTTGTCTGAGGCAGTAGTGGATGACTTCTGCTTCTGTGATGCTGGTATGTGATAAAGTTAATTACATATGCAAATGTGCAATCATAGACTGATAGGTGGAAACTTGTCTACTCGTTGAGATATATAGTTATACTGGAAATGTTATTCATCAAGGCTGAATACAAGTGTAACCGTGCACAGATTATCTTTGATACTGTCTATGGGCTGTACGAGCGTCTCTGACTCCTACAATGAGTTAGCGGCTGCACATTACTATGAGGACCTGTGAATTCGACACCAAAAATAACCAGCCCTGCAGCCGATTACATCTGCCTTTCCATCTATTTTCTGGAGTCAAGCAGGTATTCCAACATACTCTTACTTGCTTAATACACCAACTTTCATATATCTACCCAGAATTACTCAATCGTGATGTAGGCACTGGCAATCATAGTAACTATATTTCGTTTCATTTTATTTGTTTGTACAATTTTTTTTTTCCGGTAGTTTAATCATTCCAATCAAAGAATTGTGTGCCAAAAGAACATTATTCCAGCGGCCCAGCACACCTCGGGGGCCTCATTATTGTGTGATCGGCCTCGCTACCAGAGTATTTAGTGTGATTCTTTCAAAGGGGAAGGTGAAACAGGTAAAAGATGTTTGAGCTTACCTCTAGCCTCATCAAGACTTCTCCCAAAGCGACAGCCCAAAAGCCAGGAATGTTGATGGTGTGAATTTTGGTAGTGGTCAGAGTTAAAACTGTACTGTATACCGAAAAGATGGCCAATCCAGTCCTCTCTTTCATTGATAAATATCTCATCTGACCCATACTCGGAATCTTCACTCAGAACACCGAGTCGTGCTACAAAGTCTCGCCGGTTAGCGAAATGTTCGGTTCGGAGGATATGTGAGCTAAGGTTCGTCCCATCAGTACCAGATGGCACACTAGGATGTTTCCCTTGGGTTTTCCAGTGCAGGCTTGGATTTCCAAAGGTAAAAATGCAAAGTTGCTCTTGCAGTTTCTTTTGAATGGTGGAGTTCTTTGTTGCAGCAGTGATCAAGTCTTCCAGGACACGACGGAGGATAAGACATCCTTGAGAATGAGCGATCATAATAACATATTGTTTCTCATGAGCTTCGCGGAGTGCCTTTAAGAGCTCCTTGTGGAGGGCCTCTTGAGCCTCTTTGCTGCTGGCTGTGCTGTCAATAAGGTTTCCTTGCCCTCCTACAACACCATCCGCATCTATGCTCGTCGTTGTGCTATCTGTATTAGGATTCTGCACGTATGAGTTTCTTTCGCCTGCGCACTCGATGAGATCCCAGAGGAGACCATCGCCCCTGTTGAAAACCCAGTTGATCTCCCTTGAGAACATTGCTCTCAATTTATTGCAGGCAAGCTGCAGCCAGAATATCTCTCCGCCAATTCCATTAACGAAGAGCCATTTCTCTCCTCTTTCGCTGACTTCCACATCACCCTTTGGATTGGTCTTTTTCCCGCTCCTATTCCTTTCCACCACCCTATTGCTTACTGGCTCAGCTGATGGTGTTGTTTTGTGGGGCACCGGGAGCCCTGAACCCAGGTCGCTCTGAAGTTTGGTTTCTTCACTCATGTGGATGTCTCCGAAATTTACCGGCTTGAACAGATTCTGCAGGATGTAGATGACTGATTTCTTCAATCTTTGAATTTGACATATTGCAGCATGTTGGTTCCTGCGCACGGAGAAGTCAAGTTCATTGAACTCGGCATACAGCACATGCTCATCCTGCAGATCATTTTGTCCATTCGTCATGTAGTAGCATTTTGAAGCTTCCACGAGGTCCAATACAAACTTCGCGAGTTCAGCGGCCTGGTCTCTGACCAGGATCAGGGTCGTTGCATTGATCTCGTTCCTGAACACAGCCTCTCGTATGCTTGAGACACTTCCGACCGCTCCAAATACAGAGGAGAGGACAGACTTTGTCAGAGATATGACAGTTTCCAGGAGTAAATTAGGGTTTATGAGGTCGGGAGAACGCTTAATGCGCTCGAGAATTGTTCCAATTAATCTGCGTACAGATCGTTCATCTGCACCTTGGAATATATCCGCGGCGGAGCTGATGATACTCTCAAAAATTCCCATTTTCTGATAGTAAAAGTTATGGACCAATAAATTGAAGACGTAAAAGCAGAGATATCAGGTGATAGGGCAGGCAGTAGTCACGAGCTGCACCCAAGTGCCTGTCCTCTCAAATATAAAATAAACCTGATTGAATTTGGGCCAGAGAAATGATTATCAGATATCATAGACCATAAAGCTTTTAAATACTGATATGGTAGAACTCCAGATTGACTCAATTGATAGGGGGGGAAGCAGTCCGATCACGAACCCTGATTTATATGTATATATGTGACAACTAATCACATGCGAAGCTGAGATTCATTATGTCAAATTAAAAAGGGGTCTAGATCAAGTCGATGGGCCCAGGAAAGCATGAATAAAAAAATACCTAAGAAATGCGTCATTGAGATTCGTATTGAAGATGGTAGGTCTACAAAGAATTTATTATCATCATCCAGATCGATCTATTCCCTAGTTTAAAGGTTGGATTGAGTTCTGAGCAGGTTAGAATAATAAGATTGACGTGCTTATTAAATTACTGGGTTCCGGCTCTTATATACTTAAACCCTAATAATTCGACTAGTCTGATGATGGTTCCGTCCTAAAAGGTTAATATTACTTAATGCAAAGACCGTTTTTAGTTTGCCGCACGAACTTGAAACTAAACTCAATTTACGAGATTCGCAAAGCCTCAGGTTCTGTTCTAGACTGTTACTTGCAGCATCCCCATAGTCATTTCACGAGGGATCTTGGTTTACTACTATGTTTTCCTTGGTACGCCGTGACTCAGACAATCTTACAGACTGTGTCTGCGACCCTTGTAGGTACCCGATCTAACTTTCCAGTCAAGAAGGATGAATAACTGAACTACTAACTACCTACGAAATTATATGGATCACATGCCTGCTTGTGATTCCAATAGATATCGTAATGAAACCATGGTGTTGGTATGTTAGATAGATGAAAGCGGAAGGACGGTGCAAAAGCTACCAACCTCAATTATCGAACCTGTTAGAAAGCTCGTATGCTACACAATATGCGCGGCGCACAACGCGTCATTGCATAGTATTTCTATAAGTGATAAAGTCATTGGCCCAATAATGTCAGATCCGGATCATCACTGAATATCCTCACATAGTGTGGAACACGGAATGCTCGATGTAATCCAAGGGCTAACTGTGTTTGATATAAAGCATATTTCCAATTACTCCTTGAGCACAGCTGCTTGGTATATCAGTGTAACACTAACATATCCAGAGACCAGATTCAGTCAATCAAGTAGCTAGTAAGGATTCTTAAAGTAAGCAGCCCCTATTAATACAGTCTGTATTCTTATCAATATCTGGCTCTTTATCAGATTCTCTAATTTATGATACTATAACTCAGTATGAACGGCTTCTGGTTCATTTTTTATAATACTTTATACTATTTTATTTTTTCTTTTACTTATAGGTTTCTAGAGTCATTACACATTATAATTTTTTTATTACTATTGTTGAAATAAGCAGCCTCTATGATTAGAGTCTGTATGCCTGTCAGCATCTGGCTCTTCATTAAAATTCTTGGTTGGTGGTACTATAACTTCGTTTATAATATTTCTGGCTTACTTTTTGATGATAATTTCTTTTAAGTCTGCTTTTTCTTCTGGTTGATAATCTCTAGAATAATTATTTATTATATCTTTTTATTAATAGAGACATATAATTTATAATGACTTTGGGAGCTAATAAACAGAAGAGAAAACCAAAAAAATGCAAATTATTATAAAGAAATAAGCTTGAAATAATATTTAGAGTCACAGCACTACAAACCGAGAAATCTGATAAGAGCCAGATGCTGACAATGATACAGACTGGATTAGACTGACTGAACTGTTTTTCCAGCTCTGTTCTGATTCCGTCATACTAATTTCTGACCCCGTCGCAGGTGGGTGCCCAAGCTTATTTAACTGCAAATACCCACCGTTAGCAGAGGTCACATGATCTTGAATACTCAATGACCTCAACCGCTCCTTGCGAGCTCCCCTAGACAGCAAGAGTTATGACTTCTTTCTTGACCTGGGATGTTATTTCGGGCATACTATAATTTAGGCTTTGAATACTTGAATCTATGTATATTTTGGAATCCTGATTATTCTGTTTAACGAGATACAGAGTCAGAGAGAAGAATTTGTGTTATGGTATAGGTTAAATTGAATTGCAAGGCGACACAGATATTGTTGGATGTGGGATACGCAAATGCAGCGTCATAGATTGGAGTTGAGGTTGGAAGCTTTCTGAAACTATCCATCATGGCGACACCACAAGCACCTTCTATTTGCTGATGGAAAGGATGTTTATGAGACTATACCCCAAGAGCAGGACGTACTAGTAGGCATGGGAAATCCCCGCGAACCCAATTTGATGCGACCAACGGGATGCAGTGCCCGCATGGATTGGAAAGTCATCTTGAATCATGCTGAGCTAATCGTTTACTCCATTGAAGGCAGATGATTCGGTAGTACTGCGGAGCCCAAACAAGAGGACGTAACAGATATATATACCCCAGCGATAAGAGTCACCAGTGGGTTCAGAAACCGCAGGAAACTGTTGTGAGAAATCGTATACGGCACCATGCCTTTACTCTGCCTTCGCAGAAGCCAGCGCCTATTCAAGGCTGCTCCCGCGACCGAATGCGTCATCCCTTGTGGGGACTCCGCAGCTTACGACCGTTCTTCCGAGTTTCGGTGGGTCTACAACAAACTCACTGTTGCCGAATTGCAGGGCATCCCCTGCGGCCCTCATGGCACGCAGCCGCCGCTGGACCTTTACCCCGTCTTCAGTAAGCCGATCTACAACCTGGGCGGCATGGGGGCCGAAGCCCGTCCTATTGCCAACACGAGGGAGTACTTGGTCTCGTTGACGCCGGGTCATATGTGGTCAACTTGTCTGCAAGGCGAGCATCACAGCACGGACATCGCAGTCATCCAGGGTCGGGTGGTCTGGCTAAGCCATACACGCGGGATACCCGGACCGCAGCAGACTTGGGATTATTGGGAAGTCAATGTATCTGCATCACCATTGCTGCAGAAGACTATTACCAACTTCATCGAGACGCACTTGAAGACTTACACGGGAATGCTAAATATGGAGACGATTGGACACAAGATCATCGAAATTCATCTGCGCTTTTCACCTCAGTGGCCTGACCTGTACGGCATGGGTTTTCTTTTCTCCCTCGTAACTTTGTACAGCGCCGGTGAGTGGGAGGATCCATATACGCGCCCCAAAACAGGGTATAGTTTTGTTCTGTTTGATGAAGAGAAATATGCGCAGATAAGCGCTACTGTTTCGGATGACTTGCTGGAAGAGATGGAGAGACGGTGTGAGGTCCGCAGCATCACTATGCGGTATGATGCGGATACGCCAATTCGGAGCGTTATGAAACCATTGGGTGGCTGGCGGATAGCTTGGATTAACGGATTGGATCTGGAAAGGTGTAAGCGAGCAAGAGAGATGTTAAGAGCGTACTTACACCAGCTGTACCAATCGGCCAACGCCCAATAACATAGTTGGAGACGGATGGGTTAGGTACACTGAATGATATATTGTACGCTAAGACAGTCAGTAGTACAGTGATGGTGAAAATAATGAAAATAAATAGCCAGAAAAGAGGACATTAAGCCTGTATCTTGTAACTTCCATGGCACCGTGTCAGAAAAGACATTGCTCTCGAGAGCGAATTCTATAAAGTCGCGCTCATCGGCCGCCTGCTCCCAGACATATTTCCGGAACATAAGTAAGCATGTCTAACAGTCCTCAGCCATGGACATAGTTGTTACATTGAGGCCCTTCAGTCTAATGACATACACAGATCCGAGCGACTGCTAGCATGGAAACAGGGACTACTGGACATACAATTAGTTTTAACCTTTCGAGGGGTCTTCATCCACCCAGTCTACTACTTTTACTTAACAGGATCATCTTCTCCAATATAGCGTGTTTCAGCAGTCCTCGATGTACACGTACTCGATGGGAGTTAGGTATTGCAACTGTTTCGTACGCCGGGGTTGGTGTGCGTGTGCTTCCAAATTTCTTAAAGTAGGGAAGAAGACTTGACGTCCACGGTGAGCAAGCTGTGTGTATAACCCTGGATGGAAATGTGGGTAATGAGAGATAGAGCGAAATACTCCGCCATAGGCAGCATTTGTATCAGAGCAAGTCTTTGCGGGCAGACTTTGCCCCGTCCGATAAACGTCCTGGGACATTCGATATGGGCAGTATATGAGGACACTTGTGTACCCTCCCGCATTCACCAATTGCTCATTAAATCGCTTTTAAAAAATACTAGAAACACTTGGGAGTGGTAGTCGAATTCGACCAGGATCACCGGAATTAACATATAAATACGAGTAAGTATCAAATCGAATGATAACTACAACGACAGGTCGCACGGTTCTTTCACTTCGTTTGCCGTTGCTTCCCCTTTTTTTTGGCCGACTGTTCCGCAGAGAACTCTGATCTACTCCATTCCAGAATGGCATATCAAATCTCGGAGCAGTCCTACTGACCTTGGTCCGTCTAGTAAAGAGGCAGGCTGTATGCGTTGAAGTCATACTGCCAGGTGTCAATCGAGGCCTGGTCGTAGACACATTCCATGACCGTGCCATTGTTCTTCCATAAGGGGCGGAGAGGCCAGGCGCAGATCTGGGCATTGCTGCCCTTCTCCTCGCCCGAGAGGTAGGTGGCGTTCAAGGTCACAGGCACCACACCCTTCTCGACCCAGTCGATCATCACCGCCATGTTATCCTGGGGCCAGGGTCCGGGCTCGTAGGCGTTGGTCGCGCAGTGGCTGGCGCCGGGAACTAGGTACAGGCGGTAGAAGCTGGCCAAGGCGTCCGTGCTCTGGTTGTAGGTAAGATCTGGATACATGATCTTGCGGACGGACTCGTGGTAGTGGACTGAGGATCCGGTCGGGATACTGGGGTCCGACTCGCCGTGGTAGTGGATGATCTTACCACCGGCATCCTTAAAGGCGCTCAGGTCGGGGTAGGTGGTCTGCAGGGAATCACCATAGCGGCGCCATCCCAGCTCCATCCAGTCACGGAGGGTGTCGTAGGTGACATTATCCAGACTCGAGAGGTTATCGGCTTCGACCAGTTCCAGGAAACGGGCGACCCACTCGCCGCTGAGCGCGTCGATGTCGAGCTCATAGCTACCGGTGTCGCTGTTGTACTGGGTCTCGGCATCACTGAAGGCGGAGGTGATCTGGAACCAGATGTAGGCCCGCTTGCCATCTAGGGTGTGGAGACCCTTGAGCATCGTGGCGGCGGCCTCGGCACCCTTGGCGCTCACCGTGCCATTCTGGGCCGGGGTGATGTTTGAGACAGTCAGGCGCTTGGCGTGGGCGGATCGCTTCTTCAGGTTCTCGCTGGTGGTCTCTGCGGCGCAGTAGTAGGGCTTCCCGATGGTAGAGTTGAGGTTAAAATGCAACTGGCAGAGATCAGTCCGCGAGACGACGCCGTCCTTTCGGCCGTCGAGCTCGTCACAGGCGGCGATCGTCAGGTTCATGATCTTCTCCAATTCACAGGGTGGGGGGTAGTAGCCCAGCGTCTGTTCAACCACGTTGGGGAAGAGGTGGTTGACCTGCTGCTGGCCGTAGCGGATCGCCGGCGCTCCGATAATAGCACCATCCCACTCCTCGGGGAACCGTTGCACCTGGCTCCAGCCCTCGCGGCCGCCCTCGGAGCAGCCCATGTAGTAGGAGTAGAGCTTGCTACTGCTCGCAGTGGTGTTGAAGAAATTCTTGGTGAAGGCCTTGCCGATGACGCTGAGCTCATGGTGTGACTGGTAGCCGAAGTTATAGATCGCATCCCAGTTGATCGTGCCGTTAGCGCTGGGGAATACGGCGTCCAGGTCGGTCGTAAAGGCCCCGAACCCTCCATCCGTGATACCGGCGGCGGCACCGTAGAGGAGACCGGCGGGCATCAAGTCCCCCTCCAAGTTGATGGCGAAGCCACCACCTCCCGTGGACAACCACCGATTCTGATAGGCATCGGGGGCGGGCAACCAGATGCCGAGCAGGATCGAATCGTCACGGCCAGCATGCGAGTAGGCGAAAGTCACGTTGCAGTAATCGAAGGTGCCGTCCGGGTAAAAGGTCTGGTCGCTGACGGAGACGTTGTAGACGGGACTGGCGGTCACCGAGCTGGTCTTGATCTCCAGACCGGTGAAGGCATCCAAAGGCAGGGAGGACTGCACGTGTGAGACGGTGCAGACATCTGCAAGCGACTTCGCCTGCGCGCCGGCGACGAGCGCGGCGGTAGCGATGCTGCCGGCCAGCTTAGTGGATTTCATTATAGTGAAAGCGAGTGTCAGGGAAATGAGAGGAATCGACTGCGAGTGAGCCTGTGTGACTACTTTGTGTGATACCGTCAACCGTTCTAGCAAACCGGTGTTTATATACCTGTCTCACGGCGTCCTCAGCATTGCGCTGGCGACCAAGGAGGCCAGCCCTCCCGAATTCTTTCCATTTCAATATCTGTGAAGGAGCACATCGTGCTCCTGTAATCTCGCGGTCCCATCCAGGACTCCCTACGGTTCGGCAGGTTAGATCCTTGCAGGAAGGAAACGAATTCTCCTGATTGGTCTAAGGGCCAGGTACAAGCTCACGCATGTGGTGCCACTCGGTGGTATGTGAACAGGTAAATGATAGGGCTGACGCGGCAGCGAATCTTGTTGGGCGAGCATACTCTTTATTGTGAACGGAAACGATGATCTACTGCTGCCCGAACGCCATTTAAGCATTGATCTGCACATCGATCATGGTGAACCGGGGAGTTTTCTTCAGGCACGGGTGGTAGGGATGGCGGAGACTAGTCGCTTTGTAGGCAAGATTGACATGGTGAGATCCGCAATGTATTTTCGGGCGGTGAGTTAATTCACCTTACTATCGGATAAACTTATTGTCAAACACGTACTAAGCTTTCTAGACCATGTCAGCGGCTGAGCCTAATGTCATCCTGTTAAAGCTTGAGCAATAGAAACGCTCCACAAGTGGGTCTCGTTGTGCTCGGCCGATGGGCACGCAATTCAGTGCAATAAGGGCAGATGAGACATAGGAGAACAGACAGCTCATAGTCAAGAAAATTCCACAAACTGCGCGATGAGATTGATTTGTTGATTCGACATGCGGTGACTGAGTGTACTGTTGCGGATATGGATAGTCCCGGGCCGTCGGAGATGCTGGCTTGGTTTGAGTTGGGATGTATCTGATAGATGGTTTTTATGGGAGGGGTGGATGGGGCTTAGGTGTAGTGTTTTGGATGGTAGGAAGTTGGGGGTTGGAACGGGTGTTCGTTGCTTGGGTCTATTATGTTGACGGGGTATGAATGCGGACTGAAGTGGACAGAGATGCCCCGGAAGTTCAAAGCGAGTCTTCTATATACACGCTCTTTATATGAGGACCTCAATTTCACATTCTCACGTACAATGATGGGTCTCTCCGGGTAACAAAATATATCACTGAATTTACAGTTTTGGTCTTTTTCTGTTTACCTATATATGTAAGTTTTGACTCGGATAATTAGTTGCCGTCAACAACTGCCAATCAATGTGTGATGTTGATGACAGGCACGGATCTGTCTAACCATGCATGTGAGACGCAGTCTATAAACAGATACGAAAACAAAAAGAAAGTGGAGGAAGAATATATACAATAAAAAGGTTTTGCTGCTAGTCACCTACCTAACTACTACCCTCCCGGCATGTGGCTAGTAGTCGGGTGGACGCCATTGGTGGGTGAGGGGGCTTTATACATGACATTTACCGTGGGTGGCAGTGAGTCGCTAACCCTAGTGGTTGAGTGAGAAGAATATGCCATATAGCTCAAGCATGAATATCAAAGATTTTTCCTACTTATTTTCAGCTATATCTGTCCTCATCTTGTTGGTATCCCAGGCTTATCTATCCTTGGTTCTTCTTGGCTTGTAGTAAGTCTTTGGTGCATGATCTGCTTATAATGAGGTCCCTGTTTTCTCTATCTAGCTGAGATGTGCGACTAAGTACATGGAATAGATGGTTATATGACTTACTAAATCGGCAGTGTCGAAGCCTCAAGAGACTGAGTAAAAGCTGAATAAATTGAAGTCCTAGCGTTTTTGTATGTTTAGCACCACAGGAAGCTTAGGAGGCTAAACCTTGCGAAATCTACGCCCTATGAGATGATATGCGCCGTTCCCCGGGGTTGGAGTTGCGGCGGGTTCAGCAATTAGTGCGACCGATATGGAATGAGCTCTGTGACGTGCAAGTTTACTTAGTAGTCGAATAAGTATTGTATTTAGTATTGAGAAGATCTAATACCTTCGTGCTGTTTGGATCAGAATTAGCTAGTTATTTATATAGTGACACGAAGTCATAATACTTTCATCTGAAATTAAAGTCTAGCAACTATGAATCTCCAGAATTCCGCCACTTTCCCATGAAACTGAGAAGCTTTGTTGTATGGATCCTATTGAATTCATTGTACTCTTCATTATTCGGTCAAGCGACCAGAAATCACTCTGTCCGATACACACTGCGCTAGACTGGAGGCTGTCAAAAGAAAATGTGCAGCGTCAATCCAAGGTAGCTGGTTGAGGTCAAGTTGAGGGAACTACGGCACTCACTAATATCATCTTGCACCATGCGTAGGTTCTTCAGGACGGCGAACTGGCTATTCGCCCACTGAGTTCTGCAGCAGCTGCGGACTCACCTTGGCTTGCATGACAAGAGGTTCCAAATCTGGGATCCAAGGTCACCTTTTCGACATGCCTAGATCAAAAAATAGTCAAATACAAGTACACTTGGTAGCTATATGAACAGTGTGGCATGAAGGGCTCAGTACTCGCTCCCTCTTGTAGAAGGCTTTGTTATAGCCAGTATCTTTTTGATAGCATGCCAGAAAGCGCCAACGCTGTGACAGCCAACCAACCCATGGTAACACTAACGCCCCGCTCAACGAAAATATCCGGATATTGGACTTAATGGATCTGGTTAAGATTGACACAATTTTACAAAGTTATATTACAGGTGTGCCCACAATCGCATTCCATGTTCTGAACATAGAGCGTGTTCTTAAGATCTACGATGCCATGATACTCCAAATCATATACGGTCACCTTGATATTGAGGTTGTATTCCGGTCTCGAATAGTATCATTTATAAGAACTAGAGTTCTAAAAGATCCATATTGCATTGCCATGACTCTAGAATTGATTATAACTGCGTCTGTGATGTCATCTAGCCTACGCTCTATCACCCTACCAGCACACACAACGCACCTCTACGAGAATCTGGGCAATATTTGTTAATACTTACATGTACTATACGTACGCACTAAAGAGCTTAGTATAGATCTAGAACGAAGACAATGTATCCCGCTAATATGAAGTTTCCCAGAAGGATATCCGAGTTGCACTCTCCAAACAGGTGTACTACCATAGTTTGTAGATCGTTCCATGACTAACCTGAGAGAGCTATAGCCCCACCGAATGAACCGTGTAGATGACCCCCTTGTATTCAATACCCGTAGGAAATGGATTTGGTCTCATGTGCGGCTCACCCACGTACTTGTCTATTGTCGGTAGACACAGATCAACAGCAAAATCAGGAACAGATTCCATCAGTTTTGCATTTATCACCGGGGTGAATCCTTTTCTGAGGGTCGGCAAGTTGTCGACTATCACTTTGAGCGCCAGCTTCCGTAGCCTTCCATAGTCGGCTCGTCCTGAATAGAGCTCCGCGATTATTTGCGAAAAGGAATCTACTTCGGAGCAATTCACCAAAGACGCGAGGACTTTTTCCTCCGCTTTGATTTTCAAATCGTCAATCATGAAGTAATCCGCTTCGCCATACATGCGTACATGAAAGTAGCATGGATGACAGTCAGCTAATATATCGACAGCTGGCTCCACGTTATTCTCTTCCTCATTTGGACCTTTCTTGTTCATCGGTGACCCATCAACGAATCCATCCGCTGAATTTTCTACGGCTGCTACAGCGGCATCATTGGCGAGCTCCTCCATTTCTGCCGCATACTCGTCTGTGGCACGCCTCCTTGATGGAAAGTATATCAACGGGTCTCTTGTGTGGTTTGTATTCATTCTTGGCCCTTCATTGTCATCGGTCGGTGGGGTCAGCGTTTTAGTCGTACGGTATCCGAGGGTGTAATTGCCCGTGTACAGAAATTCCAGCACCTTCTCGATCAAGACCGGGCTTTTGTCGTCCAAACAAATCGACCCTTTGGTTTCCTAACATCCATAGCAGCTTGTCAGTCTCAGTGCAAGGAGTTGCTCATATTTGGTTTCACCTTGAACCCGGCAAAGCAAGCCCGGTGGAAATACTTCGATCTGGGACAAACAAGTAGTTTATGAGCCGGGAAGATCTTGTCTTTGCAAATGATCTTTAAATCACTATATTCCGAGCTGAGATGCAGGCTTTCAGTTGATATTAGTTTTCAGGGATCGTAAGACGAGATGTTGTCTCAGTTGACTTGGTGCAATCCTCACTTAGACATAAGGTTAAGAATAGTCTTCTGTCCCCGACTGTCCTGTGTGTCAGCTACGGGAAGAGTATTCTCCCGCAACTTCTCAAATGGCATACTGGTGTCGCTTTCAAGATAACTATAAGATAAAGGTGGGAATGAGGAGTGAGTGGGGAGAACCATGTTCATCTGTCGATGGGGGGAACTGCGTCTTGGGTTCATCTACCCTCCAGTAACTAGTTCATAGGTAGAAACAGAACTAGTTATGCAGGAGTACGGAGGTGTGTTTCGAAAGTCGTTAACATGACCTATCAAATCGTCACAATACAGTGTCTTGGCAGTAATGCATAGTAACCGATATCGTGCACAACCACTTACACAAGAGCGAAGCGACTCGCTGGTAGTCATCTATCTAACAATTTATCTCCCGGCGTGTGGCTTACGCATGGCCAGAAATCGGGTGGGTGCTGTCTAGATAAGTTTAGGATAAGATTGCTTTACCGCCGTGCGATTTAGATCAGAAACAGGTAATTTTAATGAGTGTGTGATAGAATAGGTGAGCTACTTATCTCATATGTACCCGCCTTGCGTGATCTATCTAGCTGATTAGTTGGCTAAACTCTGATCTTTATCCTTATCCAGTCTCTCGTGAATATTGGCTACTGAATTTATCACTTGGAGAACTAGACAGCTTAGTAGGAAGGCATAGCCACAAAATCAACTAGAATGCTGCTGCCTGGGAATACCTCCTGCCCCGCTTCCAAGAAACTCCAATTGGGATCAAAAGCTTTGATGCAATAAGCTGCAGCGGCTGTGATCTATGTGTGTTTACAAGCATCAAGCCAGGATACCGGATAGTAAATGCAGTAAAAAAGAAGACTTTAAAGGGAAACGGCTGTTGATAAATACGTTGATACAGGAGTGAATTTGACCCCTTAAGTTACATCCAGCTCGGGACGACTCGCCCAGACGTCTGCAAGAGACACTGCAATCCTCGCGTTTAGAATTTCATAGCTTGCGATCATCAGTGAGTTGAGGCTCACTGTTACTTCACTGATCACTGTTCACTGATCACTTGGAACCCGAAAGACGAAAGCAGATTCTCCAGAAGCACTTTGGTTGTTTGCGTACTAGGCTGGCCGGCATTGAAGATATATAATGTTCAATCTTTGTCTTATGCACTTGCAGACCTAAACCTCGTCATTGGTGAGATGGCGCGGAGCCAAACTGGTTCTGGTAGCCCCTTCGACCGATGGCCATCACAGCAAATTCCAGTTACGACATCTAGGCCTAGGCTCAGGGAAATACAGGTTGAGTGGGCTCGTATAGGAGGGATATAGCCTGGGATCAGACTCCAGTCTCCACCACGTGTCCAACTAGACGCTCGTTTCAAGTAACGAAATAGAGAGGGAAAATAACTATATCGCACAAAAGGCAGGCATTTTCTTTTGCGAAGTAATTCTTTTGAGATTGGCCATTGTTACTTACAGATAACCAAAAAGTGTTCTAACCTTATGCTACAGTATATCATTAGTGGTATTAATCAGGTAAGCGATAAATTTGCGTGAGGTTTTGATTTCTACCTTTACATACTAGCCAGGTCTTCCCCGCTGAGCCTCGCTTAACCCTGCATAAACCTGCCTCTCGATTTCCTCTGCCAGAGAAAAAGCCTTCAGATCGCCGAACGGTAGAATCTGGGCGCAAAAAATACCGGCCACCCCATTCTCCCGATCACACCACCATCGGAGATTTGGCAGTCCCGTCCACTGCGCTGTCCCGATCGAGCGACCTGTATCACCTCCACTCAGGAGGAAAGTCAGACCCCACCCCTGGCGATTTCCATCGACTGTTGGCTGTAACCCCGTCGCAGCCGTCGTGAGCTCGGGCTTCGCAGCCGGCATATGCTTTCCATTGAGCGGGGCCAGATGAGGAATCTGGTTGCGGAACATCTCGTCAACAGTCTCCCTGGAAAGTAGCTGTGTTCCGATTAGAGGACAGGTGCCGTTATTGAGGAGGGTCGATAAGATTCCTGCAAGACATTCTGTGTGAGCTCTGTTCTGTTCCCGGGTGTATCCGGCACATTTAGGGGTAGAAGGGTCCCCTTACGATAGTAATCATGTGCCGTTGAAAAACATCCCGCTCCGCCACTGAAGCAAAAGGATGATGGGCTGTCATTGGGATATAGACCGATGGCGAGTGAGCGTTGAAGGGGGTGCTCCTTCCGAACATACAGCTGGCCATTGCTGACTCGCTGATGCATGCAGGCCAATTTCGCCTGGTTCGCTTCATTGGGAATCATTGAAATATGAGTTAACCTGAGAGGTTGGAAGATGTGCTGTTGCATATACTCGTGCAAGGTCTGACCGGTAACTCGCTCGAGGAGGAACCCGGCCCAATCCACACTGATCTATAAAATGTGGCATTTCCATTAGTAGATGCACAAACTGTACCCAAATGTGTTTGATAATGCGATACTACGTGGGTTGCGACAGACGATGATGGGTAAGGAAGGGGCATACTTACCCCATACTCCCAGGCCTCCCCAGGCTGATGGATTAGCGGCTGGAGAAAACCCTCTTTTGTCCCGAGAACTCATTATACCCTGCTGGCCTGTTGTGATCCCGCAGATTGGCGTCGATGAATGAGTATCCAAACCCAGCTAGCAGCAATTAGCCTGGTCAATCCCTCCATTTCCCATACAATATGTTATTCCATATTTATTTATTTTTCACTTAAGAAAAAATCAACAAACCTGTATGACTCAATAGCATTCTCAACGTGATATCCCTCTGCTTCTCAACCAAGCGACCGTCTGGTTGAAGGACACGCACATGGCGAAGCTCTGGACAGTGGCGTTGGACGATTTCGGTATCGTCGAGTGTCAGCACGCCCCGCTCGACAAGCTGCATACACGCGATACCAGTGATCAGCTTTGTGCAGGACGCGATCCAGAATAAAGTGTCAATTTGCATGGGCCCAAGATGGTCATGGCCGTGGCCGCGCTGTCCAGCGGCGTGGGCAAATACTTGGTCGCCGTTTTTATCCACGACCATAGCCACTACACCTGGAAGGTCCCTATCGGGTCCCGCGCAGGCCATATTAATTAGCCGGATGAGAGCTTCAGTACTGGGTGGGGGTAATTTGCACATTGTCAGAAGTCATGCAAGTCTTGGAGGGGGGGTTGGAGAGGGTGATGGAAGTTCAGGTATGGGAAGCAAGTGACCCTATATAAAGGAGGACATTTCATAGGGGAGGCTTAATTCCGCATCTAGCCTGTCAGTCTGTGCTTTTTCATCAACACATCCCTCGCCACAGTTCCGCACCAATTTATGCTTACGACTTGCCTTCGGCTGTACTATGGCTATAGCTAGGACCCACACGTAATAACCACTCGGCTATTATGGAGTATACATCAACCATTTCTGTACTATGTACATCAACGAAAAGTCAAGTGGAAATCATGTAGATCGGAATCCAGAGCCTCCCGACACCTTTGTCGATAGCGAGGCAGACCCCCCATGAAAGACAGTGGCTCTACCCGCCTCCCCGGAATGTTCGCGCCCATGTACCATGAGTTAGCCGTGGGAACTAATGTGTTCTCCGCGGCATCTGCTACCTCGTTTATCCAGGCTTGTTCTGCCTCCTTCTTTACATCAATAAAAGCCACATGGCGCCTCTCCATCTGCCTAATAACGTCCATGATCCAAGAAGCCTGTAGCTCGATCGTGGTAGGCCCGTTCGAGAATACGGACGGAGAGTGAGCGCTATAGGGCAAAAACATATTCGGACACCGGCTGACCATCATACCGAGATAGGACGAGATTCCTCCTTGGTCCCACCGATGGTGGAGCGGAACGCCATCAGCGTCCTTGATACCCATTTCCCTTATCCCACCAATTACAGAATCGAATCCCGTGGCAATGGCAATGATATCGACCTCGTGGGTCCCAGAGTTTGTCATGATACCTGATGGGGCGAGTCCTAGGATCGGCGTTTCTCGGACATCTATCAAATGAACGTGGGGCTTGTTGAACTGCTCGTAGAAATCCTGTTCCAGCGACGGCCGCTTCGCACCAAATGCATGCAGTGGCGCTAGTGGTGCGAGCAGGTCCTTGAGCTTTGGGTCGTCGATACGTGCACGTGTCTTGCGCGCCCAGAAGCAATACGCTTCGAGGTTGGCCTCCGCATTGCTCATGAGGTCCTGGTATGAGGCATTCCAGAATCCCAAGCCGCCCTGGGCGTATAAGCGCTCGTACGTCGCTTCCCGCTGGGCCGGCGTGTCATCCATGGCGTCTCGCCAGATGCAGTCAGTTGACAGGCCTCCGAATGTATTTAATGACTTTTTGAACACGTCCCGCCGCTTCAGCTCAGAGACCTCGGAATTCGGCTTCTGCACGGAGGAATCGAGGAGTCGCTCCTGACGCATCGGCAATGCGGTATTTGGTGTTCGCTGAAACACATAGACCTCGTCGGCTTCCTTGGCCCATTGCTGGATAATCTGGATCCCCGTCGAGCCCGTTCCAATGACCGCAACCCGCTTGCCCCGAACATCGACACCGCAACCACCGCTACCGTTCGCAGGCCACGCAGACGAATGGTAGATCCGCCCACGGAACGAGTCTAGGCCAGTCCAAGCCGGCATGTGCGGTTTCGAGGCAAAGCCGATGGCGGGGATAAGATACTTGGCGCGGACCCATGTGCCGCTCGCAGTTTCCACGTACCATCGGGCACTGTCCTCATCGAACTCAGCCAGGACAACCTTGCAGTTAAACACGCAGTCCTTGCTGAGAGACAGCTCTTTGTCAAGGTGAGCGAAGTACGACTGGAGCTCTGCGTAGCCGGGGTATTTCTCCTGCCACGTCCAGTTTCTCCAGGCCCTCTCCATGGACAACTCGTAGCCCGGCACGGGGCAGTCGACCGGTTGTTGTGCCACGTTCCGCCAAGGCCGGAGCTTTCCTCGAAAACACGGACATTCAGGTTCAGCTCTTCTCGGAGCTTGTATAACAGCAGGCATCCTGAGAATCCAGCTCCAACAATGAGAGCGTCAAGATCAAGGCCGTAATTGCTCCGTTTTGGGCGGCCGTTACCAGACGGGGTAGCTTGTGTGCAAGGCATTGTAGAAGGAGTTTGATTTTGCTTTATACCGTGCGAGGAAGTCAAACGTAACTGACCAAGATTGCGAGTAGAGGGTTAGTTCAAGCATGTCTTATTTATCTTACCGTCCTCTGCACAGCTACTATGGGCTACTACTGAATCTTGCGAGATGATTCCAGTTTCACATCTACTCAATTACACCCCGCCGAATACCCCCACCCTAATACAACGAACTGCCTCGGCAGCAATGGATCTTTCAGCTATTAACATACAGCGGATTTGTTCCGTCGGCCTTTGATTTCACCGCAATTTCGTGATCCCTGTCTTGGATTGCTCGAATCTTAGACGAACACAATCCCGTCATATGTACGGGTTGGCATTCACCAGCGTGTGTCATTATTTGCTTTGGGGATTGGGGTGTCTAGGTTTGCTTCTCGACCTGTCCCACTCGCCAATTGCGTTGCAGTGGCTCTGGAATGATAGGCGATCGGGTGTAGCGATAGTGATGTCCAGGTAGATCCTCCTGTCCGGGATGATCTGTTTCGCCAATGGGATTACCCAGTTAGAGTGGGGGTGGCACCCACAATCCATGAATGAAGTGACATGCGTTGTTCGGTCCATTAATGTGGCGGTTGATCCTCCACAGTAACTTCTTAGCGTCACACCTCTCCGCCCTCCCCACAGTAATCCCAGACTTTGACCAATGTGGACCTCTGGTGGCTGCTCGTATTCTGCTTCAACACCGAACTTACCGTTGAGAAGTTACTTAGCTAAGTATATAATCAACTTACTTAATTACTTACTTTTGTGATTGCTTGCTCCATCACTGGCCTAGTTCATAACTAATTTAATGGGCTACTCATTTGCATGCTCAAGCTTATTTTGTTCCAAGTTAACTTACGCCCGGGTTGGCCACCCATGTAATACCATACAAAACTTATCTTTTTTATATTATAATCTCTTTATTAGTAAACCTTATGCGAGTCTAGTATCAAGCATGAAGATTGTAAAGATAATGAATAATATTATCAGTATTTCTTCATATGTTTAAAGCGCGTTGATTATGACGAGAACAATTATAAATTTTTTAAATAGTAAAACAGTTTCCGGCCTTAGAGAATTCTATGAAGATAATGATAAAATATTTTGTAATCTGGTATATTTACATATAAAGTTCTGGGGCAACGTTTATTACACTGGTTGAGTTATATCAAATTAGAGAACTTGGCACTTTGTATGAAACTACATAGGTAGCCGGCGCGACCAGGAGTTACGTTAGTAGTTATCATTTATTACAGAGCACTTACTTTGCTAAATGGATGGATGCATGTTTCCCAACAGCTGTCAATGCTCCAACATGCCCTAGCCTGTGGGTTTGACAGAGATTTTGTGCAGCGATAACTAGGATTAGAGTTTAATACAGTGCTAAATACTGCATTTGTGCCTTGATTTGAGGATGATTTGTGCAGTCTTCGTGGCTGTCACAAAGCGGAAAGGTTCCGGTCTTGCTTGGAGCATGAGGTCATATGCGGAGGTTGGTCGCTAAACCCCACCAATGATACACCATGCAGAAAGGCCGGCCTCTCACTACGTTCTATGTGGTTGTCCCTGGATTATACACAGCGGGTTGGTACTTCTTGGTAGAAATGACCTGCGGGGAAATGCCGCGCACGGACCGACCGGCACTTTTCCGCAGATCAGTAGCATTTCTACAGAGTTGGGTCATAGATTTAAAGTAGCCGGTTGGCTGCCTGGGGTTTTCTCAAAACGGCAAACTTGAGTATTCAAAGCAATTCCATCATGGCTGCATCTGAGACCAGCATTCCTTCCCACTGCAAGGCGGGTGTTGTTGTCAATCCGGGGCCCAACTTTGAGGTCCGAGTGGAAATGGTAGAAGTACCGCAACCAGGTAAACTTTCGAGTCCTCTTCAAATCACACTCCGCCGGTTCTGTGTCGCTGACATATACAGGCCCGGACGATCTACTCATTCGTCTGCGAGCTACAGGTATCTGTTCATCCGATCTTCATATGATGCAAGGCGACCTTGGTACGCCGCCAATGTCAGCTTTCGGCGTTCGATCACCGGGTCATGAAGGAGTAGGCATCGTAGTCAAGATCGGTGCAAATGTGCGCAATTTTAAAGTCGGGGATCGAGCTGGAATCAAGCCATTGCTTGACACGTGTGGAGCATGCGAGAGATGCTGGGGGGACAAGGAGATGCACTGCCGGAGTGGTATCCATACAGGGCTCATGGCACCTGGTAGGCTATGAGATTATACGTACCTCTGAGACCTTCTTGATCTAACTCGACGATAGGAACATATCAGCAATATATTGTCTCCCCCGCTCGCTATGCTTCACCAATTCCGGATACCGTACCCGATAATGTTGCTGCTCCTATTATGTGTAGCGCAGCCACTATGTATAGGTCTTTGAGAGAATCTGGGCTGAAGGCCGGAGATTGGGCTGTGTTTCCTGGTGGTGGCGGTGGTGTGGGTATCCAGGGAGTCCAAATTGCCAAAGCGATGGGCATCCGACCGATTGTTGTCGATTCCGGGGAGACTAAGCGCGCTCTGGCTCTGGAGATGGGTGCCGAGAGCTTCGTGGACTTCAAAGAGACGACTGACACAGCAGCTTCTGTCATTGCTGTAGCCGACAACATTGGGGCTCATGGGGTATTTGTCACAGCACCTGCTGCCTATCGAAATGCATTATCTTATCTGGGAGACCGCATAGGGGCTATCGTGATGTGTGTTGGACTGGCCCCGAAGGACTCGATGACAATCAGCAGTGATCCTAACTTTCTTATTTTTAACAATACGACCATCAAAGGAACCCTGGTTGGGAGCCGCAGCGACGTTGCAGCGTCGTTAGACTTGGCTTGCCGAGGACACTTGAAACAGATTTGCGAGGTATATCCCATTGACCAACTACCTGAAGCAGTGAAAAGGCTCCGGACAGGCCAAGTTGCAGGCCGTATTGTCGTGAACTTTGACCTTGCGAGCTAGAGACACTTTCGTCTATATAGCGAGTCTGGCTAGCTGTCGAAATATCTTCGTTAAGAAACTCCTCCCTTCCGCCCGATAGAAGTTACTCAAACTGCCTCGTAATTACGGTGTAAGATACCCCAAAAAGAGAATTGGATAGACACGTGTGCGGGCACACTACAAATGCTGCAGGAAGTTTCTCATGCATCAGCATTGATGCGTACTGCTGATCATTACATGTTGGGAATTCTTCGCTGTAAACATGATTCCCGGCCGGTACGCTCACTCCGGTCAATCCAATCACAGAACTTTCTAACTGTAATACCTGGGATTGTATTCTTTAATGACTTAGGGAAGTGTTGTGTGCATCATTCAGTTTGCTAGCCTAAGTAACCGAGTGATGACGCGCGCAGGTAACTCGTCACTCAACTGTTGCCCGGGTACACGGTTCCCTCGGCATCCACGTGTCTTGTTTGTTTCTGACATTGATACCTTGGTGCAGTCATTGTCTGAGAAGTAAACAAACTGAATCACGGAGAGCGAGATTGGATCCCTCCTTTCCGGCTAGTGATTCGGCAATTCATGGTTGACCTCGGGAATATGATAAATAATAAACTTCAGTCGGATGTTTGAGAATGATGTTCATGCTTGGCTTACAGTGGGGGTGGGACTACTTAACTCAATCCCCCACGATAGATCTACGTACGATGAGTGCATGCTCGCAGGGGGTTCCCAGCGTGTGGCACATGGTTCCTGGCAGTCTTTGGTAATATTATTCTAGAGTAGACCAAGAAATTTGGAAATAAATTGAACAGGTATCATTTGCTGAATATCCTGTGTCGGCCATTGAGTCCCTTAAATCTAGGTAGCTAATCCCAATTATTCTCTCCGAAGTTGGATCCGCCACAAAAATGTCCTCTCTATTGCCTCCGGAGGGATTAACATCAGAAACTATTTTAGCATCTTTCTACCATACTGTCCTTTAACCTATCTTTACTGGACCCATACTCTACGGCCTCCTCAGATATCCTGCACAAGTTAATGAATGGGGCGGAAAAAGACGCTACATATTCTCAAGGGGTGCTTCGCACTTTGAGCCGTATTTTGGGCCCGCATTCGAGGAGATTATCCAGCTTCAGCTGAACTTCTTGAAGGGTGTGTTCCAGTGAAATGGCAGCTTATAGATAGGAAGATGGTGACCATATGTTGGTATAGGTCAAATACTATAAAGGCAATATCGGAACTGAACCTCAAACACCACTCCGGAGGTGACACCTGCTCCCCATGAGTAGTTGACTTCTGTCAAACACCATTTGGAAAGTATAGGATGGACCTGATGATCCTTTTGAAAACACTTTGATAATACTGGCTATCAGCGAATAGTACCTAGAAGCGGAGAGTGGGGTATCAGTCATTCTTCTGCCGAGGTTCCCCACAATTCCCAACTTTGACTCTCCTCACCTCAACCAGCCAGACCAGCACAATCTTTCATCAAACAAGCCGTCCTACCTTCAGACTTAGGAGGTGGAAAAGATGATATTCAGATGCAAAAACTGTTCCGCTCAATTTCAGCGAGATGATCATCTACAGCGCCATCAACTAAGCTATTCCGAACTACGATACAAATGCGCGGACAAACAATGCGGGATGCGCTTTCACCGTCGCGATGCGGTGAGACGGCATGAAAGGTCACATCAGCGGAGTGGGACACAAAAAAAAAGGAAACCTCGACGAGGCGTACTCCCTTGCCCTCGCGTTTCAACGAGGAATGATACTCTTCTGCGTCCTGGTGACGTCGTCAGATTTGGGAGCAACCATGACGACGCACGGTCGCAATTCTTCACAGTCGACGCAGCCAGCGTGGATTTTCAGGCCAGACTACGGGCTTGTCCGAGCCTGCAAGCCAAAAGCACTGGCAAAGCAAGTGGAGTATTGCTGGACTGCCGTAAGTGCGCAACTACGAATATGCTTTGCGATGAGTGCATATCGTGTCTCTTGCCTGCAACAGGTCTTGCGGAGGATCACTTCACTGCGTTTCAGTTTTGCCTGCAACATTTTGTGCGAGTCCATGCTCGAGAATTTCCATTCCTGCACTCCTCTTCCTGGCGGACGAGCTGGGAGCTGTCTGGAAAAGCTCTTGTCATGGCGGCTATTGGCGGTTGCCGAATCCCATCTTATGGCGGGCATTCAAGACTCTACTTCGACTTGGCCGTTCACCAAGTTAAGAGCTTTACGGCCTCCCTGGACGGTGCGGAGTATCAGGATGCACCCGGTACAGCGACTTGGAATGACGCATATTACAGAAGACTGCTTACCAGTTTCGAAACCTATATCCTGCTAATCAGGTATAGCGTATGGTCCGAGTTTGCAGACCTCCGTGAATGGGGGATAAAATCGCTTGCTGATCACGCTATCACGGTGATGCCTAGGCTTGCAAGAGTCATGAGCGATAATTCACACAACTCCACTTCATGGCTACTGTGGTTACTGCTAGAAGAGTCGAAGCGTGCGTTATGGTGTTTCTATTGCCTCGCCGTTAAATGTCGGCACTTTCTGCATTATTCGATATCAACATTTGAGGTCGTCGTCGGGAACATACACCTCCCTTGTCCAGATTCTCTCTTCGAAGCCCCTGACGAACAAACATGGACAGGACTCAATAACTCAAATGCGCCGCAACACCTGATCGGCTTAACCGTCCCGTCCCAAATAGCATTCTACTACCTCATGTCTCAAGAGCCTATGCCTCAGTTAACGCCCAACAAGGTTGGCACCTACACCAGCCATATTCTTCTCTGCAATCTCTTAAACACTTATGAAACCGGTCGGACTAGTTCCTGGAACTTCACATCCCTCGATGCATACCTAGATTCAGACATATCGTGTTTCCGGCTTCGCACTGAACTCATCCGTGCCCTGGACTACTGGAAATGGCTATTCTGGCGCGATCCGCACGAACTTTGGCACTCCAGGCACCCAGACCATCAAATAAACAGCATGATGTTGTGTGTGTACCTAGAGGCACAGATGTGGAGTTCTTCAAAGCCTCATCTACTCAGCGCGTCGCGTCGCCGAGCAGGTGCTCAACTTGCGTTTGACTTGCTTTCTCTTATCTCTCGTACTGGATTTCTCGTGGTAAGCACACAAAGTGGAGAACTTACAACACTGCCGGGCCCGCATTCGTAGCTTTAGCTTGCATTCTTGCTTCTTTTCCGATTATCTTCGCAGTATGCTAATACCCACTTTTGCAAACGTTCCTCTAGGTTGGGGCGAAATCGCCGTTTTACGTTGAACCTGTCGTCTACTTCTGCACACGCAGCCTTGGCCAGGCAATGCTCGCCTGGTACGATAGCCTTGGAGATGTTGAACGTACTATAGGCAGGGCTACAGATGATGCAGATTGGATGTTGTACGACAAAATTCTGGAGTGCTTGAATCGTCTACCTGGGACCCTCGATGGATTCTCTCTTCCTCGGGTCCAAGGTGGACCCTCCTCTCCCACACCACTATCTCCTCTGTCTTTTACTAATTCCCTTAGAGATGCCATTGTTAGAGTATGGAGCCTTGTTACAGGCGATGACAAATTGGCAAATGAGGGTTTTTGACCGGGAAACCTTTATAATAGAGTTAGAAAGCACTGGAGAGACCTAGGATTCTATCCGCACTCCCTGCGCCATATACGCCTTAACAAACCCTTCTTCATGGCAGGTGGGTGTTAAGCCAGATACTTTGGACGCTCTATCCAATAGCTCATTCACATTGGCTACTAGATTCATCGCTTGGAGCACTAGCTAACTCAGTTGCAAGGCATAGCCAGAAAACGAGCTATAATGCAGCTGCCTGGGGATGCCTCTTGCCCTGCTTGATCAGTCTTGCAGACGAGAACTAGATGTCTAACCACAACCTCTAGTATAAGAAACTTCAATGGAAGGGTTTAAGAATCTTTACAAATATTAAGTCAGGATACTTAAAAAATATAGTTAAGGAGAGCTTGTCAAGGAAACACGGCCATTAATAACTATAATAATATAGGGGAAAATTCTATCCCCTAGGTTACTTCCAACTTAAGACCTAGGCGTCTGCGAGAAACACTGAATATTCATGTTGGCGGTTTAATAGCTTGTGGTTGTCTAGTGAATACTTGATCCCCTAAAGACAAAAGCGAATTCCCTAGATGCTCTTTGGCTGTTTGTGGACGCTGGCTAATATATAATGTTTAACCTTTATTCTCTCTTGCCTTTCCAATTCTACCCCTTGTCCTTAAGATGGCGCATAGCAACGCTAATAAAAGGGTAGTTCACCTAGTGTGCTAGCATATTTTTCACGGCTTTAACTTCACGGTTTGTAAATAGAAGGTAGGTGGCCCTCGCGAAGCGCTATATAACTCTCCAAAAAGCTTAAGACTCTGAATAGAGGGGCAAGATTTATTGACGTTAAATTCGTTTTCTCCAAGCTGCATCCTTTATAAAAGCCACCTGTTTCCTCACAACGCTTAGTATCATCTCTCAGAGGCTCAGAAGAGATTTTTCTTACAGTTTTGATGTATCCGTGGCGCGCTCATACACCTCATTGATCGCTCAGGACCTTTCCTTGCTGCTGATAACATTTCTTTTGCTCCACGGTTTTCTGGTATTCTTCCTGTAAATCCACGTGCTCCTGCAGCCCTTTTCAACCGTTCCAATTTCGTTTGCATAGACCTAGACATGATCACGTGAGGGAGAATGGAATCGAGGAATATGGGACAACAAGAAGGAACGGCCAGAAGTAGAAAAAGCCCTTTCTATTCATGTCAGTGGTGGAGGAATAATGATTGCAGCCTGTTTTACATAGCATTCTGTAGCTCACTCTTCTCACCCCCACTCACCCAGTTGGGTGATTTCCTCACCGAATTCTTACCCATCTCACCTATACTCACCCATGATCTAGAGTCTGTCACTCATAAAGCAGCGACATCCTCGGGTCTCATTTAACTTCTGGCTACATTTATCAGTGTGGCTTATGTACGGCTGAGCGGACGGGAAAGCTTATTTTCCACGCCCTGTGATCGTATGTACTGTTTCAAACTCCTTCATTGGTTATAGCGAATGAGGTCCGACATCGTTGTTTCAGGTATTCTTGGGATTGAAGCACGACCATGTGGCAATGCCGTTTCGCTAAGCACGAGAAAGTCCAGTGGTAGAGTCATCCTTCCCGGAATCACATTCCATGGTTAGATGAACAAGCGAGATGTCATCATGCTGGCGATGACCGCGGGCAGAGGTCCGATTATGGTACACTTGTGCACTAGTGGTATGGGACTTGTCGGCACTGGTAGAGAATAGTCTTGGGAAGATCAGATCCATGACCGGCTTGGTGCTTGGCAGGCTGGCTGCAATGATGGCAACAGCAACTTCGATTCCTGACGACACGGAGACGCCGAATGTGCTCCAGCTTGGATCATTGCTCTCATAAAGCTTGATGATGTACACCATTCGAACAATGCTGGCAATGCAGGCGCTGCATGGTAACCTGTTAGACAGATATGTTCTACAACTCGTTCCGATGGTATTCTTACAACGTTCCCAAGGATAACAGACCGATGACTACCACACGCTTCATGCTCCCAATTTGTAGGCCTGCACTCATGAGTAATTGCTGTGCGGCCCTCTCTAACCAGCCCCCCTTTGTTTATGAACGCACCTAAAATAGTCCGGATCGGTAAACCTAGGATCCACAGATCCGTAACCAGTGATAATGCGGCTGTGGCGTACCAAAAAGGAATAGACGCGAAACAGGTATAGTGGTCGTATTTTTGAGGGTTGTACACTGCATCTACGGGCCAGCATTGAAAAATGGTGGCGAGGATAATGGCTATGCTCATGGCGGCGATAAAAGCTATGGTGCCAAGAGTGATTTTGCGGAGATTTGGGAAGAGACGCAGATATAATAGGCAGATGGACGTCTTGATCAGGCCGGTGATGGGAGTGTAGATAATATGAGTAATGTAGCGAATCTACAGGCAATCATGCCGCTGGTCAGAATCTGGATTGCGATTGGGAGGGTTGAAAATATTCCTGAGCATGCGGGCGCACCTTGGCTGCTGGTAACTCATCGACCTTTGAGAGAGTGCCATCATGTTTCCCTGTACCATATTTGACTCCTAGGAGGACATTTGGCATGAGTTGCAGTACTCCGACCCGAGCTCCAAGTACATACCAAGTCCTGCAATGGCAACATTCAAAATGGCCGTGATCGTGGCGAGCATCATCGTCCAGTCATCTATTCCTAGCCGCTTCACAATCACAGCACGGGATACGAATCGCAGGGCAACGATGGCCGCTGCGAGCCCAGTTACGGTCCCATTGATGATGACGATCAAGGGCCCACGGTCCTCACACTAAGCCGAAAATCAGTATGAGCACCGTCCACAAGCTTAAGCACTTGCCTCAGAGCGTGCTGGAAAGCTTTGCTGCATGGTGAGGCCGTAAAGCCCAGCACAAATTGGCTCACTGTGTGCTGATGATGAGGCTTTATTTTTGGGTACAAACTGCACTCGGTCAAAAAAGGGGCATGATGGTCCGCTCGACAGAACTAAGATCAGGGAGAACCTGCCCTAGTTAGCACCCTTGGCAGCAGGAATTCCGACGTCTCACAACGACCATGATACCCCCGACTTGGCTATCCCCCAAAGGACCGTAATTAAAGCGCTACGGACCTATCACGTTCCGTCACTCAAGCTCGACAGATAGGTTCGGGATTGCAATGTCCGACTAAAGGGCTTGGCAGGATCCTTGCCTATCCACGGGTTTGCAGGGTGGTCTGACGCCAAGGTGGCTTAAGCATTGGTGGATGTAACTGGCGAGGCCCGCCCATTAACGCCCGGTCCAATATGTGTCAAACCGCTAACAGTGCCGGCGGCCGATTGGCTTCTCGATAGTCGGAAACCGGTTGCCTTGGCGCCCAAGCTTAGTGCACAATTTACCATCCGGACACTATACTTCGTCCGAGACACCGGACTGTCCGTTCTTTAAGATCTCCCAAAGTCGTGGGCGAACCTTCCTTCACAATATCCTTGTTTACATGTTGGTAACATCTGCCCTTCATGCCATCTATCCGATCTCTCTTCCTTAGCGCATTGTCGGCATGGCTGGTCGCAGGGCATACTCTCCGGGCCAGCAACATCAGCACCGGCTACCGGATCGATGTGCACTCTCATGTGATTCCTCCGGTCTGGAGAGAGGCCTTGATTGCTGCTGGCTACCCGGTGAAGAATGGAACGCTGTATACTGACAATTTCCCGGTGCCCAACTGGACGCTGGAATCACATCTGGCCACGATGGACACCTTGGGCATCAATTTCTCGACCATCAGTGTGAGTGCTCCCGGGGTCTACTTCCTGAGCGACCCTAGGGAGGCACACGCGCTGGCCCGGACTGTCAATCTCGCCATGCACAACTACACCCAAGCCCATCCCACTCGGCTGGGAGCGCTCTGTCTGCTGCCCCTGCCGCACGTAAAAGAAGCAGTAGCCGAACTGGAGGTACGTTGATTGCCAGACAGTAGCAGAATCTTGGCTAATACACAGCTGTTAGTTTTGCCTTGATACGCTCAAGTTCCCCGGTGTGGGCATGTACACGAATGCCAATGGTACCTACCTAGGCGACCCTTCTCTCAACCCTGTCTTCTCAGTTTTGAATGAGCGACAGGCCACTGTCTTCGTCCACCCGGCAGCTCCAGGATGTCAGTCAGTGAGCCTGGGCTACCCGTTCCCTTTGACGGAGTACCCATTTGACAGCGTGCGTGCAATGGAAAATCTATTATTGAAGGGCCAACGCGCGGAGAATCCTGATGTCAAGATGATATTCGCTCACGGTGGGGGCGCCATGCCCTATCTAGCCAGTCGGATTGCCGGAATGGCGTCCATGTCGTTGCTGGGGTCTCTGAACATGACCAAATCTCTGGCGGAGCTGGCAGGGTACTACTTTGACACGGCGTCTGCCACCTCAGCAATTCAACTCACTGCCATGAAAAGCTTCATAGGGGTGGACCAGATTCTGACTGGAACCGATTGTAAGCCCTCCTCTGTTTTCCTGCACTCTTGCATCCAATCGATGAGGGAATTAACAATGTCTCAGACCCGTATGTTCCCCTTGCGCAGAGTGAGGCGGCACTCCCTGCCATCCAGGGCAACGGCGACTTCACCGATGCCGAGATGGCGCGCATCAACCACCAGAATGCGCTATCACTGTTTCCGCGCGTTGCCAAGGTGTTGGGTTATTAAGCTCTTCCTAACAGTGAGCATTGTAATAAAAAAACGCGTCTATGCCACCTCATAGTGTTTGTAGTCCAATGAATGCTTCTAATGGTATTGTGTATGACATCGAGTAGATAGATTCGTGGAAGACGATCCAATCTTAAGAGTCAAGAGGCTGTCCAGGCGAACATGTCCGAGCGGCTCAAGATATATTTATATTGCCTGATAGTGTTAGGTCAACAAATAGTAGTACTTTATCCCACGCCCCACTATTTCCGATGACTGCCAGATAGAAATTTAACAGCCACATTCACCGAAACACTTCCATTAGTACAGGAGTAGGAGCGGTGCGAGAGCCGGCCATGATTTGGTCACGGAAGGCATGTGCGGCCTGAGGCAGGGAGGTGCGCGGCCCGAAGATCGACACGCGGCAAGATTGCCAGCAAACTCGACTGACCGCGCGATCCCTAGCAACACGACACAGATGTTCGGGGTTGTTGGATACATGCCAGGCGTTTCATTAGTCTGACATGTTGTGCCCGGGTAGACTACTACTGGTACTATATCCATCTCCATTTGATAATCTTCCGATCGCATCTGCGAGTGATTCCTCTACCGGAAAGCCACAACCGGGAAGGGAGAATAGCAGTCACCCGCATGTCCTAAATGAGGGCGTCCCTGACAGTTGAAGATCCGGGGTAATTATGGGGAGGGCCTCTCCATGCACGGTTGGTTCCGACGCTCAAACTCAAGTGGAGGCCGCCTCGGTCGCTGCTCACATTCAGCCCCGCTCAAAGCCATGCGCCAGACAAGAGGAGCACAGTAAAACACATCGGTAGATCAACTGAAGATGGGTAGTGGTGATGCTACATATGTTGTGCATAGGTTGGGGTTAGCTTTCCTATCAAGCGCATTGCACTGTCTGGGAAGGAATGTACTCGAGGTTGTAGTGTAGCAGCCACGGATGTAAGCCCACGGGTTTATTGGATTTATCTCACATGCCATCTCAAACAATACTTGTAATCAGAACCTTTTCATAGACACGAATTTTGCAAATGCAACTATCGATTATGCCGCGTCTTTGTTGTTGGTCTTCTGGTCGGGACAACAAGAGGACCCTGGATAATTGACTTCCGCCCCTTTCCGCTCGGGTGACCGCTACGCAGCACGGTAGGTTGGTGGGATGCCACCAATCACGTAGCATACCTTGCTTGAGGTTCTGGTGAGACCAATTGCAAGTGAGTGTCAGCAACTTGCACCTTTAGATGGGTGGGGATCTCCCCGCTGTGGGTCGGTCAGCACTTACTCCTCTTCACGGAATTAACGGGGATACAAGTCTGAGGGCATCGGCTGACACCCGAAGTACGTGAAACAGCTTCGTATTGCCAAAGACAACTACAGCATCTACACTGGTGCCCAGACGCATTGACCCGAGTACGAGTCCAAATTGCTGTTCCATTGATTACAATCAATGGGACGGGGACACTGGTTCAACGGCATAACCGATGACATCAAGCTTCGATCCACTAAAAGCGGCATCTGGTGGAGACTCGGCGTCATGATCAACGTACCGCCATGTCTCCTACAACTTCAGGCCTGGAGGTAATCGGAGTTTATGGCTATCGCCGCCAATTCTGAAGACATATATAGTCGCCCTCTTCCCCAGACATCATTGAAGCAGCAACGTCCTTATACACTCTTCATTGACTACCATCATGTCTATCTTCGCCCCCGCCCCCAAGCCAGCCAGCCGTCTCGGCTACCACCGCGTATTGGCACCCTCGGCTGGTGTCAAGGTCTCCCCACTGTGTCTGGGAGCTATGAACTTTGGAGACGCATGGTATGGCAAACTTCTTATCTTGAAGTGACTGGTTAACCAAGCTGATTCTTGTTGGTTTACAGGAAGGACTTCATGGGAGAATGCAACAAGGAGCAGACCTTTGCACTGCTGGATGAATTCTACAGGCTGGGAGGCAACTTTATCGACACGTACGTCACTACTACATATAATGTCCTTGTAATATACTAACAATCATTACTAAAGGGCCAACAACTATCAATTCGAAGAATCCGAGAAATGGATCGGAGAGTGGATGACCGCGCGCGGGAACCGCGACCAGATGGTGTATGTATCAATGGGTCTCCATCTTTTCACACTAAACCTGACACCGGATTCATCAGCATCGCAACCAAGTACACAACCGGTTTCCGCACCGCCCATCGGGACACCGAGCCCCTGCAATCCAATTTCGTCGGCAACTCCATGAAGAGCATGCGGGTCTCCGTCGAGAGAAGTCTCAAGAAACTCCAGACTGACTACATCGACCTCCTCTACCTGCACTGGTGGGACTTCACCTCCTCCGTGGAAGAAGTCATGCATGGACTCAACAACCTCGTCACATCGGGCAAGGTTCTCTACCTCGGTGTCTCCGACACCCCGGCCTGGGTTGTCGTCAAGGCCAACGATTACGCTCGGGCCAACGGCCTCCGTCCTTTCTCTGTGTACCAAGGAAGATGGAACGCCGGATTCAGAGACCTCGAAAGAGAGATAATTCCCATGTGCAGAGACCAAGGAATGGCGATTGCTCCCTGGGCACCGCTCGGCGGGGGCAAGTTCAAGTCTGCGGAGGCGCGTAAGAGCGACGCCGAATCTGGCAGTGCACGGGCCGCTGATTTGAGCGAGACTGATATCAAGGTCTCGGATGCATTGGAGAAGGTTGCGAACAGGAAGAACACCACTTTGCATGCTATTGTGAGATTCCACTCCCATTAATGCTATGTCATCGAAACTAATCCGAATGATCAACAGGCTGTAGCTTACGTCATGCACAAGACACCTAACGTGTTCCCCATCATCGGTCAACGCAAGATTGAGCATCTCCGGGCGAATGTGGAGGCTTTGAGTGTGAGCCTCTCCAATGAGGACCTCGATGAGATTGATAGTGCATCTTCGTTTGATGTTGGCTTCCCGATGAACTTCATCTACCGTGACTGTTACTCTTCGCGCAACACGGCCGCCGATGTCTGGTTGACCAAGGCTGCTGCTCTTATTGACGCACCTCCTCATGCGGCGCCTGTGCAGCCTCGTCAGGAGTAGATTACTGTTTGTAGCATTAACGATCGATTTCACATCAAGAAGCCTGGTTATGTCCATTATTGTTAGAGAACAGAAAAGAAAAAGAAATTTCGACATACTGCCTTATGATTTAGACACCTGAACTCTTTCTACAATACATTATTAGATTAACTATCCATATTTGTGACTCTGATATGCCGATTGATCCAATTACCACAACATCGAAAACTCATTATAGACTGTAATAATTGAGATGTATAAAGATCAGAAAGTAAGACGTAGTGTTTGCCTCCAGTGAATGTTCAAACATTGCACCAGTAACTCCAAAGCTGAGCCAGCATTCGATTGGCTGGATTAAGGTTCCCGCTGGCCATGCCTCTATCATCATTTCTAGATCTCCCTTTCTCTCGTTCATCTCTTCTTCTCTCTCATCTATTTATCTTCTCCGCAGATAGTGGCTTTCATTACTTTCAAAATATCACCAGTCTGCGGTACTCGTTACTTCGACATCTCCTGTCGCTACTTTCCGATGCCATCATGCCATCGCGTTGGTTTGCTCAAAGCGAGGTCGCCCCTGGTACTATCATCCAGCTTAGGAAGGCCAGGTGGGTAATTCGCGAGGTAGCTAGTGAGCACTGCTTCCAGTTCAACCAGGACGATCTGCGGGACAAACATGACCCCTCCTTGGCCTGTACTCGTCTCGTTTGCGACACACATGGACCGGATGGCCCTGTTCAGGGTCACATGCGTTATTATAAGCAGATTCCCATTGAAGGAACTGAAGCTGAACCCCCAACCACACGAGCCGAGCAAGCAAAATTCTTTTGTCCGATTGAACTAAAGCACCTACGCACCTTGACCCAGAAAGGATCAACCATCACCCCCCGTGTGCTGGACAGCAAAGAAGACAAGCAGGATAATACTGGCTTTGTTCCCGGCGGCTTCGTCACTTGGGTTGTTTGGGAAGTGGTACCAGGACTCCAACTGGGTAATGATGTCGGTTCTGCGCCATTCTGGAGGTTAGGTCGGGACGAGCGGGATGCAGTGCGTCAAGCATTCCAAGAGAGCATCTGGTTTGTGGCCCTAATGCCTTTCCCGCTCGCCCATACTAATACGTACTGTAACAGCAAGCTTGAGATCTGGGGACACCTACCTTACCCTGAACACGCTAAAAACCTTGTCTGGGATTCCACCACGGGCAGTTTGTGAGCCCAGCAGTCCAGTCCATCACTTCTCTTACTAAACCTGTATTGTTACGTAGGTACTATGTTGGATTCCTTCTCACCTGCAAGGGTGATCCACGAGCTGTCTGGTCTCCTGCCAAATGGGCAGGTTGGGGCTTGGCAAAACCGCCAAGGGGATGCCGAGATTGGGATAAGTCTACAGAGGGCTGGGAGCTCTAGTCTCTTCTATTCCTTAATGGGGATATGCTCATGTACATCTAATCACGGAGCCATAGCTTGCAACAAGAATGATATTTGGGGATTGAGGATAGTAAGTGTAAACTATTTGTGGGATAGAATGGACAGGAGGCGCTATTTACATAGATGGAGTTCATATGACAATATCCAGATCGTTCTGCACCGTCCATTTGTTCGATATATTCGCTGTCTACCATTTTCTTCAAGTTAGCGCAACTCCGATGCGGGGCCGACTAGCTTCGAGCAGTGCAAGCATTATGATGGGCGTACCTCTAGCATATTGCCGCGGTATTCCAAGATTCTTCTCGCGGCGCAGAGTGCTCATGCAGCAGCGTATATCGCAATCCAAAGCCTTCACCGCGGGAGTCACTTTGGGCATGGTGGCTCTATCCGACCTGGGCTCAGAACAATGCTTGGATGCTAAAAGATGCGTTGCAGATTCAATAGCTCTGCGGGGACACTCACAGCATTATCTGGGTTTTCTTCACAGACGGTCAGGATCCTAGACGGATTTTTTTGTCTCATACTCAAACGCGAAATGCAAACTCTACTCAATAGTTCACCTCTCCATATGGACAGCCCAAGTCCGAAAAACAGCTTGCCATTAGAAAACATATCAAATGACAGTAATCCTCTGAATCCAATTGACTCGCAGTTTGATATTTCCAGCCAAGAGGTGTCAGCAACCAACCAACTTCATAGGGCCGAACAATGCATTTCAATCTACGAGCCCAACGGCTTCTGTAGCCGACCCTGCCAGCCAGGATCTCAATACCCTCCACAACATGCTCCTTGGTCAGAGCTGGGTATAGAACCAGATAGATCCCTTTCAATAGAGTGCAAAAGCCGAAAAAAAAAATAATTGTCAATACTTCTCTAGTGACATTGCTTCAAGTTTTCTTTATCCGAACTTTGTACTTCCAAGCGCCATCGGCGTATCGATATAGGTAGTAAACATGCGGCAACAATACATACAAAGCCTCTCATCGAACAAACTGGTCAACATAATCCGCCCCAAGCCCAACCTTCTCATAATGCGCCCTCGCACTAGCCAACTTCGAAAACACATCCTCTACCCCCAGCGCATTTCCCACAGGGTCGACGTAGATATATGCACCAGTAACATGAAACAAAGTAACCATTTCCTCGACCCCATCCGGGACCTCAAGCGTGTGAATATCACCCGGAGGCTCGAAAGCATGACTGCCCTCCGTCGCCCACCACGGATGCTCAAGATAGTGCCATTTGCCTCGTAGAACCGTTGCATGAACAGGGCCGATATGACGGTGACGGGACAAGATACCCGAGCGACGCACACGAAGTAGGTTGACGAAGTAACCCTGAGTGACGTTGAATAGAATAGGACGGAACCAGACGTCTGGTGCTTGGGGAACCCATAATCGTTCTTCGAAGTCCAGGCCCACAATATTTGGTACGACGAGATCCTCTGAGACGTTGGGGAGAGGGTCTCCTTGGTAGGGAATAGCTGTAGCTTTGGGTCGGTCGTTGGCGGAGGTGGATGTCATATTGGGATTTTGAGACGGAAGGCGGAGAGTCGGAATCGAGGATGTTTTGAGGTTGGATGAGGTGTATTAGCACAGCAATAGATTTGCATGTCAAATAGGGCCACTTATATATTTATGGATTGTAGACTACGCTTTGAGAGGCACTTTGTCGATCTTAGCTGATCGGGTGTGGCGCGACACAGCTGGACGTTTTCTTTGGGTGCCTTTGTCCGGTGGAAGTGGGTATGTGTAGCGTTCTCCGAGTCCGGTGGAGATTTCAGTGGCCTCGGCTCGACTTGAGTACTCTGCACTCAGTTAAATCAGAAGTCTCAGGCAAATACACAGCTTCATGAAGAAGAGAATGGCTTCGCATGTCACTCCATTACAATTTATTTGTTGCGTTGTTTCAACTCAACATTACTTCATGATATTTGACAGTGATCTTGAAGCACCAAGTCATCCTCTTGCCGATACGGATGCCAAACAGAACAATTCTGAAACTGAAATTCGAAGGCTGCTGAACCTATCGATTCAGCATTTGGGCTGGATAATAACTCGCAGACAGCTGGCCAGGCAGCTGGCCGGTCAGCTGCGATACTCATTTATATCCTTATATTACTGCATGACTTAGTTTTCTTTACTTTCATCATTAGTTCAAGTTGTGTTGAGCTACAGAGACGACCTTCCTACATCATGGCATGTGTTGCTTCGTGGTTACGTATATTTACTGCGAGTTTAAAAGAACTAATAGTATTTAAAGCTATATTCCTGCTTCAAACAATAAAGCACCTGCATAGCCAACATCTTACTCAGAAAGCTCGATCGTGTATGAATGAGAATCGAATTGGATTGAAATGGTCATTTAGCTATATCCTTCTTCAAGCGGTTTTGTGTCGCTCTTGGCGTCGTTTAGTCTTCCTTCTCACCTCCACGTGACTAAGCTTACAGTAATATTGCATCAACAGACAACATAGCTGATAAGTATAAACCTTAGTTCTTGGTGCTATGTCCAACAGACACTAAATCGTACTATCATTAGAATGGACTAAAGCGAACTGTCCTAAGCCGAATCGTCCTAGTCTATCGGCATGAGCGACGACGGTGTCATCACATCTCAAACCCCACTGTGATTTTATATGCTGATTCTCCATTCCCATTGCCTTTCATTCTCAGGTTGCTGAGAATCACACATGAATTTTTGAAGATCATATGTCAAAACAGATATCTGCCAAGTAGACCAAAACGATACATCGATGGCCACCAAGCAGCAGGGGTGACTCAGATGTCTCAACATCATACATGAAGGATTTGTCTTTGATGTTCATGGAAACGCCGTCTATCTTGATTTGTTGTATGGAAATTGCATCTGTGATGCTGCAAGTGATATCGAGCAATTCGCTCGGCGCTCTGACATTGCCGCCTGGTAGTCACTATGCTTGGGCTGTACCTATACCTCATGTATCAGCTTAGGCCTTATAATAGCTGTGTACCATGTACATACAAGGACTGAATTTTCAAGTAACACCCGGTCGAAAGGTAAAGAGTCGTAGTATAAACCAATCCATTCACCACTATGCCACATAAAGTGCATGATGAAGACGTGGTTGTATTTGATGAAGATAGGGTTTTATTTGAGACAAGCCGGTGATGTCGGTGTTAGAAACTAATAGCATGACCTTGGAGGGTAAACTCTCAACTAAGCATAATGAATTCAGAATACCCACGCAACTGCTGTAACAGTTAATGTCAAGACGAAGGCTTAAAGATATATGGATTTGATCTATATGATCTCGAGAGAGTGATTAGTTGTGTGTTAGAAGAGGTGGTGGTCAGAGACCACGCAGGAAGAAAAGACGAAGGATCAGCTGACAGCTGCCTGGCTGCAGTGAATGTCTCAACAGTTAATTTAGATTATCTGAATGAATTAATCAGTACACCGGAATTGTCGACAACAGAATTTAAGTGACCAGTTCAAGAGCTTTCTGCCAGTCTTCCGGAGAGGTCACATCTCCGCTAACATAAGTTACGTTGTTCGAGAAGTCACCTTGTGAGTCTTCTGGGCCCGGCTCTACAATATCCAAGACTAGAACTCGGGCATCTTCGGCAATGAACTTGGACACAATTCTTTGCAGAATCCCTGTGCTCCGCCTGTAACCAGAGCCGTCCCGGGAATATGGTATCAATATTCATAATAGTTAGGCCTTGCTATCGCACATCTGGTGGGGAGATACTCGCCTGTCCTCCGAGTCCCGCATTCCGGAGGTGAGGATGTCCGGATACGCTCCGGTGGACGTCCGGTGGAGCATGTTCACCGGACATATCCTCGGACAACCCTAGAATCCAGAACATCGGCGTATAGCATAGAATATAGATGTGGCTCGATTGTACACTTAACCAGAGTATGATTCCTAGAGAATAAGAGAAGTTAACTCTGCAATAGTGACTCTTGTCAATTCTGGAAATATATGTTCAGTATTCGAAAAGTACAACGGACATCGAACATTTGTTAGTTTATACGGCAGTCGACATAGTACTCGATCCGCCAATCGTTCATATAAATATGGTCAAATCAATAGCAGCCAAGAGATGCACGAAAATGACTAGCAGCGCCCACCACAGCACCAGATATAACCTACCCACCGAACCTTAAGTGGCACAATTATTGTTGCGCTGTGGAATCGGAGAAATAAGAATAACAACACTCGGGTATATTTTCCGCGGTATCACAGTGGCCCAGGTAGTAGTTTCTTCCTTCCGTTATTGTCATTGTGGGAGCGATCTGTAACTCACTACGTTGTACAATGAATCGGTTATCTCTTTTTGCAGCTTAATTCCAAATCGATAATTGGGGCAGGCATCAAGGCACATTTGACACAGAACAGTGTGTTTGGGTGGCAGAATAACTGGACGGGCAAGCGGTCAGATAAAGGGAAAAAGGGGCAACAGGTCTCACGTGTCCACATCTCCGTTCCTCTTCTTCCTTGGATTTACACATCTAGGAACACTACAGCTATCAGACATGCACATGTTAGGTCAATGACCGGATGGCTTTGTAGTTAGAGGCAAGTGAAGATCTCGCAACCTTGTCGTGTGCTAAGGTAACTGACATGTGGGAGACTACCCCTCTTTCACAAACTGCCAAGTCCTGGGTTGACTCAAATTTGCGACATGAATTCAAGATACAGATGAAAAAAATGACCTGTCGACAATTGCAAGTGATTAAGGTTGATTCCGCCAGGGAAAATTCTCGATTAGGAAGGCAGCTAGGCAATTAGGTTGGAAGGCAGTGATATCGTGTGTACCAACCGTGCATGCTCAAAATAAAGAATGAAGATGTATCCGATCATGCGTTCTTTGGACTCCCAGCCTCGGCTCTAGTCACTATAGTCTGCTTTCGCAATCATACCTTATCCTGGCGGAGTTCGAGCCTAGAAGCCCCATCATATGTGGCAATAGGTGTTGTATCTGGGGAGAAGTTTGTGTGCCTGGGACCCGTGGAAATGTGGGCTGATGCCAATACGGGACCCAGGCCTACTGACCGGTAATCACAGGATGCTTTAAGCTTATCTACATCACTGAAAGCACCAGTCAAGTGGATCTACCCCGTGCTAGACATTGCCTTATGCTGAAGTTGATCAATATTTCCATAACCAGACATCGTTGGCCTACAATGGCCACTTACTAGCAGAGCACCACTGTAATCGAACAAAGACTGAAAAATAGACCCCTCCTGGCGAGTCTTTTCCATGTCGATAAATGGGTTAATATAAGGGATGAGTTAACTACCGGGTAATTCACGGCAAAAGTTGATTTCCGGAGAATTTTGAGTTTGGGTTTTCAACATGAAACAACCGTTTGCGCCGGGGCTTTGGGAAGAGAGGGGCCCGCCTGGTCCTGTCCACTTACCTCTCTTCCATCCACGTTATAAGCAGGACTAGCTTAATTTTTCTAGGTTTCACTCCCACAAGCCAATTTATGCCACGGTCATGAGCTGACCAGGTTCACCAATTGGACCGATTGTTTGCAGGTCAGTAGGTAACCACGACCCGTTGTTCTGTGGACAGTTCGCAGCCCCCAATCCCCAACCCCTGAGCGTTTATGACTTAGCTGCCGTTGATTGTTTCGGCTGGCGGCTGAGAAACACCCGCTGCAGGATTCGTGTCTCACCCGTTACTTCAGCCGGGCGTTTCAAAGGGGCGCGGATGGCATTGTCAATCAAACTTGCCTGTTTATCCAGGGGAGACATGAAATATCCTGAGGCTGTGGGACAAGTATTAGACTACAGACGAAACTAGATCGTCTTGAAGGCACATGGACCGAGCTATTCGACTGCAGTTGATGCATCAACCTGTCAGAGTCAGATCGATCCGCAACATGGATGGGTCCCGCTGGGATCTGCTCCGCTTGGCTCACCCCCTGTCATTCTTCCAAAAAGATGGGTCTGCCTGCTCCTTGCAGGTCGATCAACTTTTTTTTCCGTCGACGATCATGTTCGACTTTTTGTTTGCGCAATCACTACTAGTCTGCCCACTTAGGAGACTTCACATAAATTGGTTTAACTGAGGGGCCGCACGGATGAACATGTAAATAAAAGCATGCGTTAACCTCACTTGCAAGGCCTGTTGACGGCAGCCGGCATGCGATCAATTGGTTTCAATCACTCATCAGGTCACCCCTTATCAAAATGGGCTCCTCGATGCCTCTTGTCGGTCATAGTCTGGCCATCTTTATCTGCGCGGCGGTAATGATGAGCGTGAGTATCATGGCGGTCGCGTTGCGCACCTTTGTTCGTCTTTATACGGTTCGCGCTTTTGGGTGGGACGATGCTTTGATGGTGATCGCCTTGGTAGTGTTCCGGGTTATCTTAAGATCACGACGGCGACTGATATTCATTTAGGCATTATTCATAGCCCTGGATGCATGTTGGATGGTTGCATCAAAGCGGGGTGTTGGGCATAAGAACGAGGACTTCACCGATCCTAAGACAATGGAGCAGGCTCTACTGGTATGTATGAGTTTCCCTCTACCTCGACGCGAGTAACCCCATGAACATCCCTGCTCTAACTATACGATATTAGTGGTGGTGGCTATGTCAAATGCTATATAGTTGGTCGGCCGCGATCACCAAAATATCAATAGCCATAGCCCTACTCAGGCTAGCTGTGCAAAAAGCGCACCGCATTGTTCTGTGGGCAGTGACCTGCCTTGTAACAGTCGCTGGGATAATGATTTGGCTTGTCTTCCTAGCCGGCTGCCAACCTGTCTCTTATTTTTGGTCGCATGTCACTGCAAATCAGCATGGGAGCTGCATACAGCGGCAGATACTGTTGGACATTGGCTATCTCTACAGCTTCCTGATTGTGTTCTCCGATATTACTCTTGGGATCATGCCCGCCGTTCTGATCTGGCGCCTGCAAATGGACCGCCGGACAAAGATTGCATTAGCAGGAGTCCTTAGCCTAGGAGCTCTGTACGTGCACTATTCCCTCGATTTCAAGAAGGAAATATGCTGAACCTGTTTTAGAGAGAGCGTCGCCGTGATCATTCGAATCCCATACCTGCATACCTACCATGACACCAACCTTCTCTGTGAGTCCGGTCGAACCTGTCATTCCATCACCACGTCCCTAACCACAGCAGATGCAACCTACCAAATCGACTTTTGGTCCATCATTGAAATCGGAATCGGCATTACCGCAGGGAGTCTCGCCACCCTTCGCCCCTTATTTCTTTGGGTCTTCGAAACTCGATCATACTATGGAGGTAACTCTCGTGGCAAAAAGCGCAGTGAAGAGGCGCATCCTCTTTCGAACATCTCCACAGATGCTGAAAGATTACATAACTCAGAAAACTGGGGTGCGGATTTTGTTCCAGGCAAGTCGCAGACTCGTCTAGTAACCACCGTCACATCTCGTCTGAGCCATTCGGATAGAAATCGGGATGCTTTGACCCTGGGGGCTGGGTCATGGCAGGCTCTATATCAGGTCAATGTTCAGACAACAATCAAGATCTCAGAGGGAGTGGATGAAGCAATATAACTGTGTTTCAGCACACCTGTATATATTTTCGTTTGTATTTTTACTACATACTAAATGACGTGCCAATTAATATTAATTTAGAAAAAAGGAACTGCCCGATGATACTTTCCTCATTAAGCAACAAATAACATCACAAGTTCTGCAGTTGTCGGAGTCAGGATATAGGGTTAAGGCTTGCCATTCTCCGGGAGGCATGGCGAACCGAGGACGGAACGGTGGATGGCAGTTCTAGCCGTCCCGCATGCATGATGAAGTTCGACCAATCATGTCCTTAAAAACTAAGTATACAAGAAGCCTCAGCATACCTATAAAAGAGAATATACTCGCTGTGGATGTATGGCCATTCCAGAACAACAGTTTCATTCCAATTGCTTCTCCCGATCAACTCTCATTGACCATTCACTCAACATGTTTACTACCTTCGACCTTCGCAACCCCGGACGCTCAATTCATGTCGGCGTTGTCTTGCTCAATACGTGAGTTGCAATGCACACACGACTTCCTAAACAGTTCAGTAACTAAATATCCATAATACAGCGTAACCGAGCACCTTGACATCGCCCCTATCGGTTTCTTCCACAACTTTGGCAAAGACTTCATCGAGAATCTCCCACCCTTCGCCATCTCCCCCGAACTCAAATCCCAAGCCCTAGACTTCGTCACCCACTGGGTCACCGAAGATGGCAAGACACCCGGTTCTCTGAGCGGAAACCTCAAAGTCATCCCCACGGTACGCCATCCCGATCCTCCACATCACAAAACAGCCCCATTAACTCCCACAGGACTCCTTCACCACCTGCCCGCCCCTTGACATCGTGCTCATCGGAGCCGGCCAAATGGGGTACCAAGCCACCACCACTGAGAAAGACTTTCTCCGGAAGTGCTATGCGGAATGTTCGGCGTTCCTGTCTGTTTGCGGCGCATCAGACGCCCTTCTAGCGACGGGCATCCTGGAAGGCAAGACGGCTACAGGTCCACTTTCGTTCTTGCCGTTGTTTCGCCAAATGGCACCTGGAACGAACTGGGTGGAGAAGAGATGGGTAAGGGATGGGAAGATCTGGACTACGGGGACGTTGTTGAATGGGCTGGATATGATTGCTGCGTTTGGGCGGGAGGTCTGGGGTGGTGAGGGGTCGTTGGTGGAACATGTGCTTAGGACGGGATATTTTCCGAGCAGGAATGTGGATTATGAGGATGAAGTGTGAGGTTGGGGATTGAGGAAATGGTGGTGAGACATTGTAATCATGTCGCACTGTTACTTTGAGTGGTAGCATTGGCGAACGGTACTATATATTCTTTTAGCCCACTTGAAGGAATGCCGTTCCAACATAGAGTACTGAGAAGAGGCCACGGTGACGGAGAAGAGACATTGTTGATTCCATTCAGGTAGCTTATGACGAATGATATTTTCTTGACAAATGTCGATTCCAAAGACTACATTAGAGCAGACCACTTTTTGAGGCCGCATTGTGTAGACTCCATACTCAGCAAGATGCCATCGGCGCTAATCCCATTCGGGATGTCCGGTTAAACCTGCCATCCGCCCGTCAGCTCGGCTTGGCTTTCCCTCCGCACCTCCATATACTCCTGCGCTCTAACTGACTGTCATCACCATCAATCGTTCTTCAATCCGTCCATCGCTTTCTTTTGGGAGTATTACTGATGGCAGACAGTTATAAATTTATCTGTCCACGCCCGCGGACCTCCAAAGCTTGCGATCCATGTAGGACGCGCAAAATCCGGTGTATACCCAACGAGAAAGGGAGCGGAACAGACGCCTGTCGAAGGTATGTAATAATTGGCCAGTAATGTATGCTTGGTTTATCATACTGACTCGAACAGATGCGCAAAGCTTGGATATATATGTATAATTTCGGGGAGTGTCCCATCGATGATGTGAGTACCCTATATTCACTGAATCTCTACCATTCGCTGATCGCGAATAGAAGTGAAAAGAGCCCGAGAAGCCAAGTAGTGAAGGCTCCTACTCACCATGGTAATGATGTTGTCTCGGTGCTGTTTCAAAAGAAGCCTAAAGAAGAGGAAGACCAGGTGATGCAGCTACGCAAGCTACATCGCGGTCTATTGCAAGGCCAGACTGTAGAAGAAGGGGATATTTGTACACCCAGAGATACCACACCCAACGTCGGTGATGCTGTAGACTGTGAGTCGAGGTCCAGCAGAATGGACCTCAACATGAACGAGGCCGAGGAGTTACTGTTACAGTTCCGGCAGCAAAGGGCATACTTCCCGTTCATTGAAGTGCCCGAGGTGACTACGGCAGCATCAATGGCAGCATCGCAACCCTTCTTATTACTGGCTATTCTGACTGTGTCCTTGACGCGAAAGCCACTTTTGCAAAAGAGGCTGGATGAACGTTTTCGTCGTGTGTTAAGTGAGAGGATAATCTTCTATGGGGAAAAGAGCATGGATTATGTTCAAGGTCTACTGGTTTATATGGCATGGTATGCTACAAATCATGTGTAGTGACTGGTATTAACAGTGATAATCTAGGCGTCCCTTACATATCCGGCCGCTCAGTCGCCAGGGCTCGCAATTTATGCAGATACTTGTGACTATGATAATTGACCTAAAGCTTACGGAAAACATGCATGACAAGGCTGCCCGGGATGTCTGCCTTGGGTGTTTTAGTCTTTCGTCTCTGTGAGTCTGTCTCGAATGATTTGGGTTAAGTGTCTAATAAACTGTACAGGCTGTCTGTTGGCTTCCGCCGGCGTGGTGATGATGGGGCGTATAAATATCTCAAAGAAGCGGTGGATGCCAATAAGCGACTAAAGCAGCCGTATGATGAGAGGTTCCAATTGTCTGAACTTCACGTCTTATTTGAGGAGATCATACGATGCCAATTCGAATATAGCTCGATGAAATGCCCGATCACCAAGAAGCAAAAAGTTGAAGAGAAAATGGAATCTCTTCGCCTGGAGCTACAGATATTTGAACGAGTCCATAATGTTAACAGCAGTATGCACATCAACCTTTCCCAGCCACTGTGTACTGACATACCCACTGTCCCTCTACGTCTTTTCATGTTATCACTGAAAGTGCATATCGCACTTCTACCTTTCCGAATCCTCGATCCTCGATCAAGCAACATAGCCAACCACGAAAACTTATTCGACCAAGCCACTTCCTGCGTCACAGAAATCCGGTCATTCTTCGAATACTTCCTTTCCATCCCACAGGATCAATACATATCCTTCTCAATTCGAGACTGGTGCCAGTTGATTCTAACCATCAGCGCATCTTCACATATCTGTTTCCTGTCCCCTGCCCAAATGAGCCCAACATGGAACGACTTCCGAACCAGGACACGATCAAGCATGTTAATCTACCTCGAGAGTCTTTCTCATCGAATGTCAAGGCTTTCGGTGACAAAGACCGGAGATACACCCGATGTATTCTTCATGTTCAAATCGGTATTGGATATCGTTTTGTCAACGTATGCTCCGGCTAGCGGGGAGTCTTCATCACCAATGTCAATGGGCAGTAGGGGGGAATCTTCTATAGGGGAGGACATTTGTCAGGATGTGGCTGCTGGTCCGCCTACACCTTCGACCCGCTGTCCGATGGTAAATGGGAGCATCCGAGAGTCAGAGTTCTGGGAAGTTATGAAACAGAGTGATCTGTTCCTTGAAGGGTTGGGTAATGGGTCAAATGGCCAGGATATGTTTACGTCAGGGATATCGGGTGTAGACAGCCTGCTTGGTGATTGTGCGGACTGGCCGAGTATCTTTTCAGAATGGGTCAATGTATCTACCAATTAAGAATGTGTATAGTTGTCTCGCTCTATATATGACTCTTGGAGACGAACTCTTCAAAGTGGCTTGCGTGAACTGCTTCTGGGGGGCCTGGTCCTTTCGTAAGGTTCCCTTCCCTGGTGTTCGCATTCGAACGCCTGCTTACGCAGTCAATAGACTAAGATTTCTCACATACACCCCAGAAAAGGTATGGTTGCCAACGAGCTCCTTAGCTAAAGTCATTACAGGCAGTCCTTAGATTTGTGGTTCACTATTTTCATTCTGCGACACTGACTATATGTAGTCGCTTTGACGTATGTGTGGTCGAAAATCAGAAAGTGTAAGGAGCTGCGATCAAAACCGAGCCAGGGGATCGGTATTGACAGGTGGAATGTTACCAGCCCTTCTGCTGATAGGCGTATCATAGACAATATCCGACTTTCTCCTTGCCCTGTAGATTAATGGCCTGACCTAAGTCTTTCGGGTATCGTTGTTTCTAGCTTGCAGTCCCAGCACGTATCTAGCCACTAGGCACCAAGAGACTACGAGGTTGAGAAAATTATGCTCCTTGCGTGTTCGTCCGTAAAACCTAACAATATGACTCATGGATAGTTAATTTAGGCGGACACGTATTTTGAGATAAGAGCGAAATTAAAATATGATCTAGAGTCAGTCACTAGCAGGGAAGAGGGATGTATATGTTGGTGTAACCGGGTGCCCCTGAATACGCGGAAAGTCGACCCGGTGAGCGAACGCATCCTAGATTTGAGAAGTACGGAGTAGACATCGAGCAAGGAAGATGTTGGATCGCTGGTATGCGACCAGGAAAATATTCCTGTGGTTTAATGAAGGACATTCGCAGGCAGGTGGCAAACCAATTAGCCGTGACTAGCGGAGAGAGGTATGGAGACAAAGAGTCGATGCTGGGGGCGAAGTGTTGGGATTCAGCCTTATATTGAGCTGTATTAATATTAAGCTGTAGATCATGGTGAAGTCGACACACGAATACAACAGAGTTTCTCTCTGATGCTGTTCGGAAGAAAATGAAGAAGGGATTCAAGTCGAACCTTCAACAGCAACCTTGCGTCCTTTTCAAACACTCGGTCAGAAGCGCTGCACGACATGAACTGGCCAGTGTGGGTGGTGGAGCCAAATTTCTGACAGGTCAGCTGTTGGTGACTTGAGACCTGGTGAACCTGTTTCAGTTTGCACCAGCCCCTGGATAACTTCGTTTCATCGTAGAATTTTCGGCCCCATATACCCATGCCACCGTTCGATTTCATTGGTGTGTGCCCGGATGGTGGTTAATCAATGCAAGTATCCGCCTGGGTGCAGGGCTATCGCAGCATCAACATTGGTGTTTGGTGTCTCGGGGCCCCCACTAACACCGAGTCAGCGCTAAGCATGGCCGCAACCCATTGGTGTGAACAGCCTTGCGCCGTTGCACCTTCGGATCCATCCAGGATCTAAGCTAAAGGCGTTCATTGGCGAGCCGTAAATGAGATCATTCCGATTAAATTGCACTGACCACATCGTCCTGATAAGCTTCTGTTCTTTGTTTCCGATCCTTTGTCTACTCTTTGGTCGGGAAATGAACCATACCACATAGAACCAAATATTGAATCTTAATTATCGACAATATGGGGCCCAAAATACCCATCACACACTCACGCCATACTACTAATTTCCCACGAGGCTCCCTCGGATGCGACGGATTGACTCATGACTGGAGAAAATGTTCCTGATTGCCCTCACATCGACCCACGCGATGGGTGAAAGTACAATCAGCAATGGATCTAGCAAACGCCCCGCCCTATGGCAACCAGCCTGTAAGATGCCACAATCATCCTGACGGCTTGCATTAGTCTGTCCTGATATTGCAGATGGGATAGAGAAAATCCTCCCATTGGTCACAGCCCTGCATCGCGAAGCCCATTCTATTGATTGGCTCGCACAAGGCAGCCGTTTATAAAGACTCGAATGCCTCCGAACCAGTCCCAGCATCACGCCCACTTTCCTTCACCACCCACCCGGGCTATCTGCCCACAGTCACTCCTTTATCGAACTAGTACAGTTCACATTTTATCCTTCAATTCTATTCCACTCGTGCAGACAGGCTAAGACGCCCTCTCACGATGAACTTGTTCTCCATCGCCCTCCTCGGGCTCCTATGTGCCAACCAGGCGCTGGGCGCCGCCGTGTTCGCCCACTTCATCGTCGGCAACGCATGGAACTACACCCTTGCCGACTGGGAAGATGATATGACATTGGCCCAGGAGGCCCATATCGACGCATTCGCCTTGAACATGGGGTACGGCGACTCTTCCACAGCAACCCAAGCTGCTCTCGCCTTCGAAGCAGCCAACAAAGTCGGCTTCAAGCTTTTCTTTTCCTTCGACTACGAAGGAGGCACCGGTGCCTGGCCGGAATCCGACATTCTCACTTACCTCCAGAAATACGCTTCCAACTCCGCCCACTACAAGTATAACGGAAAGGCGTTCGTCTCCACCTTTGAAGGTACTGCCTACGCGACGGATTGGAAATCTATCAAGTCCGAGGTAGACTGCTTCTTCGTCCCGGACTGGTCTTCTCTTGGTGCAGAGGGCGCATATGAGGCTGGTGGGGGAGGTATTGTCGATGGTCTCTTCAGCTGGGGTGCCTGGCCATCTGGTCCGAACAACATGAGCAATGCAACCGATCTCACTTACCTCGAACTCGACATTCCCTACATGATGCCTGCCTCCCCGTGGTTCTACACCAATCTCGCTTCATACAGCAAGAACTGGCTCTGGCGCGGCGACAGCCTGTGGCACGATCGCTGGGAGCAGATCTGGGATCTGCAGCCGGAGTGGGTGGAGATCCTCACCTGGAACGACTACGGCGAGAGCCACTACATTGGACCTATCCGCGAAGATGCGATTAGTCTTATGACCACTGGTGGTGCACCACTCAACTACATCGAGAACATGCCTCATGATGGATGGAGAGATCTCCTCCCCTTCGCTATTGACACTTACGTGAATGGAAACGCTACTCTCGGCGATGAAGGCATCGTCACCTGGTACCGACCGAACCCTTCTGAGGCCTGCGGCACCGGAGGTACGACGGGTAATACCGCGAGCGAGGGACAGACGCTGTACCCACCTGCTGAAGTAGCTGAGAACAAGATCTTCTACTCTGCGATGCTTCATTCGCATGCCAATGTCACTGTCACCGTCGGTGGAAAGTCGTTGGGCGCTACTTGGGCCCGACACGGCCGGAACAGCGGCGCGGGACTCTATCATGGCGCCGTGGAGTATGGCAGTGCGACTGGTAAGGTGGTGGTTAGCATCACTCGGGATGGAGAGACGCTGGCCAGTGTGGCTGGCGAGTCGATTAACGCGACGTGTGTGAGTGATCTGTCCAACTGGAATGCTTGGGTGGGATCTAGCGTTACAAAGAAGACGAATTCCCGTCGTGACACTACACCACCGGTGAAGAGTAGGCATGCGCACCGTCATGTTGGTAGAGGACATACCCATTCCCATTGATGCAGGCATGGTGGGTGTTTAGATTTCAATTCAGTTCGATTCAACTTGTACTATGTTACGCTATTGATCCAGTGATATGAGACGCAAACTGTATACTTCTCTACGTATTGGTGCCTTGGAAAGTCTGAAAATGCAATGAGGTGGCATATTCCGGCCGGAAGTGTGTTCCCGTGACCGCGAGACAGCTATTAGTCGATGGTGTGCCTTGACTTGGTCTATCGCTACTTCTCCCCCCTTGGCTAAGTCTGGCTTGTTCTGCTATCAATAAAGCCTTTGGAGAGTCTTTTGGGTGCCCGTGTCATGGAATTTAGCTTTCCCCATAAGCTCTGGCGCATCCACTTTAAAATATAACGATGTTTTCTGTTAGACTAAGACGGACAAACTCTATTTATAGTATACAATGTATACATCATGAAGGAACTGTACTGCCTTTCACCGGAGATGTGCATTGCGTGTTGCTCAAAGCGACCCAAGGGAGTTTCTGAATGTGCCATGAGAGGGAACGTCTCACCAGGGTAATCCTGCAACATCACTTACTGGATAAACAGGCCAGCCTGGTGAAGAGTTCCGGCGCTGCTCTTATGTGAGCCATTTTATAACGTGTTAACTTCATAGATATAATCTGCAGTGCCTTAGACGGCCTGATGAGGCAATTTTTGACGTAAGTTGTCATCGGTCTATCACTTGTGATCTACGGGATATATTAGCAGTCTATCCATACGGCCGTACTGCTTAAGCGGCTACAACATCTGAAGCTACTGTGGGTAGCTTCTAGCTACTGACGCGCCGCTGGTGCTATTACTCGTGCCCAATATTAGTAATACTGGATCAAGCAATCCCATGTCACCTGCCAGATACTAATTACTTCGTATATATCTTGGCCTCACTAGGGCCCCAAGAAAGAAATAGCGAAACAGGGATACGATCACTTACTCTCAGTGAAGAGTATGGAGATTTCTGTCGAAGCCTGTCTTCCACGTAAAGAAATACAGCCTTGAAAATATCAGTGTTGTAGGTACTAGATAGTTGCTCCACTCTTAATATAATTTCTCTCTTCTCTTACCTGCTCGGCCTCTTCTTCCTGCCTTCCCAGTAAACTGCTCAATATTTCTATTTTAGTTCTATTATCAATAAATACTATTCAGCGTTGGATTAGCTTCCTTTTAATACAAATAATAATCTTTACTTTTGTGACTGCCGTACTGGAAATTGCCTGGCTCTATGCTATGTATGTATGAATATATTATATTATTAATAAAATAGAAACCTCATAACTAATAGATCATTTCAGTCTTTTGTCTATAGCTACTGTTAAGAAGACCTGGATAACCCGGTAAGACTGTTACTGAGATAAATAGTCCTATACTAGTCTGGGAACTACTGCATTTAATGGAATACTTGATATGGACTCTATATTCTTAACTATCGAAGTCTGAGTGTATGCCGCCACTACCGAGCCCCCTGAGGGTGAAAAAAACTGTTGAATAGGCTGGGGGGCGTTTTTCTTTTTTCTTTTCTTTTCTTTTCTTTTTTTTTGTGGTTTGTCTGTCTCTGTGTCTGGTGATGTGTGTTTTGTGTGTGTGTGTTTCTCTGTCTCGTATTTTAGTTTTTATTCCTTGAAATGGGCATCCAAGTGATGCTTTATACCTTAGTTGTTGTATATCTCATATTGTATCTCTTATAATGCATGCTTATTTACTCTGTGTGCGCGAATTGTTCCTTGCAGTAGAACTTACCAAGGCACCAATGCGTAAATGAATCTATCGCTCGCATTTTAAATCGGTGGCTAATCTATATACAAAGTGCAGAGCATCCGAATTCTGCGGCCACTATCCCTGGGGAAATCACACTGACGGGGTAGATCAATTCTATTCACACCCGGTACCAGAAGGAAGATACATTGCACTACGGTACACGTCATGGACATATTAGGCTAATACGAGGTTTCTTTTAGCGCTCCCGATTAGCAAGAAGGCCCTCTAAGGGCAATAAATAGTCTTGCCGTCTATCTCTCTCTTTCTGTGTGTGTGTTGTGGGATGGGAGGTCTTTGTTTATCTGTGTATGGTGTTTCATGTTAGTATTTCTTATCGTATATATGAATAGTATCTAGATTGTCGGAAGTCATGTTTCATGTCCTTTGTGCGCCCGTACACAAAGTAAAAACTGTAGGTGAAGCGAGGTCCAGAGCCCCAAAATTCAAGAATTCGTGGTAAAGTGCAATTGTAGACTTCTATCCAATCCTCGCGTGGCGGGAAGAAGTTAGGCGGAAATCACCACTCGGCCAAGACCAAAACGGTTCAAGATAGCAGCAATAGAAAGGGCTCGCTCTTTCGTCGGCGCTATACTCTGGCGCTGCCAACAATAGTTATCCAGGTACCAGATCTTTACTACACAGTACTTGGCGCCATGTTAAATGAAGCATTACACCTTTGCAGTCCCCAGTGAACTCATTCAAATAAAGCTAGTACTTAAACCGTCTGGGAGGTCTTGTGAGTAGCAACAAATCGATAGCAGCGGTGAAAGAATAATCTCATCAACAAAAGAAGTTTAGCTAGCATTGTAGACCCTTGCCCAACAATATAGAAGCCTTGACGTCATCCTGTCATTTTGTGGACCAACATATAGGAAAGCCTCTTCGTGCCATGAATTCTTCTCGACCTTTGAGCTAGGACTCCGTTGGTCCCAGATGGCCTACCTAGGTAGGACCACCCGAGGCTCAGCCAAATATGAGCCTAACACGACCATGATGCTCATGAAGAGCTCTTAAGAGCGGACCAAAATCGTGATGGTTGTAGTTGATGCAGTTAGGTTGACTCAGTTCATCACCCCTAGGGATCATATTAGTCATTCAAACTCAAAGAAAAGACCCGATGTGTAGTAGAGGTGGACTGGATACGCTATAACTTTTGTGCCCCATTGAAGTCCAAGCATCAAAACAACAAACAAAGCCATGGCTGTGAAGAAAACTCGGACATCATCAGGTAGCCAGGGGATCTTGGATGAAGGCAGACTGAACGCCGGATTTAATGTTGATGGGCTGCTTGCTTTGATGATCTGAGCTTCTGGAATTTCTGCTTTCATCAACTTATCGGCTGGCATTTCGGCTTTCATGGTCTGATCGGCTGGCAATTTGTTGCATCACAGAATGATAGAGAGACTACCTAGAAGGTAGGAAGAAAGAGACTGGAATGGAAGAGAGCAGGAAATTATATTTATACTCGTTGGCATAGGTAATCATGATGCACGTCGGCGGAAATTGGTTCCAGCGGTTACTCGTCGTTGACACTAGATCTTAGCCACAGGCAAAACAGGGAAAGCCGCAAGGTCGCCATAGCTGACAGGCAGAATATATGCTATAGTCAGACGTTTATCTGCAGTCGGTCTTGATATCTACGGTATATACTACTGCGTCTATTTGATCACGCAAACAAGTTAGTGCTACTATGAGATTTATAACACATCCACTGCTGATCTAATTGACGCATTTATGCGCTCTCTGCAGACGCCATTATGATATGATGTGGCAGTGCTTTCAGCCTTCATAACCTGGCACCTTCTCGACAGCACCTCAAAGCCTTCCTACACATTAGCCCAACACCAGAACTTCTACCTAGAGCGCATCAGATTTCTGTGCTTACACGATGACATAAAAAAGATTGAGATTGGAAAATACTACACAGTCCTGCACTACTCCACAACGAACACCGCCCTTGATCCTAAGCTCAAGGAGTAGGATCGTCATTTTAGTGTTGTTAGTAGCAGTCCTCGCACCAATAATTCACTCAATTTTGGCTTGATATAGCTTAAGCTTAGGTGCAAATACGAATTATCTTGGAAGAGACTATACGACCATGAGAGCTATATAAACAGTAGTTTATCACCACTTGGATTAAGTTATAACTTACCCAGATACTGTCAGGTAAATTGACCAATTTCCATTCAACCAGTCTAGGTATTAATTAATGTCAAGACGGAGGGTCAAAGATATACTGGATTTGATCTATCTGATTTTAAGAGAGTAGTTCGGTTGTGTGTTGGAAGAGGTGGTGGTCGGAGACCACGCAGGAAGAAAAGGCGAAGGATCAGCTGACAGCTGCCTGGCTGCAGTGAATGTCTCAACAATTAACAATAGGTGTATTTTATACCAGATAAGTTATGGTATCCAGGAACCTAACCAAATGACAACAATCGCTGCTGTCTATAAAGGCTTCCTCTCCTCCCCAGGTGATGACGGAACATTGTAAATGTGACTAGAATAAGACTATTTATTGATCATTCGTATGCATATGATGCTTTCAACGACTACAGTAAGGATGAACACAGTCTATTGTTTCTTCATGAGTATTTGAGGCTCGACCTTGTCTGCATGACTCAAATATGAAGAATCTTACTGCTACCTATAGCCTTTGCACTTCGGTTCGTTCCACTTGATACTGAGGAGTAACGATGCCTCAGCCGCTCTTCCCCCAACATGGGTACTTTGATGGCGTCACCACCTGGGCGCCGTAGCGTCGAGTGGTGGCTGGAACCAATTCCGTCCATGCGCATCATCAATAGCTACGGTGATGAAAGGAATTTATTTATCTCCAATCAGAGACTCTTTCTTTCTACCTCTACCACTATCCTCTCACTCAAGACACCCTCTCACTCAAGACACCCTCTCACACAAGGCAATACCGACTAATCACACAATGAAGTCAAACATGCCAGCATATCAGCCGCTGAAACGAAATCGCCGATCCTCGCCTAAACTGACTTTCAACTATACCTCAACGAAAGGGTCCCTTCTGGATGATGATGTCCGGGAGGTACTCAGGCTTCTGCTACTCTTGGTGGCTCTGGCCCTTGGGATTTTTTGGGTCGTGTATTATCTATTGTATTCTATCCCCATCTATAACAGTTGCTGTCCGTTTCGGAAAAGTTAATAACTAACATAACTGTTTACATTGGCTAGGCGTCCCGACTTCGATAAGCCCAACCGTATTATCTACAACTATGGCGATGTCGACCCACTCCTAATAGCTCTTTCCCAGCGCGAAGTTCATATAGAACTCGTGTTTAGACTAGCCTGGGAACGTCCTATGTAGGGCACCGGCGACAAACAAAAAGTCTAGCCGACTAGGGAGAAATTGTTATTGTTTTGGTGGAGTGATTCCCCGTATTTTATCCCACACACCCCCAACAGCCTTCTCCGCACATGTTCCCAGGTCAGCAGCAGAAGCAGGGTGCACCAAACATGAACCTTGGCCCTGAAGAGTCTTAATTAACCCTCTCCGGCACGCCCCTACAGTACGTGGAACAGTCTCACTGGTATGACCGACTGGTGGGCGTATTGCTCGGCGAGGATGAAACCCAGAGAGGCAGGATGACGTCGGTCTATCCATACTACTAGGGACAGGCTCTGGATTACTTGCTGAACTTTTCTACTCAATAAGATGTTTGCTTCCCGTTGCTGCCAACTCGCTACTACCCACAAGGCCTCCCACAATGTTGTTTTGCTAGTTTTGTCCAATTTTCTTTACCTCTCAACCGCTTGTTGTAACCAGCCCGAAAATTTCTCTCGTCCACAGCGTAGCATCAAGGCATATATTGTCCCCCAATGATGTCCCCATAGCTAGTACTTCATCTTTAATTCTTGAAGGATCATTTAGGCTTTCACGAATTGCGACCAATTGGCGTATGGTACTATATTCGTGCGTCTACCCTCCCTGCTAAGCTCAGCTACATTACATACACCAATGGCGATACAATGCACTGCTACGAGTAATTGAGGGGACCGTTGAACAAGGAGGCAGTATTGAAATGATGTTCAAGAAGGTCTAGAAGGATTCTCAGATGCTCTTTTATCTGGAAGCACAAGCCACCTTATCTCAATTGCCAGCTACGCTGTCTAAGGTATGGTTTGGACGACTGAGCATGAAATCAAAGCTGAAATTGCCACACGACTTTTACAACCTCGGTTTATTGTGCTGCTTAACTTAAAGATTTGCTGTATTCAACGCAGTACATTTTCGGGTATGAAAATTGAGAATCTCCTCCATGAGAAACGCCGAGTATGCTAACTGGGATAGTTAGATATTCTTGCATATGGAGCTCCCGGATGTGGCAACCTGACAACTGTAATCTTTCATCCTATCGGCCTCTCCGAGGTGAAGGACCCGATCAATGAAAGAGACGCTGCTGACAAACTCGTATTGTACTAATTCCCCAGGTGCATGTTAGCTCGGAGATGTATCCCGTGTTGGATACTAACCGCACGAGGGATATATTGGCTTAAACGCATGTGGCTGAGAAGAGGGGAAATAGCCAATGAGGGATACTGGGGAGATACAATCACACCCCTGTTCTAACGAGTAGGCTCTGAGGTAGCTATAGATCAAATTCAGGCCCCATCCAGTGCTTCGCACGAGGTACACGGGTCTTCATACAAGTGATTGCGTGTCGCTGAGATTTAGAGCGTTAGATCATTGTAACTGTAACCGTCAAATCTTCGAGATACTACCCTTCTCAATCGTGGCCGTCAGTCATAATGAGGTGATTGGAAGGATGACCCGCTGATGGACTGGAGTCTGCCCCACCCGATTGGTGTTTGGGCCACAGGCAGGATTAATGGGAAGCCTTCTCAATTGATGTTGGTAGCACTGACTTGATTGTGGCAATTTACTCTAAGATAGTGACGCGTATAATAAGCTAGGTAGTAGGTGCCGGTGTTAATCCTGCTAGCTGAACCACTAGTGAAAACACACCGAGTAAAGCTCGGAAGGGAGTGGTTAGCAGCCTACGACATAACATCAGCAGATAATCATTACCTAATACTCTGACGCTGAACAAATAGTAGATAGGCGGGCTTTCATGGAAACGGAATCACTATACAATATAGCAATGAATAGACGTTGCCCGTGTATTAGAGATGACTTCCTTCAGACATCAGTATCGGAAACGAGAGACCTTGACCGTGGCAAACTATTGCTCTAGGCTCGCCAATCAAGCATGGGGAATAAGTGTGGCAAAGTTCAGGCCATTGAACATCCATGCGTGTTCCGGGCGCAGCTGAGCCTGCTGAGGGGAAGTAAAGAAACTCCTCAATATTTCAGCTTGGCAGGCTCCACTTGCAACGGAGCTAAACAAGGAGGCCCAGTGAGGTCAACTGAATCAAATCCCGAAAGATTTGTGTTATTTGGAGCTGAGCGTAGCAAAGCAATGCTTTACCCGAGGTGACAATCAAGGCGATAAATCATCCTTCAAGATGTATGTTTCCTGAAACTATAATAACTGCACAGAGGAACACCCACCTGTCTACACATCATCAGAGCCCATTTCCACCAGCACCATCGAATATATTACCTTTGAGTCATATTTTCATTATGTCCTCAGCTTCCGAGGTCTCTTGGGAAGTTTCCTTCCTTCAGGTTCAGACCAGCACAGCAGATGCTGCCACGGATACTCTCTATGCCAATGGTCACATGCAGGTCCCTGTTATTGTTACCATCAAAGCCATTGATCCTGAATCAGCCTCAACATATGAGCTGAAGGATTCAGACCTCAAAAATATCAAATTGATTGACTACGACGATGAGAACCCAGCTACGGAAATATCGGGATCGTGGAGTTACTCAGCCACAGAAAACGAATTCGAGCACGCATTGCCAACCTCGAGAAAAGAGCCCCAGCCGGACTTATCCCTCGCGGATGGGGACCCTCAAAGAAAGCGCTACTGGGTTACAACGACAAAGATCGAAAACAAAAGGATTGGAGCCAGCATTCAACAGCCTGATGGTACTGTTGTACATACCGCGAGTGCAGCCTTTGATTCAAAAGTTACTCTCCGGGGTATAAACCCAGAGACGTATACAAAGGATGATTTGAATCTTGAAAGAAATGATACCGCCAACGGCGATTTTTACTCTCCAAACTATCATTGGTACTGGGATCAGGACAATTATTTTCTCACCAGCACGAAATACGAATTCCGAAAGGTTGAGCTGTATAGTTATGATGGTGGTAGCAGTGACCCATACCTGAAATATTCAACTGGTTTTTTCTCGGTCCATGCGCCTTGCAACATATTCTATTATTGGCCAATGGGCTCCCAAGAGACGCGTACAGTGGGGAGGGGGCTTATGACAACTGAGATTACAATAAATCAAAGGCTCAACGCCATGTGCTGTACCCGTATGATGTTCACTGGTGCAAATCCATGGGAAGAGAGTCATTATTGGGAGGGTAAATTTACTATCTACGATAAATTTGGCAATTTTGGCACTTTTTTCATGGGTTATGATGAAGATCGCAACCAGATGCAAATCTTAACTAAGAAATATGAGGGTTAAGATGCGCTGTCTCAACATGGAATGAAATTGTGGGGTTCTCGTGATGTTGTCATTATTTGAAATAGTAAGATTTTAGTACAGAATTCGTTTAACAGAACCAAAGTGTCTTGCCTCCGCAAACTGCCGATTGCAATATAGTTTTTGATCCCTCAAAGAATAAGGAGTACACATAGGACGTGCAGCAGGTTCCTGAGTCTGATGATGATCATCGATTGTGTCTGGTGACTGGGATAGTCTGCGAGCGTAGGACTCTACTGTTGGTAGATCAACTCACTCTGATGAGGCGACAGGTTTTGTGCTGGCCTTATAAGAATGAATCAATCTGTCAATACCAAATATAACTATTCCATTTGGCTATATATACATCGGGAAAGCAACAATCGCTGGGTGAGTCTTTGCTGTTCTCGTTTCCTCGTTGGTTTTAGGACGAGATGAAGAAATCGTTGAATACCTTTGGTACATCCATCGGTGTGAAGAGGGTTAGGTACCTTGTAAAGGACCTTGATAACACCGGTGCTCCATGCGGCAATGGTTAACAGAAAAAATAATCTTTAAACCCGTTATTTGTTGATGGGGCAAAATGCCGTTGGCTTGAGCTAATAGAACACGCAACAGACGAGAATCAATGCTGCTAGGTATTTCTCAGTTTCCATCTAAGTAGTTGAGGCAATTGCTTCCTTCTTGATCGCATGATTTGAGCTCTGCCGTGGTTCGTATCGCTGTGTATTAGAGAGGTAAATAGACGTACGACCAGAACATAACGGTGGTCATGAATGATCTGAAAGACTCCCGCGCCGTGGTGGATATGATATCGGCCGCTCGAGCTCTTAGACATCGATCTTCATGACTGAAAGCGACCTGTTGATGAAACTCTCAATACTCATAGCTATATGAAGTTCTCTACTGCAGAAGATGTCAAAACAGTGTTTTGTGCCAAGTAGGCAGAAACGATACATCGCAAGCCACTGAGCAGCAGGGGTCACACTAATGTTATAATAAAAGATATACCTAACCCCCTCTACTTGTCACTCCAGGATTTTATCACCATCTGCACCCTAAAGCCAGATACGCAGTTTTATATAGCGTTACACCTTTGGCGTCGCGGCGACAAAGTTCAGATACTTCTTACTTGCACCACGTCCCATTGTAATGCCTTCCTGCTGCTGCTGCTGTTTCCGGAGTTCGCCAATCTTCCATCCTCGTAGCAGGACTAAGCATAGCGCGGCGCCGATGTACATGAATCCCGTGAATAGTTGCGTGTGCAAAAAGCCATGCCTTCCCGAGGTTCGCAGCTCGAGACCGATGGCTTCTCCAACTGTTTTTCTCGTCTTGATCAGTATCTCGAGAGGTCACCTTCAGAAGAAAAGTGGTGATGCAGAGAAGAAACAGAAAGACTTACACGTAGCAGGGACCGAACAGATCAGCCATATAATTGTCAAGCCCGACTGCAGATCCTCCAACGCGAAGACCTCTGCTCCAAGTGGACCGACCACCTGTATGCCGTTTCATTTGACTGTTAGCGTCCACGCCGAGAAGATAAGACAGGAGACAGTGAGGAATGAGATACCGTCCAGAAGGTGCCAAAGAAGATGCCTGCAAACAAGGCGAAGCAGATCAGAGCAGCGTAAGTGCGGGCAAAAGTCCATAACAACAAACAAAGCAAGCCACTGACGAAGGTTGCGATAGTAGCGATGTTGATGCGACCGACGGCATCTGACATAAACCCCACGGCCGGACGCCCCACCATCTGGCCAACATTCATGACCGCCGTGACAATCGAGCCTTGGCTCAAGGTCAACCCAACGCTGCGACCATACGTGGCCAGCGAGAACCAGATGACCATGAACCCCATTACACTGAAGAAGCTCCAGCCGAGGTACAACCACATCTCGTACCGGGTGCAGAGACGGAGGATAGTATGAACCGATCGGCTGGGTGCTGCTACCGTTTTCCTATCGCGTATGACAAGCAAACAAGTTGCGTTGACGACGAGCTGGCAAATGGCAAGGATACGGTAGGACCAGCTGAGGCCGAACCGCGCGAGAAGGGCATGCGTCGAAAGAGAGTAAATCAAGCCTCCTGTTCCACTGCCGCCGGTTGCAATGCCGGCTGCGAGACTGCGATGACGGCTGAACCATTGGGGTATGAGGTAGGTTGTCGAGAGATACTGCAATCCGAGACCCCAGCCGAAGCAGACGCCTTGACTAAGGTAGAGTTGCCAGATCTCATGGCTCCAGGAAGCTCCCAAAAATGCAGCGGTTTCGAGCAAGACCCCCAATGCCATTGTTGCTTTCAAGCCGATGCGGCGGTGGAGGATACTGACTATTGGGGAGATAAATAGTGCCTGCGAGGCGGAGAGACCTCCGATAAAGGCATAATCGAGAGTTCGACTCCCGGGGAATGTGGAATGGGAGGTAAAGTAGGCAAGGAAGACACCATAGCTCTGAATTGTGTCAGTGCAAGTGTGGTGAACTAGAAGGTGATACTGACAGATAGGATTCCCCAATGGTGAGCATTGTTCCAAAACACTGCCAGCACTATCACCCAAGCATATTTGCTGTCCACCTCGGAGGAGCTCATGGTGCTATTGTTTCACACGGGCCTTACTAGCACGGCTTTGGAGCCACCGCGGATTTTATTTATCACAAATTGGTCCCCAGATGACAAAGAATGCGGTGTGCATGGTGAGTCTGATATCTAATTTCGGAGGCATGTGGGATGTGGGATGTTGTGGGATGTATGCCATGACAAAAACCTTCTAGAAAAGGTGGAGAAGACTATCCAGCTAAGCTGTAAAAAAGGAGTCATGGGGACATATCCCTTATCTTTGAGACAATTAATCATACGACGTGCGAGTAATTAATTATCAGGAGCATAATTCGATATTGCTGTAAAACAATTCCGGTGGGAGGGAGAAGGGGCGATGGCTTCACCTAGGCACCTTGAAGAAACATATAAGGAGCCAAAAAACCCACTCTGAGTGATGATCATCCAGCTTAAAAACAAAGAGAACAATCTTCTCTCAAGTTAAATCCTCTTTCTTCTATCCCAAGCAACATAAGCTATCTCTCTCCCATCCCAGGCCCAAAATGGCTCCCTTCCAAGGTTCCGTCTCAGTCACCCACATCACCACTGCCACCGCAGTCATCAACATCGACGGCATCTGCTTCCTCACCGACCCAGTCTTCTGCCCAGCCGGGTCCGAATACATCTACGACGGTTGGGCAAAAGCGGACTGGAAAGAATGGGGCTTCAACGGCCGCCCTCCAACCTCAACGCTTCGCAGCTTCGAGGGTCCCGCGCTCCAGCTTCACGACCTCCCGCCCATCGATGCTGTGCTCCTTAGCCACGAAGACCATGTCGACAACCTCGACCCCCTGGGCCGACAGCTCCTTGACGGCCGCCGCGTCTTCACCACTCCTGACGGTACCAAGAACCTGGCTCCTCGGCCCGGCGTCGTCGGCCTCCAGCCCTGGCAGACAGTTGAGAAGTTGATCGGCGGCAAGCACTTCCGTATCACCGGTACGCCATGCAAGCATTTTCCCGGTGGAGAGGTCACTGGGTTTATTGTTGAGTGTGACTCCTTCGGGGTCAGCGATGATGGATTGCCGAATGTGGTGTATTTCTCGGGCGATACTGTTTGGATTGATGAGCTAGCGGAAATTAGAAAGAAGTGGCATGTTTCTGTGGCAGTGCTGAACCTGGGGAATGCGTTGTTCGAGTCGCCAAAGGGGATGTTGCAGATAACGTTTGATGGGCAGCAGGCGGCGCATTTGATGCGAGTGATTGGGGTGGATGTTATGGTGCCGATTCACTTTGAGTCGTGGGAGCATTTTACCGAACATCAGGCGGATTTGAAGCGCGTGTTTGAGAAGGAAGAGGTTGAGGGGAAGGTGTGTTGGTTGGTGCCGGGGGTGGAGAAAAGGGTTCTCTAGGGGTACTATTTAAGGAGGACTATGTGGTTACTATTAGGAGGGGTTACATGATATATAGAATTGATGGTTGGGCCGGATAGAATATCAAGTTACTCAACGGGAGATTTCGGAGTACAGTGGAAGTAGAATGGTAGACTATCTATATTGTTCTGTATGTAATACTTTCATCTTCACTTCTGGTATAGGACCCTTTCCTGCTATATACTAAGTAGTAGTAGGCGAATGTTAGCCAACATTATCCAACAAGAACTATCAAGGCCGATTGGAATCAGAAATGGGAACTATTTACGAACATATTTTCTATCAAAACCACCACTGCTCCATTTCCGCACCATCCAACAGCCTCCCACACGACGAAATCCAATTCCCCTCGTCACGACCATCTAGCCGTGTCCCACCCCGGCACGCCTCCATCTGCAGTAACCGTGACAGCTCCCGATCCGACTGTGCCTCCCAGAGATGTCGACTATCTGGAGGCGGAAATTGTAGATCAGAAATTCGCAATACTAGCCTCCCGTTCCCCACATCCGCTTCATCTTTTTCGCTTCCTGGTGAATGGTTCTCCGTCCCACAGAGTCGGCAAAGTCGATACATTGCCAAACCGAGCCGTTTGAGTTCCTCCATTCCAATCCAAATGCACGTGACAGATTGCATGGTATGATGATACCGTTCCATCATTTGTGGATAGTAGAATATTCGATTGCGGAGGCAAGTGCTGACCAGGAGGGAGAGGATGTGTTGGTCCATGGGGGAGAGGGAGAGGGTCAGGTCGAGGGAGCGTGGGGTGGTGCAGATGTCAGTATTATTATTATTGTTGACTTTGGTGTTGTTAATGCCGTGGCTCCTCAGAATAAGGGAAAAGATCAGGTATAGAAGGATTGCTTGGTATGTGGCCACGGGACATCGGGATGCGGTCGCTTGCGAACCTGTTGAATTGTTGTTGGAAGTTTCTGTTTGGAACGGGAGGGCGCCTGTCCATTTTTCCTAGGTCATCCTTTAGGCTGTGCGTTTCTTTTTTTTGGGGGGGGGGGGTTCTTGTGAGGAAGAAGGAGACTTACCTGCTGTGCTAATATGGAAGGGCCCTGTTTCCGGTGCAGACTGATCGCCGCCTCTCGAGCTGAAGGCTTATTACTAACCCATAACCCGATCACAGAGACAGCCTGTAAGAGCAATGGTGGCTCATCAGAGGCATTAAAGGTGGCTCGATGCAGGATGGGCCAATGGGAGTGAAAATGGGTGAAATAAAGGTGGATATAAGGGAGGAAATGGGCGGTCGAGTCATGGTCTTCGACAGTGGGGAGGGGAGAGCAAGGAAGCGCGTGGTCCTCCAGGGACTGCGATGTCGGTGATGGTTGAGTTGATGCTGATAATTGAGGTTGTTGATCCTGCTGTTGAGGTCTTTGGCGGTCGTCATAGACACACTGCCGTGTCTGGGCGGAACAGCGACTACAGGGAGCGCCTCCACTGCAGCGGATTTTTGCTAGGCGACAGCGCCGGCAGGCTCGAGATACCCGGGTTGGCTCGTCCGGGCCGTGGTCGAGACGGATATGGCGACGAAGAGAGTCACTTGAAAGGAGTCAGAGGGTTACATACGTATTTGTCTACCTAAGAAATAGTGTATACGCACCTTCTAGAGAATGTGCGGGCGCAAAGCGGACACTCCCGGGCCAATGCGCCCGTGTGCTGTCCTTCATGGCGCGTCCGGTGTTCTTTTCGCTGGAAGCTGGATGTGCAGCCAGAAATTCGACATTTGAAACGATTTTGAATAGTACGTAATGGGGACATTTCTTTTCCTGGAGTTAGCAGTTCCGTTGCTGGAGGAAAAAGGATGTACAGGGGACTCTATCGAGGTGGAATTCATCCCACCGGCTCCACAAACCCTTCATCTCCATCCCACCGGATCAACTCCGAGTGGCCATCTGAGTAATCCTAATACGGATTCCCCAAGCTCATTCATTCAGTTGGGTACCCACCCGCAACAGCTTCAAAACTTAGTGCGGCAGTTTCAAATCGAGGCTAGAAAAGCAAGTTCACATAGATCCAGAGAAATCCAAGCTTTTTTTCAGAATGACCTTATACACCCTAAAAAGGAAATTGTTGAATTACTAATGTTCTGGATACTATAACCCCCAAACCTATAGATTCAGAAAACTAATTCTAAGTTCACTGATTGGAAATCAAAACTGACTGAGTCTGATACTAAAGCACCTTTTCACGGGGAGAGACCTTGAAATCCCGTCTTACAACCTTTGCAAATTTCATCAATGCATCCAAAATCGTAGGAATCTCCACTCAAGAACCTCTGGTGCTATCCCTTCTCTTCAGAGGCGGGCTCAACCTTTCCCTAACGAGGGAGACTCCGCGATCCACCCCATAACTACACCGCGGTTTAACCGAGACAATGAATAGGCGAGATAATCCATGAATAGGCTTGGAGCTAGAACTTGAAATTTCTGAAATGTCTGTTTATCTAGTCCTGAGGTTTCAACCTCTAATCAGAACAGTCAACTCAAGCACCGCACATGCTGGCTCATGCCACCCATTCTACCCCCACCAATCCCGGCAGTCTCCAATCACTCGACTCTAGATCCACAGATCCAGAGAATAGCCGTTTCGGTATGCCAACGCTGTCTGCGGCCCCTCCGCATCAATGACATACCCATACTCGCAACGATCATACGACACCTTTGGCTGGTCATGATAGAATCCATCATACTGGGCTCTCAGAGCGTCGAGGAGATTCTGCACCGACCCATCGGGGTGTAGGACTTCCCATGGCTTAATGCAGGTCCGACCCTTGCAGGACTTCAGGACGAGTAACAGGGCGTCAAGGCGATCGATCACCGCCGGAATGTCGTAGCCCAAGATTGTGGCGTTCTTAGTCTCGACGTGGGGGTGGAGGTTGTTGACTTGGTAGGGGTCGGTCTGTGTTGTCATTGAGGGCTGAGTTAGTAAACCACGTAAATCGAGAGGATTGTTTGGGAAGGTAGACGGGGTCAGGGGCAGGTAATCGTACACTAAGATCATACAGCTCGTGCTCGTTGTTGCACCACACTGAGTAGAACAAATTGTACTCCTGGCTGAGAATGCGGAGAGCTTTGTAAGTGTTATTGGGAACAGTTGGAGTTCCTATTGTATTTCCGTTAGCGGGTTCTTATTTCCTCGTTAATTGGAGGGAGGTACTTGCCTAAGTTCGACAAGCCACCTTCGAGCATCGCTTGCCCCCAGTACTCGACTGCCACGTGCTCATGCAGAGTTCCCTCCACATCGGCAATGGGCATAGGTGTCCCATCAAAGTCGTCGCGGAGCGGTAGACTAGCCAAGGAAAATAGTGTGGGTGCGATGTCAATGTGGGTCGTGACAATATCCTGCTGCTGGCCCTCGGGAATTCCGGGCCCGCGGATGAAGAACGGCACACGAATATCTTCGTCAAAGGCGCAGGTCTTGCCTGGTGGCAGCCTGTGCTGGCTAATGTGGAATCCATTGTCGGATGTGTAGATGATGTACGTGTTGTCAATTTCGGAGCTGGCTTCCAGACGAGCGATGAGCGAGTCAACCAGTTCGTCAACGCCCTGCAAGGCACGCAGACGCTGCCGGTAATAGTGGTCGTTGTAGTCGATGACGGATTGGTTGCGATAGGGGAGATTGTGAATCCAACTGACGCCAGTAGGCTATGATAAACGTCAGATTGGAAACCTCATCAAGCTAATGCGAGCAAGGTTGGGCAACTCACTTCCTTAGGGTTAAAGTTTGCCGTACGGGGAACCTTGGCCTCGGGGAACAGATGCTTATGGCGCTCTTCTGGAATGGGCTCATCCATCCATAGAGGGCCCGCCCCAGCACCATATGTCCCATTCATGTTCGAGTGGGGTGCAATGGGAGTCACGGTGAGAAAAAATGGCCGTTCACCCGTGAGAGCATCTTCCAAGAAGCCCATCGCCTTCTCAGTCAGGACTTCAGCTGTGTGGCGGCCAAGGTAGCTAACGGGCTGGTCGTGGTTGCGCTGGTAAGTCGCGTTCATGTAGTCGTAGGTGTAAGGGTCCAGCAAGAAGTCAGAGCCATTGAATCCCGCGGCATAGGGCTTGTCGTAGTAATCCACAGAATGAGAGTTCATCAATTTTCCCGTATAGTATGTGTCATACCCAGCCTTTTGCATCCATACGGGAAGGTAGTTATCGTTAAATCCTTGGTTAATGAACTTAGGATATCCGCCTGTAAGTAGTTAGAATGCGACAGCTAGCAATTGAAACTTAGACCTACCCCATGGGGGGTTCACGTCCGTCACATTGGTATTGTGGGCTTGTCGTCCTGTCAAAAGGCTGACTTGAGATGGGCAGCACAACGCCGTTGTAACGAAGTGATTATTGAAAGACATTCCCTTGTCTTGCATGTGCTTTGTAGTTAGAGGCATATACGACAGGGAGTCTAGCTTCAGATCCTGATCATCAGTCATGATAAAGAGGAAGTTCGGTGGTTTCGAGGCTGACTGAGCTGTGGCCAGGCCTGCCTCGAGGGCTGCCATGATACCACAAGTCAGAGCCAAACCGTTTGCGGACACCTTCATATTGACAATCTGCAGAGACGCTTAGTATTTGAGACTCCCTGGAGCTGTCAGTGGAACTATTTATATGCGTTCGAGTGATATCCGAACGTCATAACTGACCCTCCCCTCTCAACCGTTCTTTGTGGCCGTTCTTCCATGTATGCTTAACCAAGAGAAACCTCGCCGAATCCTGCGATCCTTCCCGATACCCATGCGAACATCACTTCCACGTTCAGTGTAAGTATCATTAAGTGGGAATAACTCGAACTCAATCCCTTGGGGCCAGTATGTGGGTCACCAAGAGGAATACGAGGGCGCTAGATCAGATTAAGCGGGGCCGGTTTCTGCAGCATCGGTGAAAAGTCATCTTTCTAAATACTGCATTTCCCGTCTCAAAGACCCACTTCTCCAACATTTCCACGTTGGAGGCTCAGTTTGATCGCCTTTGTCATCCCGGTGGGATGGATGGAGTGTCCTGGGCGCCCTACTCAGCTGCTTTGGAATAACTAATTAGCTACCTGCTGGTTAGTTAACTAGCGTGGGGGTCTCAGCAAAACGTAAGATCTACCGAACCGGTGAAAAGTTGAGTGAGGCACCAAGTAGGGATGGGCTTGAATACGCCGAGCTCAACTCAAACTGAAATATGTGATATTCCCAAAGCCTAGTGATGGATGTCGCTAGACTGCGTATGTCCCCATATCCCACCTGTTTCTCTGTAAAAGCGTTAACTTCGCCCTGGTCCGGATCTGCAAACATTACGGCGCCGGATATTTGCACTGTATAGGCTGATATATCTTAACTCCACGTGAGAGATTTGGGTAGTTCCTGGTAGGGGCCTACGTCGGCTTTCCCATACTTTTTGAGGTACTCATCAGCGCAAAGAAATCTTGATACGATGAATTAGTTTAAATGGGAAAAAGGAAATATCGAATCAATCTATCATTTATGGTGAGCTTTCTAGTTCGATGAGATAGACGGCCACAGCGGACTGTCCGCTTCAAGCCATTGATTTATGAGTCACATGTGGGTACTATTTGGTGTAGATGAAGAGAGATATGCCACATTCAGACGGGAACTACGCGAGGACGGAAAATTTAACAAGTGGACTGGAAATCCTTCTTCAATCTCATGACTGTTCCAATCAAGTTTCCCAAATCTGCAGCACCAGAATGCCAAATTCCAGATACTGCCAGTCTGATGAGGATAACAACTTTCCAAACGCTGTCTCAGACTCCATCCTCTGGATAATTGGTCCGGCATATGCCCTGAACTCCTTCGCCGATCTCCTTCACATATTTATCCTCTACATATCTAGTACTAGAACAGGGCGTGGCATATGTACCTCGTAATCAGACATAGCTCAGTTCAACGGGAAGCTGGTTCCACGTAGGCAGGCTTCACCACGTAACACAGGGAGACCTTCTTTTAAAAAGACTATATTCCAACAAAGTAACACTCAACTATTAACCCCCTCTCATTACTTCATATCATTTAGCAGGAATTGTAATTGGGCCTGTTCAGATTTCACTAAAGCTCACAAAATGCATTCCACCTCCACACCGATAACCATCGCGCTGTCTAATCCACTCATACCCAAAGGGACAGTTTCCCAGCTCTTTGAGGCGCTCTTGAATATCCCTTTCTTCCTGGGCTGCTTTCTCCTTCTCTGCCAGCGATTCTTGGAATTTCTCCAGCAGCTGGCGTACTTTAGTCAGCTTCTGCTGGCATTCGGATTCTTGAGAGTCAGAATCAGCTTGCCGAATCACTGACTCATATTTTGTAGCTTCCGACCTCAGGCGAGCAGTGATCTTGTGAAGGCTGTTAATTCCCTCCTGATGAAATCTTGCTGCTGCCTTGTCTAACTGCAGCTGATCCCATACTTCATCGGAGATATTAGGATCACGAGGTGCGTTCATCGGTGGTGGTTCTTGTCCTTCCTCGTTCTGCCCACGCGGAGATTAAGCCTTTAACACCATTTCTTGTTTCTCAGTAGTTGGCGTCATTGAAGCAGGCTTCACTATATCAATATTTTTCTGGATGTGGGTCTTCGACGGTGGTCGAGCTCGTGCACGGGCATAATCAGATAGTTCCTCAGAAGGCGATGCCTTTCGCTTCTGAGAGAAGTTAATTACTGCTATTCGATTATGCCGTTGTTGAATCATAAAAGAAATCTCCTCTCGCACAATAGCTTCGGGAATGTCGGTTGATAAAGAAAAAGTATAGCCTCGCATTATCCGTGAAAAGATCGCCTTGGAAAGCGTGTGAATATCACGGGCGTTTGTCCAGGACGGCATCATAGAAAGTCTTCTGAAGGAAATCTCAAGACAGCTTTGCAACTCTGAAGATAATTTTAATTTCATCGTGCCAAGTCCCCTGAGTTCCAATATTTTATACAACAATGAAATACTGTCACTGGCAGAGATATTCTTGAAATGAATGACTTCAGAAAAGCGTCCGATCAGGCCCTAATTAGCTTCCATAAGTTCATTCATCTCATCTTCGTATCCGGCCAAGATTATTACCAGCTTATTTCAGTACCAGTCCTTGGTAAGATTATTGACCATTTTAATAACAGCATCCTTCCCGTATGTCCCGTCGGCCAGTTTATAAGCTTCATCAATAAACAAAACCCGTTCTAAGACCGACTCAAAAGCCTTCTTAGTCTTTGGTCCAGTGTGACCGACATACTCGCCTATCAAATCCATAGCAGAGCATTCCACAACATCTTTGATCGCAAGCAAGCCCATCTCATAGAAAACTACGCCCATTCTCTTCGCCGTTGTTGTTTTCCCAGTTCCTGCAAAACAATCAGCGAATAGTCAATCTCTCTATTTCTGCGATATTTCTACATACCTGGTGGACCACAGAAGATGAAGTTAAATAGTATTTACTCACGTGGGTCCTGGCCAAGAACCTTCATACTTCTGGCAATTCGCTGATAGGCTTCTAACCTTTCGACAAGCTGTTAGCAGCCAACAAAATCGTGGAAAATACTTCTAATACTTCCCAGTTCAGAATTGCCTCTGTCAAATTCCAGATCTAGATCTTATGGCTCAAGAACATCCCCTTTTTCTTGACTCCCCCCCTCCAAAAAGCGCCGATGTTGATTGATCTTAGCCCGATCTAGTAAAATGTCAACTTCAGCTGCGTTACCAAAATTTGGTCCATTCCGAGCTCGCCGAAGGACTTCTAAGACAGCATTCCTAGCCTCTTCGGAAGCCGAAAACCCCTGTTGACTAAGTTTAAGATCAAGTATCTGCCATAGCTCATCATCCGTGTAGTCCTTGAAGTCAAAGGCAGATGCCAGAGGGAATCATCGCGCTAGTACCGGGTTGACAATATTAAGCATCGATTCCATAGACTCTCTGTATCCCAAGAGAAGAACGCATCGGTCTTCACAAGAAATACTTTACACCTCTGAGGCAATTATATCTACGACCGCCGCTCGATATAGATCAGATAATATGACTGAATTACCATCTCCACCTCCAAGCATATATGCCTCGTCGATGATAAGCACTTTGCCCTTTGTAGCATCAAAGATAGCCCAGGTATTCGCCTCTGACTATCCAAGAGCACTGCCAATGAAATCAGAAGAGTTCTTCAGTACGACTTCGCCATTACTAAGCAGTCCAATATCAGCCAATATTTAACCATATAATTTCGCGACTGTTGTTTTTCCGATGCCCGGATTACCGAGAAAAAGTTTGTTCAAAGAGCATTCGACTAACAGCTTTTCATCTAATTCGCGCTCGTAATTAAGTTATAGTCGATGAATTAATGCCTCGACCGCATTCTTAACAGCTCGCAAGCCTACCATCCCGAGAAGCTTTTTCCACGCAGTGCTAGTATCAAATGCGCTTGAAGGGGCCGGGCCAATAAGGTCTTCCTAGATCAGAAAAAAATTGTCGATGTTATATCCAGTTTTCATTTCTCGAAAGAGACGATCAGCTTGTCGGTGGAGGATCACTAACAATGCAGTTTACACATTTCTAATATTTCCAAATCCATATCGGCCACGTCCACGGGCGATTCGCCGAACAACTATTCGCATAAAGCGGCCGTCCAGGCCATCTTCGGCCCTTATTTTGTCACCAAACCTCATCGTCAGCTCATGAACAAGAATTTGATGAAGCTCATGGTCTTGGTAGTCGGGAAACTTTATTATCATGGGTATAAGACTCGAAAAAGCTAGATGGTGACCTCTGAACTCCAGCATCTGCTTTCCATGGCCAGCGAAAACAACAACGACCTTCCCAGTTAACCTCTCCACCTGGGATAGAAGCACATTGAGGACCGCAGTTCCATCACATATACCAGAGAAAAGCAATTGATGAGCATCGTCGACAAGAAGAACGCCTCCATCCTCAACCTCATCCAGCAGGCGTTGAATACTCCAGACCCCTTCTGAGGCAAGTCGAGTCCCATTCACTGTCACAATATCGCCAACCGGGAGTACATCCGCCTCGTACAAGAATTTCGCATAATGCTCCGCGACCGTTGTTTTCCCTACTACAAATTATTCCTTGTCCGAGACAAGACATAATAGTGCTAAAGAACTCACCAGTACTAGGATTACCAATAAAAACAGCCCCGAATTTGTTCTTGCGGTGACTAACTTGCTGTCTTCCTGAAATAATAATGAATATGTTGATCTCGACAAACTTCTTTTTCACCTCGCACAGTCCAATCATTTCCATCAATAAATCAAGCGCAGTGTTGGACATATCCCAGGCACGCTTTTAGAATATCCAGTCACTCTTGGGCGTGCATTCGTGGATCTCCCGCGGAGACTCGGTCGCGCTGTCCACAATGCCATGGAGGATGGACGAGGAAGATTTTATATCGGTTGCCGGTGGGGTCGTCAAATGCAGGTGAAGTTTCTCATCGATATTACTTGAGAGTGTCTCGAGATTATCCATATTTCCACTATAAGAATCTGAGCTATGGTTCCCGCTGGGAGATCAATATAACGAGAAGCATACATACAAGCTCTACCATACAAACAAAACTGGCGCATGCGATGAAGAATACTATCAAAAATCGAGATTAATTTCAATCACCCGGCCTATTTTTTCTCTAGTGCGCAACTGGTAGGGGGCGGTGACACCAGAGCATAAGCGGCACATCCCTTATTTGAAAAGCCCAATATAGCGATACACATTCGGCATAGTAGCAAGACGACTGAAACAGCATGAGATAACCTGATTTTAGGCATGGATGGCTCAGAGAAGAGACCTCTTAACAATACTTGTCCGATGCTTATCTTGGGCCACTATAATACGATTGCCTAGCCTAGGCTCATTTGCTGCACAGCCTTGTGGCTGATGCGATTACCTAGGGGCAGCCATGCAGTGACAACAACTTTCGTTTATAACAGTACTACGGTGTTGTCAAGGTTTAATAATCTTTTTATCATCTTTTGTATTTTTGCTTCCGTGTTATCGTGCGTCTCTGCTTTAGGAGGCATATAAGGAGAGGGCGCTTCGGAAATGGCCTATGACGCAATCAGACTTGGACTAATGGGATAGGCTCGACGGGGTATGTAGGGCTCGGGTAGTGCTGGGAAAGAAATCCTGCGGCCCGGCGGGCGCGTACCTAACGAATAGGGTGGCAAGAGATGGGCATACTGACAGCAAGGCTGGGAGCACAGCCTCTTGTTTGATCCAAGCTCTTAAGCCTCCCGGGGTCGTAGTGAAAAGTAAATTAACGGTCTGCTCGCGAAAGATCTCTCAAACATATCTTCTTCGAAACTGGACTCCCCGGCTCTCTGATTCTCCCAGATGCAGTGCCTGCGATCATTTCTAAACCTTGTAATCAACATCAAGCACTATGACTGCCGCAAGACGAAAACGTTTACTCAATAAGGTTCAGAATTATCCAAAAAGAAGAAAGAATGGACCTGATCCGTTCACCATATTAAATGATGATGGCGGAACATGGTAAGTAGTATTATTCTCCTTCCCAGTTTTTCCTTATAATAGTCCTTTTGAGACACTCGTAACAGGACTAATAATAAAGGCAGTGAATCTCCAATCGTCCCAGATCCTCATGAAACAATCAGAAATGACACCACCACACAACCAGATATTATAGACTCAATATCTTCCAACAAGGTCGAAGACATACTGCGACTCGACCTCGGAACTAAAAAAAGATTATCTCGCACTGAGGCCTTCGGTGCGTTTCTCAACGCGGCTCTATCTGACAAGACCTTCTCAACCAGAAGATCGCGCCCAAGGCAACCACGATTTCCAGGTGTCACCGAGAATACATCCATGACAAACCTCAAACGTGCAACGGAGTGTCTGAGCACGCTTGCGCAGACATTTAGCTCAGCCCAACAAATAGACTTCGACTTTGAGAGGCTAACAAAAGAGGCCCCAACTAACAGAAATAATAGAAAAGGAAAATCACAATAGTCACCTCTTCATTTTGCAGCTCAGAGAGATAGTGCCAGATTATGTCAAGCGCTTTTGGACAAGGACGCATTTATAGACGCCAGGGAAGACGACTCCTGGACACCCCTGATGCTAGCGGCTCAGAACGGTCATTATAATGCATGCTGTACCCTAATCAAGCGCGGAGCCGATGTCAATGCAGTTGCAGAGGACTCCCATACAGCATTACTACAAGCTGTCGCGACTGAGAAGATCAAAGTCGTCCAGCTCCTGCTCAACCATGGGGCTGATATAAGAGCACATTTGAAAAACCACAATTGCATTAAAATGGCAGCCTACCATTCGAACCCAGACCTCCTTCGATTATTGATTCAGCAAGATCATGGTAGTGTGAATACCCCTAGTGACCGACAATGGACTCCACTTCACTTCACCGCTCAGTTCGATAAAGAGCATACCCTAGAAACGGCACAGATACTCATAGACGCTGGTGCCAATGTTAATTCTCATACTAACCTGGGAGTTACGCCTCTTTTCCTGGCTGTTCAATCAAATCGGCTCGACTTGGTTAAACTCCTTATCAACAAAGGCGCTGAGATTAACGTGTGCACCGAACAAGATATTACCCCGCTGGAAAGAGCAATAGACAATTCTAACATTTCTATTATTGATTTCCTCATCGACCAAGGAGCCTGGACAGATCACGTGGATAGAAGAGGTTTCAATATCATTCATATTGGAGCGATGCAAGGGGATGTGGCTGTTCTAGAAAGAATTCTCAAGACAGGTGCCAATATAAAGGCATCTTCGACTGACGGGAAGAAACTTCGGCCGATACATGTCGCCATCAACAACAACAATAAAGAGATCGCGTTGACTCTATTAGAACATGAAGCACAGCCGTGAGGGTCTCTCTCTCTCTCTCTCTCAAATGTTAACTCTCTATTTCACGACTTTTTCTTTCATATATATATATATTTTTTTTTTTTTTGGGTTTTCCTCGTCTCATTTAAAGCTTTTTTACGATGTCACTCTTCGCTCAAATATATATTTATCCCAGTACATGTCCGAGCTAGCTAGATAACAAGGCAACCACATCATTGTATTTCTTGTTTCGAGCCCTTTCCAACGCCGTTTCCCTGCCTCTTCCTCCGCGTATCATTGCATCGGCCTTATGCAAAATCAAGCAACGCACCACCTCCGTAAAACCTCCTCCAGCCGCACCATAGAGGGCCGTTCGATTCTCGGTGTCTCTCACATTGACGTTAGCGTTTTTGGACAAAAGCTCTCGGGCTGTTTCCTCTTTTCCAGCCCATGATGCCCATTGCAATGGTGTGCGGCGGTCTTTATCGCGGGCGTCTACCTCAGCCCCTTTGCCTAGAAGAAGGCGGACCATAGCTATATCTCCCCGCCAGGCAGAAATATGCAACGCTATCTCCATGCGACTGCCTCTGGCAGAAGGATTGACACCTATCTCCATCAGCTTCCGCGCTAGGTTGAAGTAACCGTGCCGCGCCGATTCAGTCATTGCTCTTGCCATGTGGGATGAAGATACGCGATGATCCAGGGTCATGGAAGTCATAAGACGGAAGATAGACTCGAACTCCTCACTCGCATGAGCCTCAAGCTGCTTGCGAAGCTCATCTAGTTTGGCCTTCGCAAGCGTGCTCGATTTCTCAGCTCATGCCCGGTCTCTAAGATTATAAAGTCTATATTAGTACCTGTTATAACAGCATAACCAAGGGGGTGATGATTACTCATTCGCTTCCATCCACACATAAAGCGCATTGCTCTGCGCCTTTACAGCGAGAGCGCTAGGAAGCAACCCTTCTCTGTTTTTCTTCAGCACACAGGTCGATAGCTCCTTTGCAGAGGGCCAGTTATCATCTTATAAGATCTAGAGAAGCAAATCATCATCCCCCTAAAGACAGACCAGGGCATGGAAAACCGTGCCCCCAGTTAAATCACCCGCACTTCCATCGAGGAATCCGCTACAGAGATTTTGATGGCACAATATTAGATGGGAACGACAGTACCTGTACATTAGATTCATAATAAGCACGATCTCCTTGGGGCTGAAGCAGATCCGATGCTTGGCCATAATCAGCAGATACTTATAAACAAAGCAGGCCACAACCATGGATGAAAGTTCGGAATCCGCATCAGTAGCCATTACCTGCCAGAAGCTCTCACTTCGTTGGTAGCTTTCGAGTGAACAGTCCAATTTCATCGCGACAGCCAGTAGCTGGAGAGCAGATGGCCTATCCTTCTCACTTGGGCTAAGACATTCGCCAACCACCAGAGACAACAACTCCGAAATGGGCGCGCGGTCCATTGGTCGCAAGCTATCAAGCTTGGAAATCCGAGCAATCAAACCTCGCGGTTGGTCCTGGATAGGGATTTCGTACGTCAACATAATATGCAGAACTGCTCCGACTGCCCATATGTTATTCATGGTGGACCACTTAGTAATAGTTCTCGATCGTTTCTCTTCTTCCGCAATTTCCTGAGTGGATCGTCAATATTTGTCTCTTCTAAACTATTGATCTCCATCCAATTCTTACCAGAGCCCAGTAGACCTTTGTTCCTATCATCTAAGTCGATAGTGCTCTTCCGTTCTCTTCTAGTTTAAATGATGTACCAAAATCCCCAAGCTTCACTATAAATTCAACGGATCCATCGAATTGCGACTGACTCAGGAGAACTGGTTCAGGAAGTCAGCTCGCCATCTTTTATTTTCGATAGAGGAAAATTTATTTATTCTCATGTACCTACTATTCCCAGGCTTGATGTCGCGATGAAGAATAGCGTTCCAGGACGATTCAAATCCACTATAAATAACATCCCAACAACTTGCTTTAAGTCCAAAATGGCATCTTGCTAGAGCAGAGGCAAGACCCTCGAGAATATGCCAAACAAATTCGTCCGGCATATGGGTCCTGTCCGAGATCCAATCATCAGTACTGCTGCCAGTTTTTATTGTTCTGCGTCACGCTTACCCTCTATCTTCTGCCTCACACAGGAGCTCTTGAAGGTCTCCATGGCCGCAAAATTCCATGTATATCTCGATCCTTTTGTTGTCGATCTCATGGTGCACATATGATAAGATATATAGATAGTCCAGGTACATGTAGCATTGGAGCTCCAAGTCTGTCGCCCGGAGGTGTCTCTTTCGGCTTTCCTCTCACATGAACGAGTCAAGAGTAATCACCTTTCTTACATATTCCTTCCATTCCAGAGTAGCATCAGTATAATAGTCTAATATTACAATATTATTATCTTAGGGTTAGGGAAACTGACACCTTAACAGGTCCCACACCTGACCTTATATACCACTCCATACAACCCTTTTCTCAAGACATCTTCTTCGCCATCCTCGATCTCCCCGCCAAATACGTGCGGTTGACAGATCTCTTCGTTACAACAGTAAACTACGATCGCTTTCGACAGATCTTCGCCTGAGGAGTCTGTGTCTATTATGTCATGTCCACTCCAGATTATAGAATGGAGGAGCTCAACTTGTTCTGACATTATATCCACTCGGGCCAGGTAGCTAGGCTGGAACTACAAACAAAAAAGCCTGCAAGAAACAAGTGGAACAACTGGACTACTTCAGCACTCATACTATTATAATTAAGCTATATTCTGCGCTTATTATTAAATCTCTTACTTTCAAGTTTCCAGTGAAAGGCTGAGCTGATCACACTTGTCCACGTCATTTAGCTCTGTGAGGCTGTCAGGCTGCATTCCACTTTCACCGCCCAATATCTGTGGCGTGTCAGCCTAACTGGGACTGTTATGCAGCACTAAGTACCTGCCCGATCCCTGTTCGAGGATGCGGATTTGCACAGCCACATTCTCCTCATCTGCTACTTTATTTATTTCATTCTATTGTTATTCTTCTATCTTTGTGGCTATGGCAAACAATATCTTTCCTTCTTCTTGATCTATCTCCTACCCGATTTTCTCAATCTAGATCCTAGCCTCTGCAAATTCCGTGCTAACTTTTTCATAAAATCATGTTCTGGACCCAGGGCCTTCTCATATCATAACAACGCATCCTCATAGATTCGTTTCGCCTTTCTGGACTTCCCGGATTTGATGCAAAGATCCCCTATGTTCACAACCACCGTCAGAGTTGCCGGGTCATTGAAATCTAGAGTCCTGTGAAGACTATTCACTGCCCGGCGAAACATCTGTTTGGCTTCCTTCCATTTACCTTGGTCAGTGTAAAGAGTCCCCAGATTGAGGACAATTTTGAGCGTCGAAGAGCTACTATGGCCAAGAGCATTTTCAAATCCCATCAATGCTCTGCGATACACCTCCTCTGCCTCCGCGAATTTTCTTTGATCGCTGTAGAGATTTCCCAGGTTCCCAAGAATTGCCAGAATGGACTCACTTCGCGGTCCGTGCGTCTCCTCAAATCCAGCCAGAGCACGCTGATATAGACTCTCTGCTTGGTGAAATTCCTTCTGATTGCGATAAAGATTGGCGAGATTGTTGATGATTTGGAGTCGGGACGCCAGGGGGTAATTAAGTCCTGCCGAAGTTTCCAGCCGGGTCAGAGCAAGCTGGTACATTTGCTTGGCCTCGTTCGGCTTTCGTTGACTTTTGTATAGAAGCCCCAAGTTATGAAGCGCTTGGATCAGTGCCGGCTCCTGTGGTATTGAAGGGCTCTTTGAAAGACAAGCCAGCATCCGGTTGGCGTGGGGGAGGACGCGCTGCTGCAAAACCCAGTGTTGCTTCTCAGCGACCGAGGGCACGGCATGTCCGATTGCAGCAAGGGCAGTCATCCTGAGTTGCATACGCGTGGGCTGATCCAGTTCGCCCAGTAGTTCGTAGTGACACCAGTCGTGAACCACGGGGTGCACGGAGTAGCTGGAACATTGTGGATTTGACTCCACCAAAGAAAATGAAATCAGCAAATTGACGTTGGCGAGAAAGCTTGTTTCGTCTGAAACTATACTTTGGAACCACTGGGGGATTATACTGCAAATTGCAATATTTCCACTCCTTATTAGCTGGAACCAGACGTCTTGATTATCGAAGTAAGAAAGAAGCAGCAGTAAGTTCGCAGCCGCTGCATTTCTTTTGCGTACTTCGTCGTAGGAAATCTTCCATGTTGTCAAGAGGTTCCCGTTCGAGTATTCGAGGTGGGCTGTGGTCGTCTGTTGCATTCTTTTCCACGACTGTTCATAATGGCGCAGGTAATTCCGGAAGCTTATTCCGGTACCGTGAATGTAGGAGCCGGCCATTACGATAGCAAGGGGTAGGCACCCCAGTCGATTGACGAGGTCTTTTGCTTCTATATAATATGAGCACTTCGCCGTTCCTGACATCCTATAATGGGAAAGAGATTCCAGAGAGGACCTTACCGTTGTTGACTGTTGGGGCAGATTTCTCACGTGCAATCTCATATCCCGAGCAGTTCACCAGAAGCTGCATCGCTTCTTCAGTGGGAAGTCGCCTAATCTGCTGGTAATTACCAAGTCGTGCCAGCTTCGCATGGCGGGTAGTGATCAAAATTGATCCATGATCAGCCGGTGGGAAGGAGTCGCAAATATTTTCACCGTCATGATCGACATTGTCAAACACAAGTAGCCACTTGGAATTTTCATTCATGCTAAGCCAGCGGAGAGTATGGCTGGCCTTTTCCTCAATGCTTTCCTCCGCAAATTCATCTTTGAATCCTTGTATACCAGGCAGCCTCGACAAAATCGATACCATTGAATGAAGAACCGTTTCTCTGCTCTGCCCATTGACCCAAAGAACGGCTGTAAAGTCGTTCTTGTGACGTCGGGCAAATTCAACGGCCAGCTGTGTCTTTCCCATCCCCCCAAGTCCTTGAATGACCACTACCTTTTGCTGGTTTCGTTTTCCCGGCTGTAAACAATTCCATAACCGGAGTAAGTCTCCCCGACGACCAAGAAATCCATTCATGACTGGGATGCCTGTCAAGTCAAATGGAACCCGAAACGGCTCGTTTCTACCTGAGATCGACGGTCAGCGTGATTGAATCAAACATACGGACATAAGCATTACTGATGACGAACTCACCTTCGTCAGACTTGGGAGCGCCCGGGATCACTGAGAGAAGCTCCTTCGCATAGGCCGCGGCGGTAGCCGCGGCGTATGGCTGCCATCTCTTGTTCTTGTGCGAATCGCAATAGTCGCATATCCCACGAACCACTAGACAGGGGAAATGATCCATCAACCCGGCGGCTTCCATTTCGAAGCATTTGACATCCAATTCTCCTGCCAGGCGATCTCGCGTTATTCCGTGTTTCATCACCTGATTTCCTGAGGCAATCAACCCGTAGTGAATCTTAGGATGTGTTGAAGCTCGGTCCTGTCGAGCAATGAGTTTGCTTTGATCGCATCTCTCACACGTACTGCTCTCTTCGAAATGCTCATACTCTGCAGGGAAAAGTTGGTCGCATTGCGGACCAGGATATCTGAACTTGGCAGCTACACCAGGTTGCCTCGACTGCAAATCGGCTAGGATATCCGAAATTCTGCTTTCATGTCCTATATGACCGGCTTCCAATTTTGCTATGGCAGTCAACAATATCTGAGGAGGTTTATTGAGGCACGAGATTCGGTGAAACCGGCCTTCTCAACCGGTTTTACCAAAGTCGTACTGGATCACTCCGCCTGAGGTCCCCGACGGTTTGCTGACGACCACATCCCCCAGCCGAATATCATCTTCCGTTGAAGAATTGTCGGATACAGGCACCCCTCCACCAATTCCGACCATTAACCTAATTCGGACAGACGGGAAGGAGGCGCGGAGTTGGCTCGCGACAACCGCTGCGGATATGGTACCATATACTCCGAAGGGTAGGGAGGCGATAACAACGTTGTGTTCGTGAATTGCCCCCACTATGTAAGTGTTTTGATCGGATTTGTCAACAGGTGGGACAGGATGCACCTCATCCAGCATCGCTTCCGCCGCGGCCATTTCCAGGGGAAGCGCACAGATCCATGCTACCGTGTAATCGCGGTGGTTGAGCTTTCTAGTACGCATTTACTCAGAAGAAGTAAGGATCCCCCCTCAACGAGAGAATGAAAGGGCAATAGTGATCGGGAGGGGGGCGGTCAGTGTCAGTGACATGCCTAGTATAGGCAACTGGGAGACTGGCAGATGATAAGCAAATATTGGCACCGTGGTCTGTTTCGAAAAATGAGGCTGGTCAGCCTCAGCCTCACTAGCCTACCAATCAGGAATTGGAAAGGAGGCAGTACGGCTACTACTACGCCGACTAGGCTACTACCTAGAGTACTTATGCAGCCATGGCTTAGCCTGGCTGGTGTAGTCCTAGCGCAGCTCCCGTTTCGACCGCAGCTCGCCCTATGACGACAGTGCCCAATCTTCACTTCATAGTGTTATCATGGAAATTCTAGCCTAAGTCACTCAAAAGCCAACTCAGTATAGATTTGTACCATTTGATAACATCCCCATTTTGATTTCACACATATTCTCATCAATGTCGGTGTAGCCGTTCTGTCTTTGCCTGGTGGCGTCGTCGATAGGCTGCTGATCGCAGTGCTGTTTCTGCCCGATATGTCCGCTTTGCTCAACTTTGCCACGCATCAGCCTGAGTACACCCGACAAGTTCAGCCACTAAACAAATTTGCGAGCACCGATACCAACCTAATTTACTCTGAATCAGTTCATCCTATTAGTGATACTTCTTGTCCGAGCTATACCCGGGGGAGGGAAAGATTAAATTCATACAAAGCAGAAATTATAACAATCACAATAACGTGGTATTCCTGCATATATATCTTTGATGGCACCTCGACAGATTCTATAACGGCCAAATGAATTTAGGAGTTTTGTAGCTCTGCAGATTCACAAGGCATTAGTCAAGTCTGATAACAGCATATTATCGGCTGTATCACAGTTTGAGCGTGCTAAGATATATTCCCATATCCAATCCTTTCCTTGTAGGGATAGTTATAGTAATTACAACCAGATAATCGCTATGGCTACATAATGCAGCCAAGCAAGACACTGCTACTGGCAGCGAATTATAAACATTGAATAGTTAGAGATTGTTTTCGCCCAGTGCCATGAGGAAAAGGTATAGGAGATCTACGAAGCATTATTTTCATTCATTATTCTTTTCTCCTGCTGTCTCTGGCCAAGTTAACAAGAGATTTTCTAAGTAGTTAGTTTAATTGATTGTTTTTCTTATCGACCCCTTAGGTTAATATACAAGAGGGTAAAGAACCTCTGGTTTTATATCTTAACGATAGAGCCATCACTTTCTCTAATTTTCCGTGTGATGACATATGAGCTGTAGTAGGAAAGAAGATACAAAGCTACTAACCATGCTGAGAAGGTAAGTTAGATAGTATCGACTCTGGCATGGTACGCGACGCTTAAATTATAGAAGTAAAGGTTCATATTGACACACACATAGTTCGTAATATTATTTCAGCATCTAGTCGAAGTCAAATTCTCTTAACTGCATTGGTGTACATATATATACATATTCCTTAACGGCAGTACTAGTAGAACTGGCTCTAAGACTATCATGTAAACGTGAGTTACAAGACCCCAACTAGCGTCTAATTTGATGGTTCCCTAGAGCTACCATGGCTAATTCCAGGATATCTCTAAGAAAGTACTAATAATACCAGCTCTACTAAGGCTATGCACAAGGCCATTTTCCGAGGCACCAGGGAATGTGTTACTTGAGTAGGGACGCAATCGAAGTGCGTCAGAATGAAACAGGTAGATGTTTCCTAACTATCTACGGCAGCTAGCGATAGTAAAAAAATGGCTAGCTGAAAAATCCGTTGGATTACAAGTGGAGTCCTAATAGTAAATGCCACTGACCTGACATGCCGAGATTCCCGAGTCCCCCGGCCCATTTTCGGCATGCCGTGCTGTGCCCCACGACGGTAATTGTTTGTCCAATCGGAACGCGCACAATTCCAACGCACTTCCGAGGTTAGTGTTTGTCTGACACATCATGATTCCTGCCCCAGTCACAGCTTCCTCGGATGATCGCAGACACCAGATCACTGACAAGCAGACGCTAGAATGCCCACCAGCCAACAGAAATCAACTCCTAGGCGCCATCAGCGATCAACGATCGCTTGTGAGACCTGCAGAAATCGCAAAGTGAGATGCAGCCTCAACATTACCGGTGTTCCCTGCATCGGGTGTGCACAGGATAACACCCAATGTGTCGTGGATCCGAAAAGACAGGAAAGGTGGTCGCAAATTGATAACCCTACCATCGTAGCTCGGATATCAGACTGACCTTGTTTAGGCTTCGTCGCAATCGGACTTCTAGAGTACAGCATCTTCACACCCCTTCGAACAACGCCCTGCCGGGGGTGAACCGCGCCACCCGGCCTCAGGATATTTCATCGCCTGCTTCTGACCATCCCCGAGAGACAATAAACCGCTACGAGACCGATCTTATATCGAGGAGGGAGACTCCTTTGCTGCCAAATAATGCAGAAAGTGAGGAGCGATACGGGCTCGAGATTGCTGCTGCTGCGTTGGGACAACCTCGAAGAGCAGGCGGAGTGCCTTTCTACTCCGGTAAGGGCTTAGCCTAAATGCAAATACCAGCTTAGTTGACACTAATCCCTTCTTTAGGAGCAGGAACTGGGCCAACATCTGCTTTGGAAATCTGCTTGTCTGACCAGTCACTGTCAAAACATTTCCTCGTGCCGTCGAGTCCGGCTGTACATCTCGCCGAAGAGGATAAGAAGTATCTCGAAAGCAAGGGTGTATTCACAATGCCAGCCCCCGCAACATGCGATAGTCTTTTACGAGCCTACTTCCATCACGTGCATCCGATCATGCCAATCCTTGAGCCAGACGTGATTCTCGAACACCACCGCACTGCCCGATTACCGGAAAACAACGTCTTGATATTTTGGTGCATCTTCTTTGTGGCGTCGAACGTAAGCATCGCACTGGTAGCTGAGATTTCAGCTCAGCTGACAACATTTCGTAGTTTATTCCTCCCCAGGTATACGAGCAGGAAGGGTACGGATCGCGCAAAGAGATGAAGGCCGCGATGTATGCTCGGGCAAACGTGAGTGCTTATCCGATAAGCCGACTAGACTCTGGTTGCTAATATCCGGTCCACGACAAGTGCATGTACAATCACGGAGGGAAAATGGATAAGATAATTCTACTGCAAGCATCGTTGCTGATGGCATTTTGGCATTCCGAAGCGGATGAACACACACAACCATGGTACTGGATGGGCATTGCCATTAGCTTCTGCCAAATGCTAGGCCTCCATCGAGACCCAGATCTATCCACATACAATTCCTCGATCACGGATCGCCAGCGACACCTTTGGCGAAGATTATGGTGGTCCTGCTTTTCGCGCGATCGATGGTTGAGCCTGACCTTGGGCAGACCGTTGCGAATCAACCTCCACGATTGTGATACGCCAAAGCCATCCGTTGATGACTTTCTGAGCGATGTTGTAGGCCTGTCTCCGCAGATGACATCCTACCTACCAGAAAACCTGAAGGTATTGGCCAGCCATTGGGTTAAGTATCTGGAAATCAGTGCTATATTAGGCGATGTGATTAGCATGCACTACCAGGCGAGTAAGCCTAGGCCGTCGCTAAAAAATGTCAATGACATGGAGATCAAGATATCCCAATGCACTGTTCCAGAACAAGACGATCCGAGTTTATCTCGTGTTGCTATCTTCGGCATCTACCACCTCCAGTTGCACTACCAGTGAGAATCATCTTCCTGAACGAGACTGGGGAACCGACTGGATAATAACTTTTTTAGTGCACTTGCGGGATCATTCTATCGGCCGTTTATTACTACGTTACCGAAAGACCTCGACCCAGTTGACAAAGAAGGCTGGACACATCGTATGCGACTGAAGGCCGACGCAGCAGCTTCTCACACAAACACTGTCGTCGAAGCTATGGCCCAAGACGGCCTGCTTGAATTTTCAGGGCCCATGACGTAAGTACCATTCCACCCCCCTCTAATGTCTAGCAATGCCATTACTGATGACTCTGTTCAATAGACCTCCCCTCCTAGTCCCAGCAATGCAAACCAACCTCCTCAACTGCAAGATTGGCAACTCCTTATCTAAACGACTTCGCTTCAACAAACTTAGTATGTGCATGATGGTGATGGAAGAACTTCAAAAAACATACACCGTTGCGTCCATATACCGCGCGATCTTCGCAAGGGCCATCCAGCTGCTCTTTCCAGAGAATACAGAGACTACTTTACCAGGATACCCTGATGCTGGCGCCGACCATAATCTAACCGATACATCGCGATTGGAAGAAACTGGTGATGTTATGGGGACAGCGGAGATCGGGGCCATAAATGCGCCGGGTTATAATGATATTTCGGCGGATGCTTTCGTCGATCTGCTCATGGATGAAGCGTCTATATTCAATTTCTGGGATACGTGGACCGGAACTTGAGCCATTACTATGCAAAATGGACTAGTACAGTATGTATCTGGGATGCATTACGGACTTTCACTTCAAAGCAGATAGTCACTTATATCATCGCGGCCTAAATGCTACAAACTTTTCGAAGTCTATATCGATCCCATCTAAGTCCACCACCAAAGTTCACCATAAGGATAGACGACATTTCTCAACGTTGGTCAGCAACTAACCCCCCTACCCAAAAGAAAAAACAAACAAACAAAAAGAAGATGGAAAAAAGGAGAAGAATACATACAACAGAAGGGATTCGCTGGTGGTCACCCACCCAACTACTAACCTCCCGGCGTGTGGCTTGAGTACGGCTGAGCGGACGGGAAGCCCTATTTTCCACACCCTGTGGTCGTATGTGATATTACTCATAAATAAGATAACCTACATCTAGCATACTGCTTCACAGACGTTAATTAAGTACTCGGAAAGCGGACGGACTACTCTGAGGAATTGCGTAGAAAAAGTCGTCTGGATGATCTAACCCGAATTTGATGGTCTTTGTGGTACTGTTGACAACATAAATGAGTGCGGGCGGTACGGGCACGGTAAAGTACATATATTATGTTGTAGTTGTTGTATAATCAACCTCAATAATACAGACTACAACTGTTAGAACTATCAGACTGCTCATGAATGTAAGACATTACTACCTGTATACTACGTTCTTCACAGCTTACTTATCCACAAGAAGCCTAAAAGCTTTCCGGATGCACTAATCATTGAGACTCTTGCAGTTATTCTGCTACTAACCATGGTAAGCTCTAAAGGACCACCAAGATGGAGGCTTGTCGGGGCCTTGTAGCTCACTTCTGCATGGTGGTCTTAGATCCCGTACTTAATACAAGTACTGCCGTCAATCAACAGATATCTACGTACATGGTGCTAGAAGTATAAGAAAAGAACAATAACAAAAAAGTGAAAAGAAAATAATTCTAATTTACTGCAACTAGCTAATGCTGCCAAAATAAGATTGACAAAGGATATATTGCAACGTGAAGTACAGAAAGAGTCGGAATAGGCAAACTGTCAAAGTGCATGGAATCTATGTGAAATGCCTTCAAGCTATGTACAGGCGTAAAGTCTATGCTGCTGTTGCCCTCGACTTTGGCGGCCATCTCACCCGCCGTTCTGCGCGTACGTACAGATTATTAGGCCTGATCAGCTGGAACATGGGGTCGTACTCGATGGGCCCGTTGTCCTCCATGGAGAACTTATAACGGTACACCAACTTGGGCAAAAAGACCTTGACCTCCTGGAGTGCAAAGTTGAACCCTATACACATACGCGGGCCCATTGCAAAGGGAATATATGCCGCTTTGTGCCTAGACTTCACCTCCTCGGTATCCCAGCGGTCGGGGTTGAAACGAGCAGGGTTGTCCCAAAGATCAGGATGATTATGGATATGGTGCAGTGCAGGCACTATGACTGACTCTTTAGGTAGCTTATACCCTCCTGGTAGAACCAGGTCAACCTTTGCTGTTCGGCCCGGTTGGAAAGATGGATTGTGCCGGCGTTGCGTTTCTTTGATATACTTATCGAGAAACTCCAGTTTATCCGTGAAATCCGCTGTGATTTCGGTATTTTCGTCGAATCCATGATCAACCAATTCTTGGAGAAGTCGTTCCTGCATGCCTGGGTACACACAGAGACCATAAATGAGCCAGGATAAAAGGGAGCTTGTAGTAGTGAAACCAGCAGCAGTGGCAACGACAAGGGCCCATGTCAGACTCGACTGTGGCAACTTCTGGCCCTTGTTGTCGGTTGCACGAATGGCATAGTCTGCTACAAGTCAGCTTTCATGGTCTGTCCAACGGACATACATCTGGAATTGGCGTTTGGACTTACCAACCATGTTGTCAGCTTTCAAAGCAGCGTCTTGCAAAGGCAAATCCTCGTGGCCTCCTCGTGAAGCCGCCTCCATTGACTCCGCTACCATATTCTCGATGCTGGTCCTCAAGCTGCGGAGTCGCTTGGGATCACCAAATGGCAGTCCAGCATACCAATTGCCCATGGAGGTAACCTTCTTATTGAGAGAAAGCATTTCGGCGATATTGTGGACCATTTCGTGAACAGGAGCATCCGGTGCTTCGAAATGCTTAAAGTCGAGCCCCAGAACGAGCTTTCCAACTGCCTGAGAGCCCAGCTTGAGCATGTATTGATATACGTTCCAAGCCTCACCCTGCTCATCCAGCGCATCAAATACCTTGAACGAGTCTTCGACTGTCTTCTGCATCGTTGGGGCGTAGTGGCGGACCGCCTTCGGACCCAACGCCGGAGGCAAGAACTTGTGAGCGACTCTCCATTCCTCGGTATCAGTATCTCCAAGAAAAATGCCAGCGGAGGGGGTCTTGAGCCCAGCCAGTGGGTGAGCTTCGTTAATTTTCTTGGTAAAGAAATCTGACTCAGCAAATGCAATTGCAGCTATTTTTGGATCATTTGTCTGGTAGGTGACACGACCCAAGTTGTTTGTTTTCACGATGGGGCCATATCGTTCAAATAGACGCTGATGGTTTCCGAGATGGTCGGGGTAAACTTCGAAAAAGGTGCCAACGAAAGGTAATTCCCTGGGACAGGGAGGTTCGCGCACGGCATGTCCGTCGATCGTAAGCGGTAGAGGACCCGGTGCTGCCAGCACCTCTGAGAGCTCGCTTAGGGCAGCATCATAACCCTGGAAGCCAATTCCTAGATACCATACGTCAGAACTGGACTGGTTAAGAGGTTGATTGGGGAAAGGGAGGCGCTTCCTCCACACTAGACTCTGCTAATGCCACACACTGCCGCCTACTATGTCGAAGCACTATCCGCTAGACCAAAAACGATAAACTGCTTCTGGCTAGCCAGGCGACGGAGAGATATGTGTTTCAAGGTAGTACTAGATAAGGCTTGCTTTGGGAAGCACGCAGAATCCCACTGCCTGGTGTTTTGGTCTTGCTTGAGTCTGAGGCAGCACAGCAACACCCTAGGCAGTAACTTACTACCTCAGGCAAGGATGCTTCAGCCTGCTTCAGAAAGCAAGCCTTACCTTATCAAGTAGGCAGGGGGTGTGGCATGAGCGAAGGCTGGTGTGGGGGTAGCGTTCCTCTGCCGAAGGGGCTACCGACCGCTTGGCTCAACAATTGCAAAGTGTGCTGCAATCAAGTGCTTCAGGTCATCGATAGTCGCGGATGGATCGATCTGAATCTCTTTTGCTGACGATGGGCTTTCTCCCAGAAGATAGAACGTTTGCGAAGGCATTGTTGAAAGTATAGTTACCCGGCTGGTGTTAAGTCCTCAGATTTGAGCCTTGCATGGCGTGACACTTATATATCTTCGCAACGGTGGGCCCTCCTTCAATAACACCGATGCTCCGCCAATTTCTGCTCGACCCACAGGCAGTCTAGGTCCTCAAGCGGTAGTGCAGTTGTGGTGTAAAGGTTCGTATACAGCGTGACGTGGTTATTCCTCGGAACTGTTTGTCATCATCCGAGGTTCGGAACGAATGGCATCTGGGACGGATGAGTAGCCAGACCGGCAAGCTTATCCTCGGAATGCTGAAGGCCAACTATATCGGTAGTATCCACACTCACAGGTATGCTGTGGACTCAGTAGATTAGGTGTGTTTCGAAAAATCTTCGCATACAAATAGAACCTCAGGTCATCATTCTTAACGCGTATCTAATTTGCTGTCAAGCGCCACAAGCATTCCCCTCCGCATACGCCCTTCACAAAGCTTGTCATAATCCCACCATTGCAAAAACCACAGCTATGCAAACATTCTCTTTAGAGGAGGTTGGCAAACATAACAGCAAGATCGACTTATGGGTTGCTATTCACGGCAAAGGTGAGCATTTAATCTACTGTTTATCCGTGATATCAGAAAGCTAATGTGCTTAGTGTACGATGTCACAAGCTACGTAAAAGATCATCCTGGCGGTGCTGATCTCTTAATTGATGTTGCCGGTCAAGATGCAACGGCGGCGTATGAAGATGTTGGCCATTCGGAGGATGCAAGCGAGATTCTCGAATCCTTCCTGATCGGGACACTGAAAGATGCGGTGGAATACAAGGCCCCCACAGCTGTCAGACTTATCCAGCCACCTCCGGTGTCTTCACCTGAGCGAAAGGTTAGCTGGGATGCTACTCGTACTGTTGGTCTCGGTGTTGGCTCAGTTGCTTCACTTTATCTTGGGTCTAAAGCTCTGAGACCACATCTCGACTTTCATCACTTGGCTGAGCTTCTGCCCAGCCTGCCGTCCCTGTCTTCCATCAAGCTTTCCCCATCCCTACCTCATGGGGGTTTTGCTACTGGGGCAGCCGCCACGGCCTGTATCTGTGCCGTACTAGGCGGCATAGTCGCGTCTCGCCTCTCGAAGCTCACAGAGATCGAGTCGGGCTTCACGAAGTATCCCCCTCGGGTCAAGAGAAAGACTATTCACCAGCAAGACCCCCACCTCATCCCTGGCTTCCTCCAACCGAAAGAATACAAGGCCCTACCACTGGTGGAGAAGACACTGCTCGCTCCCAATGTCTATCGCTTCGTCTTTCAACTTCCTCGCAAAGGCGATGTGGTTGGTCTGCCCATCGGACAACATGTCGCTATCAAAGCAACTGTCAACGGCCAATCCGTGTCTCGATCATACACTCCAACGTCGAATAACCTCGACTTGGGTAGACTGGAGCTGGTAATCAAGTGCTACCCAGATGGATTGCTCACAGGCCAGTACCTTGCCAACCTTGAGGTCGGTGACAAGGTCCTCTTTCGTGGCCCCAAGGGTGCAATGCGATACAAGAGGAATCTCTGCAAAAAGATCGGCATGATAGCTGGCGGCACAGGAATCACGCCTATGTTCCAGCTTATTCGCGCAATCTGCGAAGACGACAAGGACACCACTGAGATCTCCCTGGTTTACGCCAATCGTACGGAAGATGATATTCTCCTACGTACTGAGCTGGAAGCATTCGCATCAGCCTATCCGAAATCGCTGAAGATCTGGTACATGTTGGACCACCCACCAAACGACTGGCAGTACGGCAAGGGCTATGTAACGCCGGATGTGATGCGTGAAAGGCTGCCTGGGCCTGGTCCAGATACCAGAATCATGCTTTGTGGCCCTCCTGGCATGGTCAATGCCGCAAAGAAAGGTTTGGCTGGTCTGGGATTCCAAGCTCCAGGAGCGGTCGCGAAGATGACGGATCAGATCTTCTCTTTTTAGAATATTCTCTTTAGCTGTTTTCCTGTATCTGCATCTATTCAAATTATGTATGTAAAACCACTTTAGCTTATATATTTTCATTTAGCTTCCTTCATTCCTAAAATGCGGTCTTTCTGAGCCTCAGTAATTTTGGAATCCATTGATATTGTAGTTTAACTGACACTTATGTGCACCATTAAAGATACATCATTAGATCAATAGAAAAATCATTGCGCATACACAGACAGCGAGACATGATTCCGTTAAAATGCGAGGTATGATTGTAAGAGGCGTTCAATTTACCCTGTTCCCACATTAGGAGAGCGTTACGCTTGGGAAGCATTAATAACAGTATTAGTGTAGAAAGCAGACTAGCTTAAATTGTTGACCTTACCTTAACAAGTAGGAGTATGCGTGTACTTTTTCCTTAAAGAAGCCCACTTACCTTGGTTGAAATTCTCCGAGGTGAAGTGTGTCGGCATGCCGAGCACCCACAAATCAAATCCGTATCGACCAATCGGAACGCAGGAAACGAGTGCTTTTCCGAGGTAAACTTTCCATCTATACCGGCTGCAGCGGTGTTGAAGATGGCAACACGCAAGCAAGGAAACTCAGGTACACCAGGGAAATCTGGAACACAGATTTTGAAAGCTCCGAGGATTTTCGAAACCGCGCTAGCAAGGATACCCTCGGTGGTTCAGAAGCCACGGTTAACTCGGGACAAGGACACACTTGACGTATGTAGAACCACGCATTGCCATTCCTGGAAAAGGACTGGATGAGGTTGCTACGTCAGGCATTAGTTAAAAGAAATGAAATACCCCTGCCATATATTTCAATGAGCCCTTTCTAGATGCACTAAAGCCAAACTTCATACCCACCTTCAATCGGAATATCAATCCAAAAGAACATTATACCATCCATACCTGCAACAATGATTTCGACCTGGCAAGCACCGAAGGACTACCGCGAGCGCCCTGTAGTAGTTCTCGGTGGTGGTGTTTTGGGACGTCGCATTGGTATAAAATCCTGACCCTAGGTTGGCAAACAACACAGGACACGGCTAACCAACTACGCAGCCTGCATTTGGGCATCAGCAGGCTACAACGTCCACGTCCGTGACCCGAGCCCCGAGCAGCGCGCCGACTGCATCACCTATGTAAACGAAAATGTCGCCTCATATGCAGTACACACCGGAGCCAAGCCTGGCCCCATTACAGCATTCGAGGATCTGGCGCAGGCGATCGAGAATGCGTGGCTCGTTATAGAGTGTGTTCCTGAGGTGCTCCAACTCAAGATCGACACCTTCGCAGAGCTGGAGAAACATGCTCCGACAGACTGCATTTTGGCAACCAACTCATCCTCCTATCGCTCCTCGGAAATGCTGGAAAAAGTGTCGGAAGCAACCAAGTCCCGTATCTTGAACATGCATTACTACATGCCTCCACAGGTCATGGTTGTGGAGCTGATGACGGATGGGCTTACAGAGCCGTCAATCCTTCAATTTATGGCTGAGCGCTCGAAGGGAGTGGCCACTAAGCCCTACATTGCGAGGAAGGAGTCTACTGGGTTCATTTTCAACCGTCTGTGGGCGGCTGTTAAGCGCGAAACTCTAACGATTCTGGCTGAGGATGTTTCTACGCCAAGTGAGATTGACTCTCTATGGACTGAGATGTTTATAAAGGGGAAGACGCTGCCTTGCGAGATGATGGATGGTATGCCATGCCCTGCACCTTGCTAGCTTCGTATTTTACGCTGATTATGTTATTACTGCAGCTGTCGGGCTTGACACCGTTGCTTTCATCGAAAAGCATTACGTCGCTGAACGAGGTCTTGATACCGAGAAAACCGTCGACTTTCTCCAAACCAACTACCTTAGCCAAGGCAAACTGGGGAATAAGTCATCCAAAGGCGGGCTTTATTCGCCAGCGGAAAAGTTTTGACCTGCTACTATTAGTCCCAGTCCAACTGACTAAATGTTGACGATTTGACCTCAAGGTTGTAATATCAATTTCGGCCTCTATGGCTAAGGTTTAGCTAGTATAGACGCTTTGAGTATAACGCTGGCTATTAATTAGAGAAATTTGCGCTGTAATCTTTCATATTAGTCGGTGTGGCCGAGTGGTTAAGGTCAGACTCGAAAAGCTGATACGTTTCGCGTGCACAGCTGTTGCTGACTATTTCTATTTCTTTTGACTATTCCTTTTCCTTTCTTATGTTTTTCGCAAGTTGTCTTGATAATTCTGTTGGTAAGACTGCTACTGTTCGGGCCGTGATACCGGAGTGTGTGGGTTGTGGTGCCTTGTCAGGGTCCGCCTTTCACCCGCCATCGGCGCTTGTAGTGGTATTTGTATCATCGGTTGCATTCCTTTCCTCAACCAGTCACTCCTTTATTTATAGATTCTATTGTATATCAGTATATAGTAGCAAACCAATAAATATCATCCCCATTTCTGATCAAATCTTGTTTCAGATGAGACCTCTGCAAATAAAAAGTTTGGAAAGACGAATCTCTGCTAGGACCTGTATCCGCATTTCACACAGTCCACACCATCTCAGCACCCACACACTCCAAAGTATCTCGGAAAAGAGATACCCTCTTTAACCGACTCAGCCCCTGCCAAATACTGCAGCAATCGCTCAAAATCAATACCAAATCCCCCGTGCGGCGACGTCCCCAACCGGCGCAAATCAGCGAACCATTCAACTGACTGTAGTTCTTCCCCAGGATGGAGGTAAGGATAAGGCTCCGCATCCGCCGAGGCATTCCTTTCTGGCACAGGGCCAGGTTCCTATTCCCGTAGGAACCGCTTCTTGCGCATACTATCAACCAATATATCCTGACGGTGTTCCCTTAGACCACCGCTGCACACCTCACCGATTCCCGTTAGGAGGGGATCAAATGACTCAATTGTCAGTCAGGCGGGGAGTCCTGTGATAGCGATGCTTCGCTTGTGCCTTTGGCAGCTTAGGCAGCTTGGGCAGCTTGGAAAAGCCAGATCTGAGTCGGGAAGTGCGTTAAGAAGACCGCAGAGATGGAGTGGTCGCAGAGGTATTTTTCTTCTTCTGGTGTGACATCTTGTACTCTTGCTGTCGGGATGTTGCATTTTGCAGCACGAAGGCACGCGAGAAGCTTCGTCGCATAGGCAGAAGTGATGCGCGGCCAATTGGGCGATAATAGCGTGTCCCAGCGTTGAAGAAGCTCATCGGACTCCGGTTGGACTAGTATTTCCTATCCGGCGAGACTGGTCTTCAAACGCAAGAAAGCACTGCGCAGCGTCTCCTCCATAAAATTGGATAGTGGCTAGAGGGAGTCAATGTAATTCAGTGCCACCTTGAGCATTGAAAACTCATCCAGATGACGGCTACTATCCGTTCGTTCGGCTCTCCAGCAGGGACCTCATGTCCAGCTGCGATCGAGCCCTTGCACAAACCCCTCTGCATGGAAGACTCCAGAGACATTGAGCCATTTTCGGAAACCAAAGTAGGTGTCTGTCATTTTTTTATCGACAAGATTGGACCGCTGCGTCGGGGCGGCAAACATTTTTGCGCCACCTTCGCAGTCCGTCCAGGTGAGCATGGGAAGGTGTACGTGATAAAATGGGCCGTCGGAATGTTTGTCGAACAGGTTAGATAATGCGCTCGCCACGGTGGAACGAAACCGTGCCAGGATGGCAGATTGCGGGGTGCGGGTTCGCAGGTGTGGGTTGTGATGTAGGACTTTTGAGGACGGTTGACGCTGAGAAAGAGGGATGGTATCAGAGTCCGCTGTACCGAGTGTATTCTGTTGGTCGTGAGGACATTCCACAAGCGCATCTTCGGGGCCTTCCTTGTATTTCATTTTCCTCGGGAAAGTCTCCGCCGGATGGCCGTTTTGCTGATAGCAGGGGTAGCCTGGATGAAACGAAGGAATAAACACAGTAGGCACTTAGGATCTATGCTAGGAAGGATTTTGATAGGAAGATGCGTGTGATCAAGTGCTTGGCTGGCCAAATCCTCGACAAGGTCCATCCTCACCGTTGCATGATTGATGCCCCAAGCGCAACACATTGCTTTTAGGGTTATATCTGGTACCAAATTTAATTAGCAGCTAATATTGTTGTAGATGGATCTGGGTTTAAATAATGCAGTTATGCTTGATGTTTGACAGGCAGGTTGTAGATACACACTCTCTATTTGGTGCTCCGTACTATTCTGATCGGCAGGGATCTCCCGCGCGTGAATCAAAGCAGTCGTCTCTACGGTATCCTCCGATCATCATTGGTCCAGTGACTTCAGATGGTTGGGGAGTGCCTTGCTTATCGCGAAATAGAATTTAGTCAACGAGTGATACTTTTCCATTTCTTAATAATATTTGACGGGTATTGAATTAGTATATCTTTCTTTAGTAAAGCCTCATCCAGCTAAACGAGCGTGGAGAGTAGTTCGAGAAATATTGTTAAAAAGTTACAGCCTCATGAATACTAGAAAATTGGTCTTTCTGAACAGCTTCAATAGTAAGAAGCATAATTTTATGCGTCATGCAGCTCTTGATGAGATAGCTGCTGTTGGTGGCATTTCTGCTGGTTGAATCGTCCTAGATAGGAGGTAGGAGGTGGTACACTTTGGCCGAGCTGGAATCCGAAGAACAATACTCACAGACACCTTTCGAAATAACCTCTTATACATTTAATTGTAATTAAAGTAGCCATGTCTTATTCTACAGTGCGGGCAGCTGTCTTCTTTAATTTGGCCAAGTCAGAGTACAGATAATCACTCCTTTGCTTTAATATGTAGAAGAAGTTTTCTATGGATGAAATGGACATGTAACTATTATTATAATTATTATCTAAATTATTATCTATGCTAAACTCAGAGTAATGGTGCTTAGGATATACTATATTATAATTTATCACACCTGGCTTTACTAAAACGCGGTTTAATAGTAACTCGACAAAAAATGATTTGATTCTAGAAATTCTTGATTACAGAAATGCTGGAGATTATTGATAAAGACATTAATTATAATGGATTGAAACAATAATAAATTAAATGAAATCCTGGCTTCTTCTAGTTTCTATGATAATAGATTGCTCCAGCCTTGCAGCTTTAGCTCACTTTATCTAAACACTAAGATGGCCATGTGACTGTGCCTAACTCGCAGCCTTGCCATCGTTGCTATTTATTCCCCTCACTTGGCATTTACTTTTCTAATGTCAGAATTCCGAACCTTGTTCTTATGCTTTCAGTTATAATATCCTAAAACAAGACATACACTTGCTGTCAAAGTGTACGCATTTTGATAAGAGTCATGGCAACACTGTCTCGGCACGATTACACGGTTGGGTGGATATGCGCCTTGCCTTTGGAGGTAGCAGCTGCGTGCCTAATGATGGACAAAATACACCCAGACCTGGAGATCCCGTGGCCAGACCAAAATACATATATCCTCGGAAATATCGGAAAGCACAACGTTATTATTGCGTGTTTACCAAGTGGCGGATATGGCATCACCCATGCTGCGACCGTAGCAGTACAACTGCGTACCACTTTCCCCTCCATCCGATTTGGTTTAATGGTCGGTATTGGGGGAGGGGTGCCAAGCAGCGGTCTAGATATTCGACTAGGTGATATTGTGGTGAGCCTGCCAGAAGAAGGCTGTGGAGGCGTGATACAATATGATTTTGGTAAAACATTGAGCGGTGGACATTTCCACCCAACTGGTATGCTTAACCGGCCACCAGAGATCTTGTTGACTGCCGTCTCAAAACTTCGATCCTTTGACTACTGGAAATGCAGTCAAGTTCCTGAATTCATTTCGCACGTCCAGGCTAAAAATGCGAGATTTGCACGACCGGAGCAGGAGGATCGCTTATTTCGAGCAGACTACACTCACAGAAATGGTGATACATGTAAAGAGTGTGACCCAGCCCAAACAATTCGCCGTTCTTTAAGAAGAAACAATGACCCTGTCGTCCACTATGGACGGATTGCATCGGCAAATCAAGTTATGAAAGATAGCAGACGACGAGATCAGCTAGCTAAAGACCTTAGGGTATGCTGTGTGGAGATGGAAGCAGCAGGGATCATGAATATTATTTCATGTCTAGTCATTCGCGGTATCAGTGACTACGCCGACTCTCACAAGAATAAGGAATGGCAACTATATGCAGCGACAGCGGCAGCCGCGTACGCCAAAGAGCTTATCCTTACAGTTTCCACCAATCCGAGCAACCATCTCCCGACAACGCAAGAGCGGAACACAATGAGCTCTAGTCCCACATTAAATACTACCACAGCTCACACACTTGATGTATTGGCTCAAGATCCGGATATGGTCAAGGAGGTAAAGAAATTGTCTCAGCAAATACCATTAGAACATGGAGATGCACCCAGACCAAATCATACCAGAAACCAAGATCGCCTAGAGGACGACTCAGCTCCAGAGAAGAGCACACATATTTTATCCGCCAATGAAAAATTTGTATCTTTGGATGTCTTGAGATTATCGAGCGGAACTGCCACGCTACACATTACTGAAAAATGTGGGAAAACCCCGATCCAATCGCCTATGGACAAGATAAGACGACGAGAGCCAGTCCGAAACAATAATATCAAACAGTTCAGCCACACTACACTGAAGGGACATTCCGGTCTGGTAGAGTGTGTCTCTTTCTCTCCAAATGGGAAAACTATAGGCTCTGGATCTTTGGACAATCAAGTTAGACTCTGGGATGCCAACAGAGGTATAACAACTTTCGTGCTTAATGGACACTCCGACCGTGTGAATACTATAGTATTCTCACCAGATGGACGACTACTGGCATCTGGGTCACGGGATAAAACAGTCCGGCTCTGGGATACTACTAAAGGCACAATGCAAGTTGAACTGAATGGCCATTCTGGCCCTGTGAACACTATCAGATTCTCACCGGATGGAAGCCTAGTGGCGTCCGAATCTCTCAATGGAGATTACAAGCTCTGGCATAGTGCCACAGGCAATATACACAGAATATCGAATGACACATACCGTCACCTGACCGCAGTTGAGTTCTCGCCAGATAGCAGAATGGTGGCATTTGGAACTCATGATGCCGGTCTCAGGCTTTTGAACAATGCTACAGGTACATTCCAAACGCTAAGAGGAACCTCGGCTGAAAAGGTGAATTCTATGACATTTTCACCAGATGAGTCAATACTTGCATGTGTAGTTGAAAGGGATATTACTCTTTGGGACACTACTACATGCATGATGTGTTCAACATTGAGTGGCCATCGCGAGAGAATTAATATTATGGCATTCTCACCAGATGGGGCAGTGGTGGCGTCCGGATCTAGTGATAGGACAGTCAGGCTTTGGCAAACTGGCACGGGTATAATGATGAAAATTCTGGCTGGCCATTCTAAGCCTGTGAATGCTGTAGCATTCTCACCGAATGGCACAATGATGGCATCAGGATCTGATGATAGAACCGTTAGGCTTTGGGATGTTTCCACGGGCGCGGCGCAAACACTCAAGGGTTATTGGGGTAAAAATTGCAACAGCTTAACATTCTCACCTGATGGGAGACTAGTAGCTTATCCATCCGGCGATAGAATCAAGATCTGTGCCACTGGCATACAGAATTAGGTTAGGATACTCATAATGGTGCAAGGCTTGCTAGCTACCTTATCTTACTTCGTACCTTTTCGCAATATTTTGTCCTAGAGCCATTGACCACACACGACAGATGCCTGTTTGTGTGTTGAATATCTAGTGGACTTAACACAAGGAAGGGTTCTATAGCCTATATATAGAATACTTTCATCAATTCCTGCTCCTGGTTGAGCTTCTAGGAACTTCGTGGCACTGTTGCTTTATGCTCATTGTGCCTCGACCATGGACCACGAAACACATACATCCTCATCACCCGAAGTGGTCGGGAGCAGAATACGGCAAAACGACAGTTAATGTAATTAATCATGAAAGGTCATTGACTATTATGAGGAGCTGTTATCGAACAATCCCAGTACTAGCGACTGGCATAACCTACGACGTAGCATCACTCGGGATCAAAAAGGTTTAATGTTCTACAGCTTTGAGCAAGTTCTGAGTGCTCCCAGCTAGACAGTGCTAGAGCACAAATGCATTGCGCGGTTTGCCAATCTGCAATCCGGGTAGCCATACGGAGTATTGAAATTTGCAATCCGTATATACGGAAATGAGATCTAATCAGCTGATGTGGGTCGATTGATCACTCGCTCGCCACTCCTTATTTCAGTCTGCAAGCCATAACTCGGGTATATGATCGCCAGATCCTCAAACTTGGATATTCCCCAATAATGCTGTTACATTGTGATTTGCTTTCTCACACGCTCTTTCGTGAGAGCTGTGTGCATGGAATGTGGATTTCAGCTGAACACTGCATATCCTCGCAGATACTTCCTGTCCGACATCGGTCGCGTCATCTCTAATCACTTAGACAACTACCTCTTTCTGTGACCGACAACCAACTATGCTTGCATTCCGGCGGTGCAGGACACACCATAAACTGTCATTGTGAGCATATTGTACTCGTCATGTGCATCAGGATTCTGGGCTGCCATGACACACGGTGCGACGAACATCGATGCAAAATATTAGCAGTAGATAAATATGCCACCCAACTAAGTACGCTGTCTCTAGCTCCGCAAACACCAGGGATTCCACCATCTTAAATTTCCAAAAGCTACTACTAGAATTGATCACTGATGAGCCTATTGAAAAATTTGGTTCTCTACGTCTCTTCCGATACATTCCCAGGCACAATTAAGATTTCTGGCTAGCAATTAACTATAGGTAGATTTCATTCATTCCTGATACTCTCCTGCCTTTTCTAAAGTAAGACCCCATCACCCACTCTATGAGTAAGCCGCAATGGCCTTCTTAAATGCAGCGGAGATCTCATTCAGGATTAGCGGTGCCAAATCTGCATACGTCCCTGACAACTTGTCCTGCACGGCTGACCCCAGCGCCTTCGACAAAATGCTCAACTCCTGCAGATCGAACTTGACAAGGAAACTCAATGATGCGATGCCCAACAATCCATCGTCAAAATCCGACTTTTTCGACACAATGTTGGCCAGTGTAGACGCGATCTGGGGCTCTAACGTGACGAAAGCTTCCGCTACCTTCTGCGACTCGGTGTCGGTGAAATTGGCAGACTGTCGCGTCAATCTGATTGCAGTTTTAAGGTCGACTTCGAGCTGGATGGTTTCCGCTTGAATCTGCAGGGCGGATAATGTTCCTTCAATGCCGCCCGGGTAGCTGCTCACGGTGGTGTTCAGGGTAACCAGCTGGGTGGAGATGGTGTTCACGGCGGAAACAACGCTAGAAGCATCTCGTTTGAAAGGGAGTAGGACTTTGGACGGTGTTGCAGTTGCTACTGCTACCGCGGCAGTGAAAAGCAATGTAAGGAGGTAGGAGATGTTCATTTTCATGGAGTGTGCTCACATGGCAATTAGAGGATGACTGGGTCAGACATCCATGTATTTGATTTATACACAGTTTTGATAATGACTCGATCACCTCATTTTAACCCCGCTTCTTAGGCTGCCAGCCTTCTCCGATTGACGTTACATTCAGCTGGTACAGCTAGTTAATTAGTGATGACTCGCGTGGTCCCCGCATGACGCTATGAATGCTTCTACGAATCAAGCTGATTGATGATCTTCGAAATTGCCTCATTGGGAATAGTGGTCCGGGCCCTTTAATACATTTGCAGCTGGGCGGGCTGCATTTCTTGCTTGTGGCTGAGATGATAATCAGTATCTAATCTAATAGAGTTGATGTTCCTTGCACAGGATGGTGCCAAGTCAAAGCCACTTCGTGATAGCATGTGCTTCCGAGGCCCAGAAGACCCTGGTATTTATCGCTCAGTCCGCCACGCATATTGATGCATGTGACTGGCGTTCAGTCGACGAAGGAAATCCATTGAGAACGGACAGCTCTTGCTTATCTTGGCAAGTTTCTCGTCTCATATTAAGCAACACGGAGATTGTTCCGGTGGTGCTTGTGGCGACCTGAGAGCTGTTCGTGTACCAATAAGTCCACCCGTCGCTCGCCTATCTATTATCCAGAGCTGCTAACTCTGACTTAAGCTTACTTAGCCATATATTATATCTATCTTTCAATTGCCAGCGAGTAATAATCCGGCCTTTTGAGAAATTCTTTTCTTTGGCTTAACCAGAATATATGTTATAAATTAATCCTGCAGCTGTAAAACTCATAGCCAATTATCTATTCTGTAAACATAATTACTTATTTCTCTACTTCGAATTTTATATGTAGAAGGCTAGCTTCCTATTCATAGGATCGTGTGATTTACCTTTGAAAGACTCGCAATAAAGGCCTGTCTCTTGGAGCTGTACTGTACTAGGTGGATTGCAGAGGAGTTGATAGAGAGGACTACGGATGTAATATTTAATGCAGAAACGAACTCCCCTCTCCGAATTCCCGCCTCATGGTCCCCAGAATCTCGCCCCACTCAGGCGGGATGTGCTCCTCAGGCGAGATCAACTCACTGCCGAGCCTCTCGCCCAGATCTCCAACAAACCACGTATCCTTGAGGAAGTGCAATGTCAGCGGGTAAAGCAGGAAGATCACGCGTGCGATCAGGTCTCGTTCCTGTAGCAGAGTCACAAAGGTCTCTGGGAAGAAGAGCGGCCAGAGGAGGATGGCGCCCATATCTGGTCGCCCGTGTGGGCACTTGCTCGCATCGAATTTTTCGAGTATGTACTGAATTGAGACTGTGTATGCTGCGTGATGATGTGACGGGATATTCGTGGCCGGGTGTTGAATTTGGGAAAGAACTTGGGAAGCAAGGCTGCGTCGAGGGTGGAGTTCAGTATGTTTGGGACGATGTGCGGGAATGCAGAGAGTAATGCTGAGTCGAAGGAGACTTACCTGTATATCTTGGAGGCTCTTCGCTGCTTTTGGTTCACTACATCTTGCGAACTGTTGTGTAGCGGAGCTCTTTCATGGTCTGTCCCCTTCTCAGAAAACCGACTGAACAGGTTTGACTTGGGACTCAACAAGACACAGCCGCGGATTAACTTCGCAATGCGCAAGACCTCATCTAGGTAACTCGTTGATGGGCGGCACAAACGGTACTGTGCAATGGCAAACAAAACGATATATATGGAACAGACTATAGCGGCGTCGGCTGTGGCAGCGGATAGCCGGCCGATAACCTGGGACAGCATGGAACATGCTTTGTCACTGTAGTTGAACGCTACCAGAGTCCAGGCTTGTCTTCGGTTGGGTTCGAGATAAGCGAGATGCAGGGCGGTAAAAGCCAGGAGACTGTCTAAGGCGAACGACTGCGTGCTTGCTACTTTCGTCAGGTTGACTTGCCAGTCGAGCCGGCTGTTCTCGTCCTCGACCAGTGTTGAATGGGTGTTAGTGTAGTAGTGGTGGAGCAGGGTTGCTTCAAGGAGTCGGGTGTCAATCTGAGGACCATTGGTCGCTGCTGAGACGCGGTTTGAGGCTGACAGTGGAGATAGGGGTAAGGCTGACGGGACGGGTGAAATCTTGTCGTTCGAATGTTCGGGTATTGCAGAACTGGGCCCAGGTGGCCTGCAAGCATAGTGACACTCTATACGGCGATCGTCACAGAACTTGCAGGCCGGAAGGCCTTCATCGCACTGAAGAAGCTGTCAGCAGGTTCTGCGATTTATGCGGGAAAACCGTTGCTGCATGACTGGTACTACGTAGGTAGACCCACTGGGCGTGGGAGACATTCAACCCACCTTGATATGTCGCTTCTTGCATTCTACGCAGCCAGTTCGTGACTTGCGATGAAAACGACGGTGCGGCATGCAGAGACGATAGCAGCACTTTAGAAATAGGGGGCAATTTTGAAAGGAGATGAATGAATGAGAGATGAGTGTATACGAGAGAAATTTCGTATAGGCATAAACCTTGGGGCGGCTGCTTCAGAATGATCGGGAGACACTATACTACCTCCGGACTAGAGTACTTACTGGTTCGACCGATACGAAATACGGCCGTTTTTGATTGGCTGGCAAACGACAGCTTTATGGGATTAGCGCACGGACTCCCCGGCAAAGGTTCTCTGGCTCAATTTGGTACTACAGTAATCCACCGATATAAGCAATCAACAGAGACACGCCCTGAAAATGCTTACAATTGAGAAATCCTTATATTACAATGGATGTAAATGGCCCAGAATTAACCAGGTAGCTAAAGTCACGTGTTTCAGTAAAATTCATCATTATCATACCACACTGTGGCTGTATTTAAAATCTCTGATTAGTTACCTTAATACAGAATTAGCTAGTCAAACCCACCCTTTCTTAATATGAGGAATGTTGTATGGGAAGAGACTTCCAAGCATCTCTAGCAAACTGGGCCCTAAAAATGAAGGACATCCACCCGCTTCTTCCTTCCCTCGCGCCCTTACTCTTTCATTACCGAGCTTAAGCCATCTGATAACCCCCATTTTCGCCGCCCACTGGGACCCCCTTTTCAATAATTTTTCTTGATCTCCGCTGGATGCACCCAATTTAGTACCGCGCACGTCGCCAACATCATCACGGCATCGAACACGTACGACACCCACTCATACCGCGTCAGAGGACCATCAGAGCTCTCTACAAACTCCGCGAACCGGAAGATCGACCGCACGAAGATCAATAGGCCTGTCGCGTATAACGCCAGCAGATGCTTCCGCCACGGCACGAGCCCGTATGCCCGGGATTTATATTTCGTGAGACGCTTATGGAAGATAATTATCGTGACGAGAAAGAGCCCGAAGAAGACGATTTGCACAAGGACACCGAGTTTCATGATCGTTTGGCCTTTACTGGCTGTCGTGGTTTTGGCGAGCATTGCGGCGCCTATAATGGTGTTATCATGCGGTCAGTTGACTGCTGTGTAACGCACAGCTACCTCTAGTAGTTGAAGTTGGGATCAAAACGTCCTGACAGGATTGAAGACTTACCGATGAATTGTGCAAAGAAGGATATGACATCGCCTAGGACGAAGATCTTGGTGAGCCAAGCGCGCCGAATGATGGAGTATTGTTCCCCTTCGACCATGATCATAAGCCGGCCAAATTCCATGTAGATGCTTGCTGCTAGTAGCGCCGGGGCAACTAAAATTAGGATGTACTGAATGAGCTCCGGGCCGATGTCATAGTCTGGATACTGGGTTGAAGATTTTGCGCGCTGAGACCTGAGTTAAGATCTAACATTTGGAACTTGGAGACTAGGTTGACTGACCGCTATGTATCCAATGACCTCGACTATAAGGGACAGATTGGTGGTTAGCTTGCTGAGAGAAAGAGGATGTGGCCCGTGAACAAGCAACTTACAGGCACATCCGATAAGGAAAGGGATGAAGAACCACACCCGCCAGCGGAAGGCCTGGTAATAATGTAAAATTGTGGTGATAAGAAAGAGAATCGCAAATACAATGGCGGCCGCTTCAGAGGGCACAAAATCATATATGCCCAGGTACTCCACCTGAACTGCCATCTTTATGGAAGGAAAGTGTTTTCTATGTCGGTATAAAAAGAGAGTGCTGTTGAACTGATGTTCAAAGCAGGAGAGAGAGTAAAGGGTAGAAAATTAGACAATATATCTCCTTGCCATTGATACCTTCACCAGAGTTATATACCGCTTTGCATTATGAAAAATTTCCCTGGTGCCTGATTCTCATCCCTAAGCCATCATCAACCCTTCTTAGGCTCGAGCTAATCAACTGGAAAGATACACTACTAACTATTCCAGATGTGAGATCCAGTCGAGAGCCTATCATAAGTGCGCGTACTTCGTAACCGGCGGATAGTTCCTTGCTGGCCGGTTAAGCCCCACAACCCAATGCGATAATAATAGAAGATCTACTTCAACAGAGTCTGGCCGAAGGGTTTTCGAGGCGTTTCCGTTGACTAATCCGCTATTGGTGCTGCTGCTCAGTTAGGGCATATACTTTGAGCAGCCTTCACCTCGAGAAATGGGGCAGTCCTCAGAAATCCTAGACGGGAAAAAGTTCAATGCTCCAAATCTACAGAAATCGAGGAACTTTGCTTCCAGAGGTCCCGCAGACCCACTGCACCTCGTGAAAACGTAAGTAGCAGCAGTCCAGCAAACTCAACAAGCCAATCAGATAAAAGTATATACGCCGCTAAACGAGAGCCGCTCATTGGACTCTTCATGGCTATGAAGCCCCGTTTCAGAATATTTTGTTTGGGAACCTATTGAATGCATCGCTCTAGTTCTTGAATTGGAAAATGTCTACTGTGTTATATGTTCATAGTCTCAGGCAACGCATTCTGGTTTCATTGTAATCATTTAATATAAGATTTCCCCTACACCCACTTTAATCCGAGCTTATCCTCTCGCGCTCTGTATCATCGTCAGATGCCGACCGTATAATCTCATGTGTTCTGAGCCTCTCTAGACATTGCGCGGTCTTGCACTACAACACAACTGAACAACAACTCAAAGTCCACCCAAAGCAGCCTTTCCATATTCCGATATTATGTCCAAGCCCTTTCCGCAACTCGAAGCTCACGAGTCTCTTTCCTGCCATGTACGTGCAAGGCTATACCGACGGGCACCAGCAGTCGTACAACGCGAGAACGTTATTGAATATTCCGACTGATCGGGAGGGAAAAGCAGAAGCATCACGTACATATGTCAGCCTTTACCACCCCACCTAGAACAACACAAAATAAAACTGCCTCTCCCCAATATTCACCATAACTTCCCTCTCGAACATCTGCCTTAAGCTCGAGATCCAACTATATGCCCTCTGGATGCACATCATGACGCAAAGACCAGCGTCAACCACTGATTACGACAGCTCGGGGTCATCATCAAACTAACGCCGAGCTAGTTTATCCTCCGCACTGACCATGACGCAGATCCAGCAGCTCGGGCAGCGATGCCTTGAGATCCAGGAAGATCTGGAGAGGTGCCGAGCGCGCTGTGAAGAGTTGGAGCGGATGTGTTATGATTGTTTATAAAGAGTGCCAACATATAGGGTTTTGTATGATGCACTATATTACCAATGCTTGGTCATAGTTACTAAAGGAAATTGACTGATACATAGAGGGGTCTTATTTATCTCCAGTCCCGTGCCCAAGGTGGCTTAGCTTGATTTCATGTTAGAGTTTCTGAAGCACCTTATAATCGTAATGTAAATATAAGTGCATGTTACTATCTTTGACCTAAGTGGCTCTCACCGCACAGAAGCGACTGTTGACAGATTTTCTAATCAAGCCGCGCTCAAGAAGTACACCAGAGAAACCTAAAAGTTATTTTGAAGCAAGCGGTCAAGTAGACGGGTGATGGCTTTCTTGAAGTACTACTATACAATATCTTTTGATTAGGTACGATTGACGGTACTAGTTCTTTTGATCTGATAGTAGGAATTTCCTTTCAAAATATATGTGAGCTTGTGGTATACTCTGTAGTATAGTTTCTAGAACAATGTATCATTCGTATAATATATCAGACAGGAATAGTCTCTGGTCTCAGGGAATAATTAATGGGATGTCTATATATCTTTGTATCTTAACTTCTTAGATTAGTATTCATATAGATTCAGATAATTCAGGAAACATTCTATGTATTTGAAAGTAGTTGTATATAATTGATATGAGCGATGTAGGAGACGTGACAAGGTTGATTATATGTTAGGGTGCTGGCTACTATACTGCTTTAACTAATGACTGGTCTTCTATAGGCTCCAGAAGATCCATGCGGTGAGAAGTGGGAATAATTATATAATTCAGAAAACTATAACTAGATTATGTAAGCTAGATGTAGAGTGGTTAGAGTGGTTTAACGGCCATAACCACTCTATTTGCGGGATCAAAACTACTAGCAAATGTGCCTCATTACCATGTTCATCATCTACTCCCTCTTCCTTATCTTCCTCGTCGAACGTCTGGTTGTGCATTGACGACCGGTCTGTTCTCTGCGAGCATACCCTCTAACTGATACATCAGGTTCAGTATTGGTCTCAAGGGCTTAACGTTCTTCGACCCTTCAGTATCATATATCGACATAGTATTTACTGCGCTTGTTGGGTGCTTTATCCTTTTCAATTGTCACATGGTTCCTGCTCTCCATTGAATTTCCAATGGAAATCAACTGCCGTCCCTGTAAAGTGGATTTTCTTTTAGCACATGTACTTCAGCTTTTCTTAAGTAGTCTCTGCACAACAGAATGCTCGACGCCAATGCAGGATGTCTCGCAAGTTATCGAAACGCCTTTCTGCGCCGACACTGGAGGCTGAAATGGAAAGTAAAACCTGCGAAAGCCTAGAAAACACTGCGAACTCACGACATCAGACGGGGGTACGAAAGCATGTTATGCGGCCGCAAACTGGTCTTTGATTTATCTCATGGTTGGCCCACGACATGGATTCACTTTTGCACTGGGGACGCTGAGTCCTTTGAAGGGCTGGAAGCAACCGCATCGTGATGTGAATCTAGTATATAACAAGAAATTGTCTTGCAATGAGTTTGACAGAATCTGTTTAAGTGAAGTTGGGAATGACTTTTGTCAATGGTAGTGATATTTGAGCTTATTTCACATAGTAGAACTGGCAATTAACTTGCTTCTGTGAAGCTCCAAGGTATACTTTCCACAAACATATCTGGTACAAGCAGTTTCTCATGGATCAAAAGGCCATTGAGATAATCGTTGCCGTCTACTCTTCGAAGCCCTTCCTCCAATGTTCGCTCAATGCCAGCATGAACATGACGCTTGGCCACTCGCGATCGTGCTTCTTGTAGATCAATGTTGATAAAAACGCGATAGTCAAAGAGACTACTTATATCTCTCCATCCAGGCTCGTTGAGAAGAAGATAGTTTCCTTCTAGGATGATTATCGAAGTATCTGGGGTGATGATAATGCCATCTTCAACGGGATCTTTCACTTCATGGTCAAACGTCGGAGCCGTCAGCACCTACGCGTCAGACCAACCTTTTACCGACGTGCACAGGGGTACGGCATTAGCCCAGGTATAAAGTCGGCGCACGAAATCTTGAAACCGTGGCAAATCAAATGTCCACGGCGCACCACGCCGGGCATGCGCCATTTCCGGGTCAGGTAATTTGTCTAATGCTGCCCTTGACAGGTGAAATCCATCCATAGAAATGAGTGCCGTCCGCTTGACGGAGCCCTTGTTGAGCAGATGAGTGACCATTTTAGCAGTGGTTGTTTTACCAGACCCCGGACTTCCCCCAATTGCGACTAAGTAGCGAGGTTTGTGATGATTCTGTGCGAGTTGGTGAATTGTATCCGCCAATCGAGAGCATTCAGTTTCCATCTACACCGTGTCATGGTTTAGCTGAAAGCAACTTCAATGTCGTGCTTACTTACCGTGGCTCGAATACACCAAAGGATCCGTTCTGCTGCAAATTTCGATAGAAATAGAAGTAAATCTATTCGTTTACCGCGGTATTTCCTGACTAACAATGCCGCGTAATAAGGAAATTGGATTGCCGCTAAAAACAACAGTGTTCATTGATGGTGGGTCCTGGCCTAACCATAGTATATAAGACATCCCGGAAGCCAACGCTCACAGCGGATGCCGGATGCCGTCTAGTGGGACCACGGGGCATCGCGTCCGTTGTATGAAGAAACTGCCTGATAATATGGCTCATCACGATACTGACCTCGGTTTCAGTTAGGGTAGTCCAAAGCGGGCAAAAGCTTGTTCATTTCTCTGTGTATCCCCATAACTTCATCGTATATTAGTTAGCAATATGGCAAACTCTTTGCATTTTCAGGTTCCGGACAGTCTTAGCGCATCCATTTTGAATAGACATTTAAATTTGGACAAAGAAATTATCTTGAACTTGATTGCTAATACGCAGGGTGTAAAGTGGACAAGCTTCAACAGCCACAGGGCTGGAATATCATTGATCTAGTTGACATTTAACTCTATCCATTGTTGATAACCAACAATTCTGTACATTGTAGGTCTACAACAATCTTCTGAGATCATATCAGGTATAGCTAAACAGTTTGGACACCCTGGTGGACTTTTGTTCTTCCACTATTGAGATATTTATCATCCAGAGACATTCTGCATCTCCTGTTTTCCCAGGTAGGCCTTCAAGAAAACCCAAAGATAAATACTGTGAATTGCAAGTGTAAGGAAGCCTCGTATATTTATCGACGCATTACCTCGGATGGCTCCGTATATATTTCCATAATGTAACGGGCCAGAGCCCGATTGGGATGACGTACATGTCCTTGATCCTTCTTATATCCGTATCATTGGGCCGCAGACCCTTCTTTTATCCGGTTGGGTGTGATTCTCGGCTCCATATTGCGGTCGTGTGGGGTTTCAAGCCGAAAATGGCAAAACGTATGCGCCCCCACACGGAGCGGGTTGTCCGCCTAGGCTCTAATCGCGGAGCGGGATGTCCGCTGAGCATTAACGGGGGAGATGGAGTTAAGAGAGTAGTCGACAGAGATATATATTTCTATGTATCGTTTTTGGCTTGTCAAATCTACTACCATCCATGTCCAAAAAGCTACTGCTCTTGAATATACCCCTCAGGATAATGGCTGTAAGTATGTCTTATCATTATTTCCATAGACCCTCTGATTCCGGAGCTATCCCCAGGAAACGAACCGATCTTTCGTCTTGCACGCTATAAAGGATGTGGTTTTTGAAGACCGCCCGGTGCCTGCGCTGAAAGATCCTTGGGATGTACGAGTGCACATTGCGCAGACCGGTATCTGTGGAAGTGACGTACACTACTGGCAAAGAGGGCGGATCGGAGGTACATGAGCCCAAAGAAATTGGCAAAGGAAGCTATTGAATATGACTGATGGCCACTAAACAGACTTCATCCTCAAATCCCCAATAGTACTTGGCCATGAAAGCTCCGGTACTGTTGTCGAAGTCGGTTCTGCTGTGAAGAATGTCAAAGTTGGGGAACGAGTCGCCATAGAGCCCGGTGTACCATGCAGACAGTACGTATTATCTACAATTTGATATACGCAAATATCAGCAGTGACTAAAGTCAACCAGCTGCGACTTCTGCCGCAGTGGCTCCTATAACCTTTGCCCGGACACTATTTTTGCCGCGACTCCCCCGCATGACGGCACGCTTTCAAAGTACTACACCACGCAGGCGGACTACTGCTACCCGCTGCCAGAGAACATGGACCTGGAAGAGGGCGCGCTCGTGGAACCGGTCGCTGTTGCCGTGCAGATCACTAAGGTTGGTAAAGTGAAGCCAAACCAGACGGTCGTAGTCTTTGGATGCGGGCCCATTGGACTTCTCTGTCAAGCCGTGAGCAAGGCGTATTCTGCGAAGAAGGTGATCGGTGTGGACATCAGTCAGTCGCGTGCAGACTTTGCCCACAACTTTGGTGCCGACCATGTTTTCGTGCCTCCTGCTCGTCCCGAAGGCAAAGATGACACCGCATGGAACGAAGAGGTGGCAAATTTGATGAAGGAGAAGTTTGATTTGGGCGAGGGCCCAGATGTCGTCTTAGAGGCTACTGGAGCTCAGGCATGCATCCAGACCGGGATATATTTGACCAAGAGGGGGGGCACATATGTGCAAGCCGGTATGGGAAGCGAGGTGAGTTCATATTAATATTTATTAGCTTAAAGTAAGCTGACATGAATAGAATGTTGTCTTCCCCATCACTACCGCTTGTATTCGTGATTTGCACATCCGGGGCTCCATTCGGTATACGGCTGGCTGTTATCCTACGGCCGTGGATTCGATCGCATCTGGGAAGATTGATGTCAAGCAGCTCATTACGAACCGATTCAAATTTGAAGATGCCGAGGAGGCATTCGAGCTTGTGAGACAAGGAAAACAGAGCGTGATTAAGGTAATTATTCAGGGCGTTCCGGCATAATGTCGGAGGTATTGCACATTTAGAATGTAGTAAAACAAATTTATGCCCCATTAAGAACGAGTGGAAGGCTTGAGCTAGATATTGTCCATAATGTCATTACGTACTTCACCAAACAAACGCAGCTGCTTGAACCCGTATGTGGGTCGGATGAGTGATATCTTCATGTAATACAGTATAAAACAGATATCTTATGAACGAAAGCATTCATCTTATGAACGAAAGCATTCATCTGTAGAGAGAATGGTATCATATGTTTCTGATAATAATTATGAACGTCAGTTTCGGAAGGGAGGGCCACAAATGGATAAATTGAGAGCTCCTACTCTGACGATGACCGTCAAGTAATTCTTTTCATATTCTAACGCATCCGTGCGCTGCTTGTCCTGCCGTGAAGAACCTCGAGTATCAGCGGCTATCACGATAACTAATGTGTGAAATTCGTTGAACAGGATATGCTAATAGCTCAGAGAGCCAGGGGCTCCTGGGATCGACGGTTCAAGGGCATTGTTCCGCACTGGTTAAAGCCTGTGGGTAGGAGTGCTCCCAAAGACTCGTCAAAGACTCGGTACGTGAGGGGATAGTCATGGAGCTTGGCCCATTGGCAGTGCCTACAGCAAAGCACTTGTTTAAAAACACCGTGTATTCTATTTATAGTATGGGCTCTAGCTCGCATTGTCTACTGCCTCATATACAATGCGTATGATACTCTCTGACCAGGATTCAAGGAGGCTAAGGGTCACCATGCCTTGAATTTCCTCCACAAGATAGGCTCTCCTATAGTGCTCAATGTGTCTGAAAAGTGTCGATAGAAATGTTATTGAAGTATTTCATGGAGCAGAGGTTCACTGCAAAGCGATTTGTTCCGCCTATTCTTCTGGACACAGCAGCTGGTTGGTCCAATTTTCCTGAGAGTTCAGGTGTTAGTGGGTCAGGCAGGCTGACGGGACCCCACCAACGCGAGGGCCACTCAACTTCATCGCTCGACACGCAACTCAAACAGGCCTGTCATGAGATTTTAAAGTCCAGGATAACAATATGCCCATGTCATCTGAGTCATCTGCACGCTCTTCGAGTGGTAGGGTGCACGAGAGTGATGTGCGGCCCACAGCCGAACAGGCATGCAAGGAATGCCGTCGCAGGAAGTCTAAAGTAAGTCGCAAAGCCTACCATGCGAATTCCTATTGACAGGTCTAAAGTGTGATCGTATGGTGCCAGTCTGTGCCTTGTGCCACAAGTTCAAGCGGCGATGCAGCTATGAAAAACAGACAAAGACGCCGCTTACCCGGCGCTACCTTAACGAGGTCGAGAGTGAACTGGTGCGCACCAAGGCGCTGCTTCAGCAGTTCATGAACAACTCAAAGGATGGTTCAAACGTGACCTTTGGGGCGCCAGCCGAAGATATGGGTCAAGTATCTTGCGTGGTAGATGCCGCCGGGTCTCAGCTCCTGAGCCATCCGGAGTCAAGCGACCGGCGAACAAGGCCTCTGGGACCTCCGGCCAGTCCTGAAGTTCGCTCCGGACACCCAACCAGTCAAAGAGCAACCCAAGAGACCCGCACCGATCAGCAACTTCAGTATCGGTCATCGGTCTCTGAAACCGGACCACAGACACTTTCCTGCCTATCGCTGGAACCCCCTTCCTCTCCTACTAATTTTGAGTGGGATGAAAGAAATGGGAACTCCAACGGCGAAAGGTTTGTCGATGGCATGGCCAGCTTGACGAGTGCACCCCATGAGGGGGGCTATCTAGGTTTGTACGATTCTTCCTTTTCAATGTGATCATATAACTGATATTGAATTCAGGGGTTGCGTCAGGTGCTGCATTATTGCGCGCTACTGATGCCGGAATCAGTGGAACAACCGAGGTTTCGGGCTTGGAACAACAGTCCTGCATCCCAAACGATCAACCTCCGCGTATTCCGTTTGCGCTGAGTTCCCTGGGCCAGCTGGAACCATTTGTGGACGCCTACTTCTCTCTTTTCCATCGGTCGTACCCGATCATACATGAGGCAACCTTTAGAGCTCAGCTCATGGAAGTGATTCCCCGACCAGCTGGCAACGCCTGGCAGGTTTTGTTATTCATAGTGTCCGCCATGGGAATGTGGACAACGGCAACACAACCGACCGATGCTGACCTTGGGCTGTTTGAAGCTGCGAAAGCACGGCTTTCTATCGATATGCTAGAAACTGGAAACTTGGTCCTGGTGCAAGCACTTACGATAATTTCGAATTATATGCAAAAGAGAAATAAGCCAAATTCGGGATACAATTACACGGGCCTGGCGCGCCGCATTGCGATGGGTATTGGTTTGCACAAAGAGTTTCCAAACTCAAAAGCTAGTTTGTTTACAACTGAGGTGAGACGACGGGTTTGGCACTGCCTTTACATCTTTGATGTCGGTGCAATTATTACTTTCTCAAGACCATTTGATTTTCCAGACGATGGAATCGACGTGGCCCTCCCAATGAACATCCATGATCCGGTCAGTGTTGAAGTACTTCAAATTCTTTAACCTGCTAACTCTTGCCTCAGGATTTTACACAAGCAACCAAATCCCTGCCGATGTCTGCCGAGGAAACAACTGTGTACACTCATATGCGTACCCAAGCCGCTTTCCACATGGCGACTAGTAAGATTTACTCTAAGATAATTTCATCTCCATTTCCTTCTGCATCAGACTTGCTAGATATGGATGAAAAGCTTATCGGATGCTGGCTCTGTGACCTGCCTCCATACTTCCGTGAATCCGTTGTCCAAGAGCCCAGGTTCCGGTTATGCCACTCAATTTTACGATGGAGATATCGGAACTTTCGAATACTCATGTACCGCCCGTTCCTGCTGAGCAGGCTTATGGCACGTCCGGGACAAAGCACCACTCAGGACAACCATGCCCAAGTCGATGCCACCATTCAGCGATGCTTGGACGCAGCCCGCGAGTCTGTGGAGCTTATATCCAATTTCTGGGCACAAGAGCAGCATAACATGATGGCCTGCTGGTACGGATTATACTTCTTGTTCCAAGCCATCCTTATTCCTGTAATCTGTCTTCGCAATGATCCACAGGGACCGCTGGCGACTGGATGGCGTGAGCAGATCCATCGAGCCATGAGCACCCTTGATTCTATGGCACTACTCAACCCCACTGCATACAGGTGCCTGTCGGTCATTCGAAGCCGATGCGGGACTTATCTTGACACTTCGACCGAGGGATGGGGCCACCCGACGGAAGAGTCACCGCAAACACAATTGGAACATCTTTACCCATTAATGTGGCCAACGCTGGAGATGGCCCAGCTTGATGGGATAGATTCAGTTTTGTAAGGATCTTCTACAATTGACTCGCATGGCTTACTGAACTTTCACGCAGGCAAGAGTCTACCATTATGGACTTCATGAATCAACTTCCGGACATGTAATGAGCGTTGCACTGAACTTCAGGTGACGGAAACAGGATGAACCGTCAATCCCATGCTACTTACAACCAGTGAATGATATCAATGTCTAAAGATTCAATTGTAAACCATGGACCCTTTCCCAGTTCATGGCAGAGTGTAACCACCATCAATGATTAAATCACCTCCAGTCATGTAGCTAGATGCGTCCGAAGCACAGAAGACGTAGGCCTGGCGGTTCCAATAATTAAAATTTGTAGTCATCAGCAAGTAGGGACCACTTACGCCTTTCAGCTCATAGGTCTGGGCCATCCGGTGGGCTGGAATCATGTCGTACCACTTGTTACGCCATTCCTCAGGGTGGATGTCAAGAATCTCTGTTTCGATGAAGCCAGGAGATATACAGTTAACACGACAAAAGTCTACCCATTCCACCGCAAGACATTTTGCCATCTGCACCACACCAGCTTTGGATGCATTATACTGTGTTCAGTTAATTATTTAGTCAAAATACATGTATAAGCAAGGTATACATACAGCGGCCTGCTTCTGAGGCACATTAACCAATGTCGCACTCACAGAAGCTGTGAAGATTATATTTCCATAACCCTGCTGTTTGAAAATACGCGCCGCCGCTTGGGCGGAGTAGAATGCGCCATCAAGGTTGACTTTCATGATCTCACTCCACTGGCTGGGTGTATAGTCTTCGGCGGCGACACAGGTTGCGATGCCAGAATTTGCGACGAGAATGTCTAGCTTTCCAAAATATTTGGAGATTTGTTGAATGACATTCTCGATCTGGGTCTGGTTGGTAACATCGGCCTGGTACGCAGCTGCACGCACATTGTTTGCTGATGCGATTTCGGCAGCAGTGACATCAGCCGTCTGGGATGAGTTATAAATCACAGCCACCTGCATATGCGTCAGACAATCGGTATCTCCCAAGACTAGCATACGTACATTTGCACCAGCCTCTGCGAGCCCTCGAGTAACTTCGAGGCCGATTCCCCGAGCACCACCCGTGACGACGGCGACTTTGCCCGTCAGGTCAAAGGCTTTGGTAATGTGCAGATTCTTGGGTTGCGCGAGGACCATCTTGATTGTAAATCCGATGAATATGATTGAGCTTAGAGTGAGAATCGTGCTTATAATCTGTCTCAATAAAGGAATAGCCAGGGTGGTCGGTACAATCGAAGACGGCCAACAGAATCCGTTATCCCGCATCGGCGGTCTTGTCAGTCGGACAACTGGGGCCGGGCGGACTCCGGGTGTCCGTAGCTTAGTTTCACTTCCACAACTTCACTTGCCCTGGTCCAGGGAGCGCAAGGCATCGGAATTTGGCATCCGGCTGCTTCGAGACCGCTATAATCGTATTGCTTCTCTTCGCAGGTGGAGCAAGGGTGTTTTGCTCCATCGGGCCTTTGTCTAACTGTTGAACTGACGTATTAGGTCTATATTGAAGACGTGATAAACGCTTGATTCTCGCTATCTAGGCGCGCTCGGACGGAGCGGTGGAGTACGAGGTTGCGGGGTTTCCGGGTCACGCGACCTCGACTACTAGTTATCTCCTGGGATCACGTTCCAACAAATGCGCACGTCAAGAATCCTTACAAGAACCTGGGACCTGAATCTCTCATAGCGGCAATTGTACGAGAATAGTTAACGGAATTTAAGTTGGCAATGTGTCCGCATGTTTCCGAGGGATTATTAGGGTTTCTGAAAGCACAATAATCTTGGATCCCATCTCGCTCGGCCTTGCCCACCAGCCCATGTTATGCCGCATGCTCAGTATGTTCACATTTCCCGACCGCATCGTCATCCTTGGCAAAAACAATCCCGCTCGTAGCAGGTAATGGCCCGTCAAATACTTCGGCAATCTCTTCAAGTGAATGGCTCTTCGTCTCGGGAAAGGCGAGCCAAGTTACTGCCAATACCACTACATCAAAACAACAGAAAAATATGTAGTAATGCCAGCCGATACTATCGAGAGCAATCGGGTTGACGAATGCCAGTATAATAAGGGAGCCGTATACACTTAATAGCTCAACAGTCAGTCCCTTGCTTCGTATGGAATACGGAAAGATCTCAGTTGGATAGCCCAATAGTAACGGTGTATAGGCGATGTCGTAATGGAAGAAGAAAATGAAGACAAATGCAATCACCGTATTACCAAGGGGCTTGCCCTGAGTGCTGTCAAAGACAGCTGAGCAGGCAGTCCATATTATGAAGGAAAGAAGCATTCCCGAAGCCGACCAAAGAAACAGGGTACGACGACCCAATCGGTCAACCAACATAGCAGCACTGCCAGCTGCAATGAAGTTAAATACTTGCAGCAGGCCATTGATCATTGTCTGAGTGCTTGGATCTTTGATACCGACCGTGTCGAGAACGAGTGTGAGATAGTAAGATACGACCGCAACGCCCTGTATTAAGTGGTTATTTTTCCTGCTAAAGGGAAATGAGGTCTAGATATACTTACGTTCCATTGTGCAAAGGCACCAATGCTGACTGCGATAAATGTGCGCTTGCGGTTTCCAGGAGTCTTAACCAACGTTGTCCATTTGGTCTCCGCGGCTTGACTCTCCATTTCGATAGTACGCCCGATCTCAGCCATTTCGAATTGTATCAGAGGGTGCGAAGTGTCCCCGGCAGTATGGAATCGGGCAAGTAATTCTTCAGCCTCTTCCGGCTGTCCATTGGCGATTAACCACCTATATGGCTGTTAGTACGCGAAAGTCAAGGGTTGAGGGAGAACAACCGTGGTGACTCCGGAACAGCCCACCAGAAGAGAACCTGAACGATCGGAAATCCAGCTTGAAGTATTGATGGAACTCTCCAGCTCCAACTGGATTTATTGAGGTGCATTTGAGTTCCATATGAGGCCCATGAGGCCAGAATAGCTCCAAGATAGTACATGGTCCAGAAAGCGCTGGTGTACTTCCCTCGGTGAGTTGGATACGCCAGTTCAGTGATCAACATGGGCGACGGCTGCACGACCAGCATCGAGCCGACGCCAACCAACACACGTGAAAATACAAACATGCCATAATGAACTGACGCTGCTTGAATAATAGAGGCGATGATGATCACGATTGCACCGGAAAGCAAGGTTAGGCGTCTTCCAATTCTGTCCGACAAGACAGCGACAAAGGGCAACGAGATGACGCTCCCGATAGACTGGGCCGCATTTACAACTCCCAAAACCGAGCCAGAGGGGTTGCCGAAATAGTCGTTCCACTCAGCGATGGACTGTAGAGCATTCATAAGAGAGCCTACCAGCAAAAAAGAAAGCGTGAGAGAGTTCCATCCCAAATGCAGATCCATAGACTTACCATCATATCCAGCCACTGACGATGATAGTAACGGAACGAGCAGAATGAGATTGAGATGTAGTAAATGAGATACCCGATACCAAGGGCGACCATATTGAGGAAGGACAGAGGCCAGGGCCTCACCAACGATGTCTTGATTTCTCATTGTTCAAGTAAGCCCAAGGTTTGAAATCGGACAACGTGATTGCATCACGCTGGGTACCGTAGTAATATATGAAAGGTTTCCCCCTCAAACAAGGATGGTTACCGCCATGTAAAACGGGGCTTGAACTCTGATTGCTACGAGCTTTCCCCATGGGGTTCTGGGCAATGAGAACTAACTAGTTAGTTAACTGAGTTAACGTTAACCAACCGGTGATTAGTCACACCGGACTGGATACTCCGTTACATCGGACGGTGGCATCCGTTCACCTTGGAATAGCATCCCGCTCGTCGTTCGGCTGCGATTGCCCTAAGATCTCCATATGGTTTTTCTTTTTCCCATGCGGACAGCTACCTCCGTGGCACGGAGATGATCTGAGTCGACTTCAAAGGCCTCTCTTATGGAGCAGTTATATGAGAGAAGGCGAGGTCCATGTCAATTAAGATTTCTTTTCATTGACAAATAGACCCGACAACCCGTCAGATTTCACAGTCCTAGAATTATTCTCGATACGTACCCAGCATGGCTGACCAAAAGAGCATTCGGCGACCGAACCCGACACTTTCGGACAGTGTCTTCAAAATGTTCAGCCTACAAGGAAAAGTTGTTATCATCACTGGTGGTACCGGTGGAATCGGCTACAACGTCGCTCGTGGTCTAGCTGAAGCCGGTGCCAACATTGCCCTCTGGTATAATACATCTCCCCATGCAGATTCTCTGGCTGGCGCACTCCAAAAAGACTTTGGTGTTAGGGCAAAGGCGTATAAATGCGCTGTGCAGAACTTCACTGAGGTACAATGCCCTCCTTCCCAGAGAAGCTCAATTATGAGACTCATTATAATCTTTTGAATAGGTACAAGCAATGACTGACGCCGTCGTCCGCGACTTCGGCCGTTTGGATGTCATGATTGCAAATGCGGGTATTCCATCCAAGGCTGGTGGCCTAGATGACAAATTGGAGGACTGGCAGCGCGTGGTTGATATAGATTTCTCTGGCGCATATTACTGCGCTCGTGTCGCCGGCACAATCTTCCAGAAGCAGGGCTTTGGTAACATGATTTTCACGGCATCCATGTCGGGTCATGCGGCGAATGTACCCCAAGAGCAGGTCAGTTGCGATTTACCCAGAAGTTTGCCCTGAGGTTCGCGCTTAACTAAAAGCGCTATAGGCTTGCTATAATGCTTGCAAAGCTGGTGTTATTCACCTTGCCAAGTCTCTCGCCGTGGAATGGGCCAGTTTTGCTCGCGTGAACTGTGTTAGCCCTGGCTACATTGACACCCCAATCAGTGGAGACTGTTCCTTTGAAATGAAGGAGGCGTGGTATAGCCTTACACCCCTCAAGCGTGATGCAGACCCTCGCGAGTTGAAAGGTGTCTATCTGTACCTCGCCAGTGATGCTAGCACGTACACAACGGGCGCTGACATTGTGGTCGACGGAGGGTACACATGTCGGTAAATACACTTTCGATGATTTGGTTGATAGAAAATGCATTCAAAGAACGGTTCCTATACGTTGCTCAATCGAATTTGATTCTTTTCACATATACTAAAGGTCCAAGGAATGCGGCACCAGTGGTTGAGCCCTACTTGGACAATCCCGCTTTCCGACAAGGACGAAGATATGAAAATGGATCACCCCGCATCATGTGGAGAAAGTCTTCGATTTGATCTCTCCGTAGAAGCAAAGAAAGTGAGGTCAAGAATCAATAAAATCCAACCCCGCCTGGTTGCTATGTGTCTCAATATATACACTTTTAGTTCAAAAATCTCGGGATACTCGAAATCCCCTGAAATTCCAACTATAATAACATTCTGAGTAAATGGTAAAAAAATTCTCTGATCTAGATTTAAGATAAGTAAGTATAATCTCTATAATAGAATCAAATAAATTATAGACTATACTGATTATTCAAAGGATAATCTCTAATAAAAAAGTTTCAATACTTTCTTTCGGAGCGAGTATCTCAGAAATTTTATATAACATATTATATTTTTATTTTATATATCTTCAAACTATTCGTCGGTTAATTCTAGAGAATCTTTTTATATATTATTTCTTATAAAACTCAAATCTGACAGTTGTATACTTCTCTGAAAATGTATACTATAGAAATCTTCATTCCGCGCAATCCAAACCCTGACTTCCTGATCGAATAAATCTCTAATTTAAGACAGGTGTAATGTACCGGATCAACCTCAATTTGAAAAGAAGATGTGTGTATTGAACGCAGGTAGTAAAGTTGAAGAAGGGAAGAGTATGGGGTGCGGCCTCCGATACGTATCCACCGCAGAGGCATGTTCATGTGACTTGCACCGAGCAACAGCGAGTGTATTACACCAGCCAATATTTGTTGCCATAATTTTCGGCTCCGCAATAGAAGATCTATGGAATAAATCAAGTGGCTGTCTAGAGACATAAACATGATCTCTACAGGCGATTGCTTCGTTACAATGGAAACTTGCGTTTATCTGTGGGTGTTCCATTTCAAAGTGATATCCAAACTGATGGCCACAGAGACCCTAGACCCTCTTTCATTCCACTCCTCTGATATTGCCTTTCGGAATGCCCATAATGAAATCAATCTTCCCATAGTGAAGCAATTCATTGAACATGGGGATGATCCGGGGATGGTTGATTGGAACACGTCTCTTGCAAAATAACTCGCACAGAGTTTGTGATCTTCCATCTGGCCGTTTGATTTCCCTACTATTTTTTTTTAGGTGTTCTCACTCCATGAAGGTTCTTAACGCTGATAAGGAAACAAATCGGTTGTTTACCTGCAATCATTCGAAGCATAAATAGTCCTCTCATTTGAAGTGTTGGGCCTATGGAACATAAGTTTCTGCTGCTGTCCATGATCCTACCCTGCCAGTAGTGTAATATGAAGTTGGTGCAGATCGGGAACAAAGTAGCACCCATCGAAAATAATTTTCGAGGTGGCTTAACGAAGAATCAAGTTTCTTGGAAATCAACTTTTTTTCTTTTCGTTGTATATATAGCCTGACCTATTACGTCTGAAATACTAAAACATCAATTACTTTCCTCTGACTACAGCAGGCAGATTTGGGTTCTTCGATGATGTGAGACATAATAAATGATTGGCTTCTTGTATACTGCAGATGTGCCGGAGCCTTGAACCTAGGTGACATGGAGCCATATCATTTGGCCTTATCGGGTATACTATAACTTAGAAGCTTGTGCTCTCGCTCCTTTTCTGAATGCACAACGACTGAACATACATCCACATTCCACGAGTACCGCCTCGAGCGCTTGTATGGATTTAATATCAGCATTTAGTTTTGCTTTTAATAAATTCCGCACTAAAGGGGTAATCCGTGTAGCCATTCTCTTGCAAAGGTGTATAAAAACTCTCTCGGTCGTAAGGGTTAAGATGAATATCATGACGAATGCGAAATGGCAAGTCGGGATTGGCGATAAAATGACGACCAAAGGCGACTGCAACCTTGTAGTCCTTGTATTCTTCCTCCAAAGCATTTTCTACATTCTCTGGTCTATATCCGCCGGCAACAATCACAGGCGCTGATTTCCCCCAAACGTCGAGTAGGAACTTGATACTGCCCTCCTTTTCGCAGTCCACGTTATTGATGACGCGAGACTCAATTACATGGAGGTAGGCCAGTCCGAGCTGTTGCAGGCGCTCCACGAAGTAGGTGAATTGAGGCACAGGGTCGACCATTTTCATGCTCTGCCATGTGTTCCACGGACTGAGGCGAAAGCCAAGTCGGTCAGCGCCGATAGCATCGGCCACTGCTTTGGCGACCTCCAAGCCGAATCGTGCTCTGTTGGGGATGCTACCACCCCATTTATCGTTTCTCTTATTAGAAACGTCTTGGAGGAACTGGTCGACCAAGTACCCATTAGCCCCGTGGATCTCAACGCCGTCAAAACCAGCACGAATAGCGTTCTTCGCAGCCATTGCGAAGTCATTGATGATTTCCTGCACTTCGATTTCATCCAGCTCCTTGGGTACCGGCATCCCCGGCTCAATAGGAATCGGACTAGGAGCATGCAGCATAAAACCACCTTCTGCATGCAACTGGGCTGGGTCAGCAGCTCTGCCAGCAGCAATTAGTTGACAGAAAATAAAGCTCCCTTTCTTATGCACCGCTTCAGTAATCTTTTTCCAGCCGTTAACCTGTTCTTCGCTCCACACCCCAGGCGCATGAGGAACTCCGCCAGCTGAGGGTGAGATCAGTGTTGCTTCTGCGATGAGCAGGGTGCCCGGAACGGAAGCACGTTGCTCATAGTATGTTGTTGCCATGGGAAGAGGTACATGTTGCGAGTCCGCGCGGAATCGAGTGAGTGGTGCCATGACTACTCGGTGCTCAAGATTGGTTTTGCCGATCTGAAGGGGCTGGAAAAGTTTGGAGCACATGTTGACCGGCGTGGACGTATTAGTGTCGAGATAACTCGGTTTGCAGAGCAGCAGGTTCGATAGAAAGTTGAGATATGTGCTGAATTAAGAATGCGTTTTCCGTAGATATCTGTCAAATTTCGCTGTATATGTAGAATTTGCATTTGGAGACTGGATATAAAACACCTCTGAGCGTCTCCAACACCACCTCCACGCCAAGTTGTTCGACTCAGATTTAGTAATCGTAGCTGAGATCAATACCCAGTGACGTATTGATGCTCTTGGAATGCTATAGGGCATATATCAACTAGGATACCAGTTTTTATTTCTACTTTTGTTTCACTCAAATTAACCGGGTAGAGTCATTCCTAAGACTAATGATTTTATGAATACCACTATAAAGCTATTCCGACTGATCTCGAAACTATCTTCAAAATTTACCCGCATCATAGAATGACGTGTTCCAAGAATTTCCAAAATGCTTTTGTACAGCTGTTCACTCATATCTTAAGATTCTGGCATGTCTACCAGGCATCTTTTGCCCAGACTACCATAAAAGATGGCTGAATTATTGGTGGCTTTTTACGTGCCGGAAAACCAAAGAAGGGTTTTCGAAAACTCAATAGATCTAGTGACCCACTTGATTTGGGCCCACTTGTTTGGAGGTACTCGGACCATTTTGGAGGTGATTACAAATTTCGCTACATCCGCATCTGAGGTGCTCACAGAGACTGAAAGTAAACCACTGAAGCGCTGTCGTGTGTCTAGGCGAATACCATGTCCCTACATCATGTTATATCAGTTACTATTACCACTATCGGCCTGGGAGGGTGTTTTTGATCCTTAGACTTTCTCTCATTCACTGCCAACAATAACAGCCATCAGTTATACAACAGTCCATTCTGAAATAATGTAAGCAGGCAGTGGCTTATGAAGTGACCCTTCCATTACAGCCTTCTACCTTTACACTGCAAAAGCTCGTCATATATGGTGACAGACCGAAGTTAATAAGCAGATCAGTATCATATTGTCGACTAACTCCAAACATCTCCAATAACGCCTCCACCAAAAAAAATTATCAGCTTCACTGTTGTAAAGCCTTATTGACAAATCAATATGTTTGACGTGATGCCATTCGAAATCCCTGAGATAAAAATGCTTTAAGCATGTAATCCCTTTCTCAGAAGACTTCTGACCGAGTATTTCAACTCTGCTCACAATTAGATTAGATTGTGCCTTCGTCTAATCGCCTATCTGTTCTCGGCACCGAGCTGATTCTCCCGATCAAATGCCTGTCCAATGGATACGAGATAGCTTCCTCGGCCAGACTTTGCGTCTAATTTGTCGACCATCCTGTTTGGCGTATGCCGAAGAGCAAGAAGGCTGGATAGATACTGTCGAGATTAAACCCCTACCGCTTGACAACGAAAAAATCATTTGCGTGGAATGGTATTCTGCCGATGACGAAGAGAACCCCCATAACTGGTCTCAACTTAAGAAAGCATATATCCTTGGTGTCATTGGTGCGTACAGCTTTGTGGTCTACATGTCCGCACCAATCTACACACCGAGCGAAAATGCCTTCATCGAGGAATATCATGTGAACAAAGCCGAATCATCCCTAGGACTCGCTCTTTACGTGTAAGCACATTTCATTTAAGCATTTACTTCCCCGCTGCCCCGGATAAGTTACTGACTGTTATTTAGTCTAGGTTACGGTGCAGGCCCCATGTTCTTCAGTCCCCTCAGTGAGATCCCGCGTATAGGCCGTAGCCTCCCATACGTTATATCCTTCATCTTTTACTGCATATTAAGCATACCCACGGCTTTGAGCCCTTCCGCTACTGGCTTCTACGTTCTTCGCTTCCTCCAAGGATTCTTCGGAAGCCCTTGTCTCGCTACTGGTGGCGCCTCAATTGCGGACATTTATTCCTCCGATGTATTGCCTCATGCAATGACGACCTGGGTACTGTCTGTCTTTTGTGCACCTGCTATTGGTGTATTAGTGTCCGGGTTTGCCATCCCAGTTCTTGGATGGCGGTTCTCAATGTGGGAGATCCTGATCGCCTCTGCTCCAATCCTCATTCTCCTTCTACTCCTCCCCGAAACTAGCTCAGCTACAATCTTACATCGCCGTGCCCGTTGCTTGGAAAAGAACAACAAACCCGGAACACACAAATACCAGACAGTGGCTGATATCCGTCAAGGAGATACGTCCTTCCATGCTGTCCTCCGAGAGTCGCTACTCATCCCCTCAAAAATCACCCTTCTGGACCCGGCCATCCTATTCCTGAACTGCTACACCTCTCTCACGTACGGCATTTACTACTCCTTCTTCGAAGCCTTCCCAATAGTATACCAAGGAATATACGGTTTCAACCTAGGGGAAATGGGAATCGCTTTCCTCGCCATTGTGGTCGGATCGATCATTTCCTTCCTCGTCTACAATTTCTACATCCACCGCGTTTATGCGCCCACTGTACGAAGCAGTGGTCTTAAAAAGCCTGAGGATGTCTTGGTGCCCGCTCTTTTTGCATGCTTTGGGCCATCTATTGGGCTTTTCCTCTTTGGCTGGGCGGCCAGGTCCGATGTCCATTGGATTGTCCCTACCATCGGCATTGTCATCTACCCCGGATGTGTCTTCATTATAATGCAGTGTGTGTTTCTGTACATACCTGCTTGTCATCCACACTACGCGGCGAGTGTCTTTGCTGCCACTGACTTTACTCGAAGTGCTTTTGCCTGTGGTTCTGTGATGTTCTCGCGGCCACTCTACGAGAACTTGGGCTTGGGTCCAGGGTGCAGTCTCTTGGCTGGGTTAACTATTGGCTGTGTGGTCGGGATTCATGTCCTGTATCGCTATGGGGAGGCATTGCGGCGGAGGTCGAAGTTCAGTCGCGAGATTTGATGGCAGGTACTGAAATATCCAGAATATTTTGGATTGTTTATAGCGTATATAGAATCTCAATAACATTTAACGTGACTCGGACATAGCTGTCTGAGAATTGATAAGGTTCTGCTCACAAGTGTTGGCATAGAGGTCAAGTCCATCACCAACAACCTCGAATAATGACCATTGGCCATTTCCCTTGATCAGACGGGCCCATAGCTTTACGACGGCAAATCCTAGATAAGAACAATCGGACAGATCTGAAGGCCGAGACCACAGATCCTCGTCTGCTGATGTTCGTCCTTCTTCCACAATATCGCTGATCCAATTTACGAGCCGCGCTTCATGTTCTGGTTATACGTATTAGAAAAATATCAATCCTCTTCAAGGGTTTGAACTCAGCAAGGACCGGGTACCCCTTGGGATAAAATAACATACCATCTAGTGGCCTTCTGGTCTGGTTGTCGGCAATACAAAACAGCCATTTGCTGAGAAAGATCGCGAACTCCAGTCCACAAAGAGAGTGTTGAACGCTCCAGACGAACGCATGGCTTCGAGCCACATAATTTACCCCTAATTTGACAGGGATGCTGAGAGCATGCGTCGCATGTAGAATTGCTGGGAGAAGGTGAGGGCCAGGTGGCAAACGAGGTATTTGTAACAGTCGGTTTGCTATTTCTCTAGCATCACGAGACTGAAGAATTCTATATGAGCCTAAATCGAGGCCAAGTCGAATATATGCAACACCCAGCAGGGCAGTTGAAGTATATGTCACAGGGCCATTGGGATTTCGAGGGTCCAGACTCGATTCAGGTGCTTGTTGCCAAAGAGAGGTCCATGCATAAAGAGAGTTGCTAGGAGAAAGGTAGCCACGTTAGTGGTTAGGGGAATGTAGCTGTTGAACAGATGGGAGATCGCGTACCGCATGACTTCCTTTTGCCCATTTAGTACGGTGTTATTCACATCATTATATGGGCCAAGGGTGTGATATGCGAGCAAGATCCGCTGGATAATGGCGTGTAATAGGATGTAGTTCGACAACGGTGAAGGAACCGGGAGGGTGCCTTTCAAATTAGTATCTCGTGTATTCTTCATAACGTGACATAGAGCATCTTGGAACAACATCTGCTCTTTATGGCCAGGTCTTCGAACATGTTTCCACTTCTGCTCGTTCGGAGCAATCCATTCGAGGCAGCTACATGGGAGACGAACGTTGATTTCATCGGCCAGGATGGCTGGTGGTGTACCAAATGCTATAGACTGAAGAGTCAATAAAGAGAAAGAGAAGAGTTTTACCCTCCTGTCGGTTTCTTGCTGAATCCACAAATGCCAGCTGTCAGTGTTGGTAACTGAAGAATCATCGGCCTCTTTCAATTGTGACTCTCTAACGCATCTAGCCAGGAAGCTCTGGAGATTGAAAGCCTCGCGGTGTATGCTTTCCTCGCGTTGCCAGGTCGCAAACGCAACGAGGAGAAATGCGCACCGGGCTTCACGCATATATCTACGACACTGCATTATTTTGTCGGTGGAATTGAAGGCTTGCTGATTTGGAAATGTTGAGCTTCCTTCTGAGGCACCTGAAGCAATTTCAATATCTGCCCACTCTTTACCCCGTGCATGCAGTATGTCCTTCGCTGCATGAAATAACAATGCTGCTTTGCGATTCTCATGCCGAGATTCTGCACCGAGAGCACACATAGCCAGTAGCATTTCTGGTTCACATTCCTCGATCTTGAATGTTGGAATGTGCACCATTGGTAGGTGGGGATAGAAACCATCAAAGAAGCCATTGATGAATCTTGATAGCGAGTGGCAGGATGGTAGATTGTTAGCTGCGTGAGTGGCAAAGCATCAACGTCTCGGAAAGACGTTCTCTATGGTGATTCGTAACCACGAGTATTGGAAAAGTGAGGACTCCGAACTCCGCTACAATCCATGCTTAGTATTTGCAATCAAGGTGTCGAGTGTCATGTGAAGGAAGCTTACCAACAGCTTCTCTGTCAGTTGGAAGCTTGCTCAGTATTTGTTCTGCACCTGAAGGAGGACCATTGGGTGGATTGGCGATGGATGTTGTTGGCATGTTATTAGACGCAAAGTCTCCAGGAAATATTCTGACAAGGCTTGGCTCAGATGGAAAATACCAGTCGTCGTTAAGTCCCAGGTTGTTATTGAACATGTCCAGGTCTTGGAAAACTGAAAGGTCCTGGGGATTGAACAGTAGATTGGCTGTATATGTTTAGTATCGTGGAATAGTCCTTAAGAGCTTGGTAGCGAGGCTTTCTGTAAGTCACCCAGCAATAAGGACTTGACGTACCTTCAAGCCGTTCCTCTTCCACTTGGCCATCCCGGCCGGCTGAACCTACTTGTGTAATTAAGGACTCCGTCGACTCCAATAATGGAGGCCTCACGCCCAAGTAGGTTTCATCCTTATTAGATTGAACATTGGTGGGTTCGTAGACCGCAGGTAAGGACGAGAAAGGCTGTGATGATGGGGTGTTCGGAGCATGGCCAATACTTTGATGGCGCTTCAGAAGATCACGTCTGCTAAAGGTCGCCCCACAATCGCATTGGTACGGTTTTTCATTAGTGTCTATTATTTTACTCCTTAGTTCGACATTGAAACGCATGCTTTCTAGGCGGCTATACTAACGAATTCGGAGATGTCTTTGGAGGTGCTCGTGGCGACGGAAGGATCGCTTGCAGTAAGGACATACCCGGGCTTTCTTTCTGCGCGTTGGTGAGACTGGCGTATCGTCCACCGATCTAACTTCATCCATGTTCAATACCAGCCAAAATCGCAGATGGCGCAGCGTGGGCAATGATGCAGGTCCGGCAGAGGCAGAAAAAGGTTGCTGTTAATACCTGATTGCTCAGCGGCGATGATGATTAATACACTCACCGCACTCTGCCATTTCCTGGCTCATATCATGTGATTTCCCATCCTATTTTTCGAGCGATGGCCGTTGAAGAGGACCATTGTATGCTACGAAGATCGATTGTTTCAATATTTGGAATGTCCAGCAAATATATTCATAAGTACTACGTGAGTTTATCTAATACCATATACTCACTTTACCAAGTATCGCCTTGACGGAGACAGGCTGAGTCATGAAGATGTATTCCGCCTTCTCTACCCAGACAAAACACAGAGCATTGCGCATCTGATTTTTATCGCTGGAAAGCTTTATGGTAATACAAGCCATGTTTCCAAATAAGGAAGACCAAAACCTACCAGGAGATCTAGGTGACGATTTTGTAATCAAGGTCGTGAATAGAATACCACAACTTTTTATCTCGGTTAGCATAGGTGGGAATGCGGGACAAGGAACAGCGACAGCAGTTCAGACAGGACGCTGTTCAGGTAGACACGACTTATGTCTAATTGACGATACAATCATAAGACAATCTCATGTGGGCGTAACCTATGAATTCGAGCCAAAGGCCCATAAGATAAAACACTCTTGGTCGATAAACCATGGCCTTGCGCTGGAGGCGCGGAAAGCTTGTAATTTGGAGAACTCTTGGCATTTTGGAGATCGTACCCCAAGCACCAGCAAAACCATCTGTTATATCTCGACCGGAATCAACAGAGTATTAACATATGTTCCGTAAACAGCCTTGGTCGTTGAAGCGAAACGGCCTTGCTAAATATTTTGTGATCAGTCATTTAATGTATTTTTGCTACTACAGTTATCACAGTTTACCATCCTTATGTCCTTGGTAAAATACCCCGTCTACTAAATTATATATATCCAAGCCGCACTCTTCCACGTTCATATAATATACTACCAAATGAGCGCCCCAGTTCTCCAACAGATAGGATATTCAGACAGACTAACGGTGCTTTAATGTGTCTTCTATTTCTATATATTTTAATTCGCACTGTAAAAAGTGCCATCCAGTTACTCTTTCCCTTGATATTCGTATATGGCTTCCATGGGTTCTGGATTCGAATGGATTTTGGAGTATTAAACTGCTTCATCTAGACGGTTTGATAGGACTTGAATTCATCTATATCCACCGAGTTAATGGTTCTATTGATGCTCGTTTGTCACCGCTATTTCGGAGTTCTCAGGTCCAAATTGGGATCTAAAAGCGAGGTGCAGGGATGACCAGGGCATTTTGGTATGGATGGTGAAGCCTCGGCGGTTGATACGAGACGCCCTGTTCTGGCAAGTGGTTGTTAAGTGGATAATTTACCCCCAGCCTTGTCTTCTCTCCACTGCCTCATAATCTCCAGCCCTTCCTCAACATCCTTTTCATTAAATGGCCGTGATTGCCATGTAAGTTCCACCATCTGGCCATTCGGGTCTATGACGTAGATGGAGTACCAAAGACCATCGTGATCGATTTCGCCCTTGACATCGACCCCGCAAGATTTGAAATGGGCCATCCAGTCATACAACTCATCGCGGGAATTGACCGACAGAGCGAGGTGCTTTGTAAAGGCAGGGATGCCATCGTCTGTCTTCGTAAAGTTGTTGGCGAGTTCAAAGAAGGCCACGGCTGACCCGTCCGCTAGGCCATAGAAGCAATGCAGGAAGCTCCCCAAGGTCTCTCCACTGTATTTATCAGGCTCCCCACCCTGACGCTGCGCTCCAAGGAATTTACAGCGCATGACCTCCGTCCAGAATTTGTGTGTTTTGATCATATCGTTGGTAGCGTAGGCATAGTGGTTCAGACCTCCAGGTGCTGCAGCAGTGGAAGAGGCCATTTCGTAGAGAAGAATTAAGAGATTGCAGAGTCCACAGAATGAAGAAGGATGGAATGTGTAATTTGGCTTGACCTAGCAAAGGCCACGGCCTGATTCTTATCTTTATCTGATACCTGGCGGGGCCTTCGCATATTCAGTAGCCCCTCACTGGAAGTCCCGCAGATCACAAAGGCATGGGGTCACCCAGCCAGGCAAAGCCTTGAAGAATTGCCGATTGCGGGGCCATGACCAGCTTGGGTGATTTATGTGCGGGGCCTACGTGTTGCAGTGATGAATCCCTGATAGTACCCGCTGCAACGCCCGGAAATAATGCCGGTATATAACAGGAGCCCGCAAGTTTTAATGAACGGTAAGATGTACACATGTCCGCAAATCTTCTCTCACATACAGAGCGCCGTCTTCACCTACCGATAGACACAACACCCACTTCCAACCGCACCCACCCAGCCCAATGCCTCCCTCTTCTTGGCCAGACAGTGCAAAAGCTGCAGTGAGCATCACATTTGATAATGTGGGTGAATCAAGAGACGTCGGAGTAGGAGCATGGCCGAAGGAGAAACCCGTGGGACAGCATCCGTCGGTACTGGAGGTGACCCCAATTATTCTCGACATTCTTGACAAGCACGACGTGAAAGTGACATATTTCATGGAAGCATGGGGTATTCAGACGTACCCAAAGATGCTCAGCGAGGTCCAGAGTCGTGGCCATGAAATTGGATATCACGCATATCAGCACGAGGAGTGGAAAACGCTGTCACCCCTACAAGAAGAAAAAATTATAAACAAGAGCCTCCCAATAGCGCAGGAGCTTGGTGTCTGTTACAAAGGCTTCCGCCCTCCCGGCGGATCGATGAACGCCGGTACCAAGGATTTGCTCCGTCGTCACGGAATCAAGTATGCTTCAATTCTGGGCCAAGATATCAGCACGGACAAAGATGGCTTCGTGACTCTACCGTTTCAATGGAGGGCTGTCGATGCGTTCTACATCCTAGATGCATTCGACTTTCTTAGAGCTGAATACGGAGAGCAAGGATCTATCTTCACTTGCGAAGCTTTCCAGCAGGCGCTCTTTGACCAGATCGATGCTGCAGTTGAGAAGGGGGCCTTCATTGATATTCTTTTCCATCCTTTTCTCCACACGTCACCCGAGACCCGTGCGGTTATTGAAGCAGTGGTTGCGCGAGTGAGCAACGATCCAGACATATGGTGTGCACCAACTTATGAGGTGGCAGAATGGGCTGCAGCACATCAATAGCAGAGTGGCACTTGGGAATCTAAACCATGTATTTCGTTTCTTCCATATCAGGTATAACAACAGGCTACCTTATAGGCTGCGTCCTACTGTCCTAATGCTCTCCCTGTAGATATCTATCCCGAGCATGTTTTTAAATACCTTGGAGGGCTTCCAATGTGGTCGACCATTCATATTATCTTCCACTTTCTCTCCAGTCTCAATACCCTTAGATTACATTCATCGTTCACATGGATCTCCATGAGCATCCCTTCGAAGACAGTCATCTCAAATCGCAGACTTGTGCCTTCGAGTCACGGTGTAGGATATGGATGCTTCGAGGGGTAGCGGAAACTCTCGAGTAGTTGCTTCTTAATCCTCTCCACTATCGTCGCTCTATACCAACGTTAGCGCTCAAGATTGATCTACTAGGCGAATCTCTGCCGTTGATCCAATAATTTGAACTATAGGCCCCACGTGGGGACTATGATACTCTATGATACAATGTGGTGCCTTTTTCCATTCCAAGAACATCTCTTCCCTACAGAACACCTTCCTATCCATAATCTCAATTACAAATTGCCAAATGCCCGATAATGGAACTAAAATCTACCATGAGTCTAACGTCATGAGTCCGTGCCGAGGTTGGTAGTGGAGGACTTAGTCCCCGCATCCATATACTGTCTGTCTGCGGGTAGAAAGCGGTAGGCTATCCGTGACCATTGCCGCCCCATTCCATTCGGGTGTTGTCCCAACACTGAAGCCTTGCCGACCATTACTGAGTAACGTAATTCCTTGCCGACCAGCGCACCCCGAAACACCAGCCTGATGCACATATGCCTGGACTCCGGATGCAACCATGATGGAAATGCCTGTCGACTAAAATAGAATAATCTGTTACACGGCGAGAGAGGTTTCTAACTGTGTATAAGCCTATATGATGCTATTAGGAGATGGGTGGCTGTCTTGTACTTTCCTGCATCGGCGCCTATACGAGTCTTAAAATACACACATAAAATCTATAACTCCCGGTTCTCTGACTACAGATATTTCATCTTATTCTTCACACTCGCCACACCTCCCAACTCGACCTCCACCACATCTCCATCCTGCAAGAATTCCTTCCGGAAAAAGCCCACTCCCGACGGGGTGCCAGTCATGATGAGGGTGCCCTTCCTCAGGGTCATTCCGCGGGACAGATGACTAACGATGTCGCGCACACCCCAAATCATATCACTGGTATTGGTGGTCTGTTTGACCACTCCATTCACCTTGGTGACCAGGCTCAGCTGCTGCGGGTCTTGCACCTCCTGCGCGCTAACAAGGACATGTCCAATGGGAGCAAATTTATCGAATGACTTGGCGTAGCAGAATTGACCCCCCGACGCCTCCGGCATCTGGAAGTTGCGCGCCGAGAGATCATTTCCCGCGGTGTATCCGAGAACATAGTCGAGAGCGTCCTCTGCAGAGACATTCTTTGCATCTTTGCCGATAACGACAGTTAATTCGCCCTCGTAGTCGAGGTGGGATTGGGCGTCACGGTGGATGGGAATGGTTTCAAAGGGTCCCGCGAGGACATCGGCGGGTTTGGTGAAGACTGGAGGGTAGGTCGGTACATCCAACTATACAACATCGTTAGTCAGGGAAATGGGTTTGTGTGCGTTGAGTGGGGAGAGGCTTACACTGGCCTCCTTCGCGTGTTGTTTGTAGTTGAGACCGATACAGATAACCAGGGGAGTATTCGGGACGGGCGGTAGAAGCTAATTGATCGTTCATTGTGAGATTTGAGTGAGAGTAGTTGCAAGGCTGGTATAACATACATCAGTCACGGTGTATGTTTTGTCTGTCAAAAGCAACTTGTCGAAGGGAGTACCATCGAACTGCTGCACCGTGTACTTATTGCCGTCGGTGTTGATCAGCTCACCATAGTGTGTCTGATCACCGACGGCGAATCGAACCAGCTGTTTGAACGTAGCCATTGAGAGTAGGGAAAATTTGGTAGGGAGGGAATTTGAAATAGAACGGAAGTGTGTGACCTGCACGATCATGGACGGCCGGATTTGTCACGCATTTTGATCCTGGCGATGAAGGAGCGGGACCTATCCAAAGATGTGGGGACAATCGCTGAATGACGGCTGACGCTTATAAACACCCCACCTGGTATCAGAATAGGCCCTACCAGCACTCGACTGTTTATATCAGCAGAAGACATCATTGCTGAGAACCCAACATATCCACATCTACAATCTAGCGAACCACGGAGGATCGCTTCTCGGCACCGAGGCGATGGGAAAGACCTGAAGTCCCAGTCCAGCTGGCTGCAGAAGCGAGAATCACTCCAGCTACCCATATCAATCCAAAGAAGTTATCACATGCCCACTACCAATCGCTAATTTAGATGAAATCTATCATTCATGCTGACTTTGGGTTTCGAATTGCGTACCAGACTAACGAGTTAAAATTTGGTACCGCGGATACGGGCCCAGCTACTGCGTGTATGATGCGCGGAAGGGTCCTCGCAAGGAGGCGCCTTCGAAGCGGCTAGGCTAGAAGACTTCGAACGGTAAGAAGCTGGGAGTCTCCTGACGATAAATGTCCTATAAACTCCGTCACGTTTATAAGGCTCCCGAGCAGCAGCCTTGCCCAACGCCGTTCCCGTGAAAGAGCTGGCGAATGCCATAGCTGCTGGCCCGTTGGTGACGATCGCCGACCGCAAAAGACTTTCCTTCGACGGGATCTATAGCAAGGAGCCCATCCACCACTCGAGAAGATCGTTCCGAACTTCCTGTGCGAGGAGCCACGTGTAAGAAGATTTCTCCGGATTGAATCCGGAAACACCTGCACTTTACAAGTCAAGGAACCGGGATCTTGAGATGCAACGGGAATAAAGAGCTAATCCTGCCCTTCAGCTGTCACATCGGCCTCTCGACGCAGGATATCCAGTCTCAACTCTATTTATAGTCCTCCACCTTCAAGATCGTGCGAACCACTTTGTCAGCATCGAGAAAGATGGTCAGTGAATCCTGACTAAATAGGAGGCAATTGATCTTTTGTTGTGGACTGTTTGACACCGTTCGCCATAACTCTGTAGAATGTTTTTTGGCGGTGTACGCTAAGCCTCCAGTTCTCTGAGTAGACCCCATATTTGACAAGACCGGTCAATCCGTGTTCCAAGTCGTCGTCCTACTCCGCGACATGGATGGATTACGATTGGCTATGGAGCAATGGAGCAGTTTTAGCATCGCAACGAGTCTCTACCTGCGTGCGGACGAGGCGACATATTTCGTCCCCCGCACATTCGTTCAAGCCGGCGGGCCGCACCCGGATCTGGACCTGATTCAAGGCCGTCTGTTCCGGTCAGTCATTGTAGAGGAGTCCGTGCAGTCCCCACTGTGTGTCAATCGTCCGGAGCCCCGCAAGCACAATGGAGAACTCCTGTGGGACAGCCCGGGCGGAAAGATGTTGTTTTCAGGCCCGACCAATTCGTTGCAGCGGCCTGTGACAGCGACGACGAACTCGATAATGTAGCCTGTAGATGAAAGGAGTTTTATTTTTGTGGACTACACAAATAACGTATATAACCTTGAACAGCGTGTATGCCACATATCGGACCCTTGTAATTGCGGCCCGCATCAAGGGGTAGGTCCCGCATGGCGGACGCTTACCCGAGGTATAACCCAGCCCCTCTCCATATACTAAAGTATCCCTGCCATCCCGAGAGGTTTCCTCTATCCAGAACACCTGCTAGCCACCTAATTTACTATTACTCGGTCAATGGCGACTCAAGACTCCCCACGCATGCTCTGGAAGCATCCGGACCCGGAGTCTACCCATATGGGACGCTTCCGAAGGGCTCTAGAGCAGCACATCGGGAAAGATTTCAAGGTCGGTGAACCAGATGGATATACACCAGGCCTTTCTGAAGAGCCTGGGCTAAAGAATAGTCGGTAGGACTACCATGATCTTTACGAATTCTCCATCACACAACCGACGACCTTTTGGGATTTCTGTTGGAAGAACTTCAATCTCATCCATGAGGGAAGTTATACCGCCGTTTTCGATCAATCGGCCCGCATGGACAGTATCCCCCAGTGGTTTACCGGCATTCGGCTAAACTTTGCCGAAAACCTATTATTCTCAGCCAGTCCGAATGGCCCATCCACGAGAGGAAAGGAAGATGCGAAGATCGCGGTGGTTGAGGTCCGCGAGGGAATCTCCGAATCACACCAGTCCCTGACGTGGGGTGAGCTCCGGACTCGCACCGGACGTTTGCTCCAGGCCATGAAGGCCAACGGGGTGCAGAAGGGCGATCGCATCGCCGTTTGTGCGAGCAACAGCATCGACACCCTGCTCGTGTTTTTAGCTTCGACCGCGTTGGGAGCCCTTTTCTCTTCCAGCTCCACGGAAATGGGGGTGAAGGGAATCCTGGACCGGCTCGTACAGATCAAGCCTCGGTTCTTGTTCATGGACGACCAGGCCGTCTACAACGGCAAGACGATCGACCTCCGAGCTAAAATGGAGGCGGTCGTGGATGGAATGCGTTCTGTGCAGGAATTCCGTGGGGTGGTCTCTCAACCGCGCTTTGCTTCCCGGCCGTTGGATATCAGCAAGATACCCAAGGCGCAGCTGCTTGGAGATTTCTTGGCCAAGTCTAGCGATGACCGGCTTGAGTTCACACGCATACCCTTCCGCGATCCCTTTTTAATCGTCTATTCATCAGGCACCACCGGTCAGCCCAAGTGCATTGCGCATTCGGTCGGCGGGGTGCTCATCAGTGCTTTTAAAGAAGGGCACCTGCATTCGGAGCTGGACGAGTCCAGTACGACGTTGCAGTACACCACGACCGGCTGGATTATGTATGTCTCAGCTATTCAAAGCCTTTTGTTCGGATCCCGGGTTGTTCTTTATGATGGCAGTCCATTCATGCCGCGGCTTGAATCGTTGATTCGGCTTGCAGAGCAACAGCGGTAAGCAAAATAACTATATACTTCTGTTGCGCAAAGCTCCAACGAAAGCTGACCTTCCAGGGTAACTCATTTCGGCACATCCCCGCGTTACATGTACGAGCTTCAACGCGCAAATATCCAGCCGCGACAGATTGCCGATTTGAGCTCGTTAAAGATTGTGACCAGCACGGGGATGGTGCTCCCCGACGCTCTGTTCGAGTGGTTCTACGACCAGGGCTTCCCACCACATGTACGGTTGAATAATATTTCCGGAGGAACCGATCTGGCCGGGTGCTTCGGAATAGGGAACTCCCTCCTCCCTGTTCACATGGGTGGCTGCGCTGGAATAAGTCTCGGTATCCCGGTTGACGTCTACGACGCTAGCATTGAAGGAGCTGGCGCGAAGGGAAGGTCTGTAGGGGTTGGCGTCGCGGGTGAGCTGGTAGCCACCGCCGCTTTCCCCAACATGCCTGCTTGTTTCTGGGGCGCAGATGGGAGTATACGGTACCATGATGCCTATTTTGCTCGATTCGACAGTAAGTTCATTCACATCCTGGAGTTAAATCCCCTTCCCATCCCGACCTCCTCTACCTTCATCTTCCTCTTACTCACTGCGAATATCACCAGATGTCTGGACGCATGGCGACTTTGTTTCCATCCATCCTCAAACCCGACAACTATTCTTCCACGGCCGGGCAGACGGCGTCCTAAACCCATCTGGAGTCCGCTTCGGGTCGTCGGAGATCTATCAGGTCCTAGAAGCGGAATTCCCAAATGAAATCACGGACTCACTCTGTGTCGGCCAGCGGCGACCTCAAGATACGGATGAGCGGGTGATGCTGTTCTTATTACTGAAGGCTGGGGCCAGTTTCACACCGGACTTAGTTGCCAGGGTGAAGGCCGCCATTCGTCAGAGACTGAGCAGCCGTCATGTCCCGAGCTTTATCTTCGAGACTGCTGAAATTCCGGTACGTACCTATCTAGACTTGTGATTATGTAGTGGCATAAATCGACGATACTAACGATTCACTGTCAGGTCACTGTCAATGGAAAGAAGGTGGAGCTCCCAGTCAAGCAGATCGTATCGGGCAAGCGGATCAAGCCGTCTGGCACGCTACTCAATCCTGGGTGTCTGGAGTATTATTATCAGTTCGCTCAGGATGAGCGGTTGGTCACTGCGCGGGATAGTAAGCTGTGAAGCCGATGAGAATTTATATACCTACATGAAATGAGCGGGGCTTATTGTATTCTGCATTGTCACTGTTCTACGTACCCTTCAAGGCAGTGAAAGATAAAACGTATCACTACGACCGAATGGGTGGCCCCGGAATCGCAAATCCGCCGTGAGCGCGCTGAATGTTTCGTTCCACCTCTATGTAGCTCCTCCCAGTCAACCCACTCCCTTGTCCATGGTGTCATGACTATTGCTCTGCTCAGGGGGCCCTAGTGGACACATTTTGCTTAATAGCCTGAGGGTCCTGCCTTGCGTCACCGAAAGAGGAGGTTGGAGTGTTAAGCACCGTGGGGCAGAGGCCCATATTGGGATGTATAATAGGCCATTTTGAAGCGACCAACCAATGATGAACCAATAACTCGGAGTGCGGCTCAGTAGCCATGAATAATCTGGTCGTTCTTCGCTATAAGAAGGCTACACTTCTGGAAGCACCAGAGGAGTAAAATAATCTTGAAAACCAAAAGTCTCATTGCTTCACCCATCCCTGCCAGAGAGAATATGTTGTAGCAAAAGCAAACCTATAGCCCTTAAATCCACATAAAGTCTATCAAGCCTTATAGTATAGTCTCACTCCTTTTCAAAGCGCGCGTTCCCAGAAAATGGTCACGCTATTCACTCCCTAGCGTAGCCTTCATCTTCCGGCTCCATTCCTCCCGCTTCATCCGCAGAAGGATCAACGGAATGCCACTTAGCAGACAGAAGAGACAGGCAGCCGTGAACGACCATCCAGTCCCAATGGCATCAAATAGCGGTTGAGCGATGACAGCACTGACACACGACAGGCTGTTCCGCAACAGGTTGTTCACCGCCACACCAACGGTCGATTTCTTAGGGGTGAACTCGGTCAGCATGGTCATGGTCACGTTGGTGAGAATCATTCCACTGAAGCCATAGAAGAAATTTCCGATCAGCTAAGTAGTATCAGGGGCATTAGTCATTCTGTCCATTCTGGAAATGTCGATCAGGGTATAACATGGCGAACTCACCGGCACCAGCCAGAAGATCTGCTTCTCGGCTGACCATCCCCACCACAAAAGCGCACCAGGGAAGAGAATGCCCGCCATCAGGCAATTATCCCCCAACCGGTCTACGGGATGCAGTATCAGCTCTCCTGCATCGTCATATCGGCCCTCCTTGCGCGCCGTGCGTGCCATGATTGCATCCTGCCAGCGACCACCGATGATTGCCCCGAACAACAACCCCAGCCCTCCGGGAATGTAGGCGACCCCGACGGTCACGGGACTCCAGTAGTAGGGGGCCACAGCGAAGGTATCCTCGATTGAGACGCAAATAAGGTAATAAGTCGCAAACACAATCGCTGTATAGTAGACCGTAATTAGGATAGGCGGGTACTGGAGGAGCTTGGCAGCCTCTATGGGCTTGAGGAGAAAGTGGGCGGCTTTCTTGACAGGGCTGCTAGCGTTAGCGCGGTGCTCGCGCTGAGTCTCTGCCAGATTTGTCGCTGTCTCTGGTAAAAAGAAGACCATCACCATGAACACCGTCCAGCCGTAAATTACCATGAACCATTGTGTGCTGCGCCATCCCCACCGCATCGTGAGCGCTCCGCCGATGATAGGGGCAAACATGGGGCCTAGCATGGGTCCTAGCATGAAGGCGCCCATGGCCTTTCCGCGCTCGTGCGTCTCAAACATGTCGGAGATTGTGCCTGCGCTAACGGATTGTAGGGAAGCGCTTGAGGCGCTGCCAAGAAGGCGCATGGCGATGAACATACCGATATTGGGGCTGATGGCTGCTAGGATACAGAAAATACCGACGAAGAAGAAAGATAACAGATAGACGAGACGACGACCGTAGAGTTCGGCGAAGTAGGACCACCACAGGGGTGTGATGGCGACGGCCAGCGAACCGAAGGCAATAGACAGGTTGACAACGGATTCGGTTGTATCTAGGTCGGCGGCAATTTCAAGCAAGCAGGCTGTTGGACGACCAGCACGTAAACCTCCAGTCTGTCTGAAGAAAGTAATGGGGAGAGGATACTTACGGAACAAGACGCCGCTACTCAACGGAACGACTAGACCACCAGCGGCAACGATGAAGGTTAAGAACCACTTTACTCCCGAGCTGTAGGATCTGGGATCCTGTACAGATGGGACCATACACAACCACGGGAGAAATCCTCTGCGCACCCGCACTGGGGCATTAGGATCGATGTTCTCGAGCCCATTTCCGAGCTCTGTCTTGATGTTGGGTTGGGCAAGTGGGTCGATCGTGTCCGTTCGCTCATGGTCTGTCTTGGTTTCCATGCTCATGGTTGCTGGAGCTTCAGGGAAATTGCTTCTATGCATATCTGACATATTGGACGATGTTTTTTATTGCTTTGTAATGATGGTGGGTATAACCTATATCACGAATTTAACGAGGGAGATGCTTGCTTTTCTATTGATATTGAGGCCGAGTGCTTCATACTCTGGGATCCACCTCGGCCGAGTTGTGGGGTCGCCGCACGGTTTGCTCGTACGAGCTGTGGGTCCAGACCACCACTCCAGATAACGTTAGTATGTACCTCGTACGAGGGGATATCCATCCTCAAATCGAGTAGCAAGCAAGAGACAGGGACTGCAGAGGGATAAATTGCACTCCCGCTAACTGACAAAGTCATGGTCACGATACACCCCAACCATTAATGCCGTTCATTGAGAGTGGATGGGACATTCCCCTACTTTTTTCTATTGTCACATCTCATGCCAGGAGTCGATAAGTCGTCTCTACGTTTTATTTCGGCTTTAAACGTTCAATAGTCCGCCCTATCACCGCGAAAGCCCCGGCAACCCCATCCCATCCATTACAATGAAATCCGAGAAATCAAAGTCTTCTAGATCGATCAGCCCCATGAGATCTCCGGTGTCAAATTCCAACCCTGCCGGGCCCACTGGCGGAGCATCATCAACACCCCCAGCACCGGCAGGACCAGCCGGTCTCATAATCGAGGGCTGGGTATCCGACGGACCACCAGGCCCAGTACCACCATTACCGCCGACAACAGCGCCAGCAGCCATCAGAGGCCTTGAATCTTCCGCCGGATCCTGCTGGAATCGAATACGATTTACCAGCCACATGATTGCAGGCCAGGCGCCCGTGGTATGATGGCCGCGCAGGTCGTAGATGGCATTGGCGAGTTGAAGCCCACGCTGGCGAAGATCCTCCATCCAGGCTTCCGAAATTCGGGACTGTGAAGCTCAGAGAGAACGTAGAGAATGAGGTTAAACCCGGCGTGTGAGGTTATGTGCCATTGATAGGGTTCGCAGGCCGGGCTCGAAGAAATGGTGCACCAAGTTTCTACGGCGGTCGCAGCGTCGACGAATATGCTATCAAAATAAGTTTGTTAATTCTTCTCGAACCAATCTCCTACTATGCTCTTCTTCTCGAAGTGGACAGACATGCAACACCTTCTGGCTATAGGAAAGTGGAGGCAGAAGGAGAGGAGGCTCACTTTCGTCTCATAGCAGGACTTATAATTTTCTCGCGATTCTGTCGTGGGATCTGCATCCAGAACATAACCCAGAATTTAGTCTTGAGGTGCTGGCTAAGATCCAAAGCCATCGATTGCATAACCACCCTCTTATCGCAGTACCGAACCAGCTCGTCGAGGCCCCTCTCTAACTCACCTGCAAGCCCAGTGGCGGTCTGCAACAGTTCTTGTAGCTTCACCAAAGATTGGGACTCGTCAATAACCGAACCATTCAAGCCGTTACGCAAACGCTTGCGTGATGCATGCGTTATCTGGATGATGTGCCCGTAGTAACCGGCGGCTGTGATGCGCAGAAGGTAGATGGTCATATCGGTGAATTTAGAGGCATCAGAGAGCCCGGCCAAGGGGGCCACGCCTTCAATCAGATCCACATCGTCCAGACTGACGGGCCGACGCGTATCGAAGTCCGATGCGTGGATTGACGGCGCGAATCCGTGATCTTCCGCAGTCCGGAAATCCAGATAGCAGATCTGAGCCCACAGGCGACGGCGCAGCTCCACCTGTACGACGTCGATCGTTCCGAGTGGTAGGGCTAGGGGGTCCCTGTGGAGTCCCTGAAGCATTGCAATCCGAATGGCCAGGCCTGTCAATGGCCACACTTTGCCCATGTCATCTTCTCTGTATTGCGCAGTCTATAGCCATGAATTAAGATTAGAATAGCGATTGGTTTTTGAATTTCTTTATGGGTTCCTTACCAATAATATCACAAATGCCTGCAGAACCTCAAAGATCCTCGAGGTCATAAATTTTTGGCGCTTGAGAAGCATCTCTGTTCCCATCCGATACCGATTCAGAAGAGAGACTTTGTCCATACCGAACATGGTGGCTACGTCTGTATCCTTTATACTGTTGACAGCCGCGTAGAAGATAGACATGACCAGTGGTTGGAAGGCGTCAATCTTTGTCGGACCGCAGCTCGTACCGCCGTTGCTGTCTCCCCCTTGGGTCGGTGTGTAATCTCGACTGTCAGGATATTGAGAGCGCACGAAGGCGTCAAAGCGACGGGCCAAGCTTGGCCGGTGGATAATGCGAACTATCGGGTCGACATTGGCCAGGTACACATTCAACAGCAAGTAACAATCTTCCCGGGTATCAGGCCAGAAGTTGTTGCTAATGTTACTAAATGATGCCTTGGCAGGTGAATCGGCCTCCCAAATAACATCGTCAAGTGTCCCTTCCGGAGAAGAGGACTTTTGAGATTCCGTGAGAACTGATTGGATGTCTTGGAGCTATAAAGAGGGAAAAGGAAACAGTGAGACTATGTTAGCATTCTGTGCTCTCACTCCTGTTATTCACGCGAGCCGCATGCTGTGAAGCGCACCTCTGCTGCCATCCAGGCCCAGTGTTTGCCGGAAACAAAGTGGGGGACTCCGTTATCCAGGATGAGGGCATCTTCCTCCGATCGCGGATTGTGGGGAGGGGCGGAAGTGTTGGCTGCTGGTGTCGGTTGCGTTGTCGATGTAGACGAGAAGGAGTCCGGAGACGACGAGGAGGGACTGTGCGATGAGGATGCCTCATATGCTTTCGCTTGCTCCATGAATTTGGCCAGTCGCTGCAGACCGGGATTAATTCGAGCCAGTGTCGACGAAGACAACCTGGAGCCACTGTTGCGGCTGGCTTTGACTATGCGATTCGACTCTAGGGGCGAAGCCGGCGATTGTGGCTTTGATACATACGAGCAGGCATGACCGCCTCGCTCACACACTAAACATTGCCGTTGGCGACGGTCGCATTTGACTTTGCGATGACGGCATGGTAAGCAAGAGGTGATGGGGCGAGATAAACCACTTGGGGATGGAGATGGAATAGATTTATTAGGAGACAAATGCGCATCTGAGTAATGAAAGGAGGGAGTATCCGTGTTCATAGCGAAGGTATTGGACTGAGTTAGTTTAGGAAGTGTACTGGTTTAACATGAATGGCGTGTGGTTGAGAGGTTGAAATTCTAATAATTATTAGCAAACGCCAAAAGGCTGCTTAGCTCTAGCGGAATCGACTTCTCCCAAAGAATCTGCTACAAAGATCGCAGATTTAGCAACAAGGTACAGTGCAGCATTGAAATCTGAGTACTACCAGAGCCACTGACCTGCGGAAGGCGAGCTCCGGCGGTACTGTTTGGCGGCCATGTATGGGTAACCCGAACCAATAACTTCCTTGATAGGAATAGTTCTGCCGTTTAAGACGTCACTTTGGTGTATTTCTGTGGTGGCCTTCGTGGTCCGGGTGCTAGTCTTAGTACTAAGGCTCTTAGTAGAGAAAATTAGACTATATTGCCCAGCATGGCCTAGTCACTCCTAGATGTACGGCGCTAATATCAATTAGGTGATTGTACGCACCGTTTGGCCAAATGTTTACGCCAAATAGCAACCGCTTAGACCACTAGCTGTTGAAGTCCGTTTGAGAATACGTGGAGTCCAAGTAGAAGTACGGAGTAGTTCGGGGGGTGAGGCCCCGGGGGAAACCCAATGGCTTTAAAAATAACCCACCCGTTCACCCTTAAAACACACTACGCAACCTATACGTTCCACCAAAATAAACCTTATCAAGAGTTTAGCCCGGCTTAGTATTCTCACCAGAATTGATCAAATACTGGCTATTTGTAGGTTTTCTTGCAACTATATTTGCAACCGTATTGAGATTACCACGCACGATACTGGAACTTGAGTGCTTGGCAACCGGACGGCTCGACCCGCCAGGAACCGACCGATCTTCTCGGACGAACCTTGCTCTGTTATAAAGGGCTGGGGTTGGAGTTAATTGATTGCTGCTGAGGCTACGTACTTATCCGATGGCTGATACATCCAGTCAGAAGCCGCAGCGCGCACTTACTTATTCCCAAGCGATTCTAACGTTGTTTGATTCGACCTGATCTCCCGATCTTCTTGGCAGTTCTATGCGGAAAATTAGTTCGGCTAATCACAAGCTCGATAATTGGTCATTCCAGGGAATACGGAGGCAGCACATGGCCCCCACTTCCACCACAGACTCCGGCTGACCTCGATCATTTTATTAAAAGCAGGGATTTAAATCCTTCGAGTAGTGAGTCTCAACCTGTTATGCACGGCCGTTCGTGCGAAGTGCGACTGGCTGTTATATGCACTATCAGTATGTAACTAAATTGCTTAGGGAGTTTGACCCCTGACGGGACTAAATATAGTGGTCTTGTTGGGCCACTGATATAATTCGGACCCTAAGCCGGTTCGAGAACACAACCAATACCACGCGTCGGAATCGCAGCCCAGGAGTCCTCGAGATCGGATGAATTTTATTATGTTTTCACTGGTATTCTCACGGATTCCCTACTGGAATCAATAAATTCATTGTGCCTTAATTGTGATACAAAAGACATAATTACATAGTTCGAGGCTTTTATGAAGGGCTTCCTTATGCATAAGGTATCATGAACACTTACTAGATGATTTATATTAGCTACTCGTTGAACTCTAATATGGTGTGTAGTATTAACTGACCTTAAATTTGATAATTTAGATCTTTAATGAATATTGGTAACACATGTGAGTTTTAATTTAGTATGTAAATTAATATGGAATTGGGAGCCAAAATGTGATAGGCTGTACGTGCATGCATTAGCCCACGTAAGCCAACAGGTCCTTGTCTTCCAATCCTTCGCAACATCCTCTCCAGTGCTCCACCAACGTCTATTTAGTGTGCCTTCCTGACTCTTGCGTTTTCTTTCCTACAACCACACTATCAACATGGCCATTAACGCTTTGAGTATAGCTATCTCCCTGCTGGTGATTGTATGCATCGCTTTCCCCACCTGGCAACTTTTTCTCTTACAGAACCAATTACTAAAACTATTTGCTCAGTATCCCATAAGCCGCATTGTTTACAATGTGTTTTTCAGTCCATTGAGCCATTTACCCGGGCCAATTAGCTGGTCTGCCACTCGTTTGCCGTTTACCAGGGCACTACTTCGGGGCACGATTGTCCATGACTTCGAAAGATTGCATCGCAAGTACGGCCCAGTTGTTCGCACCGCCCCTGACGAGGTCAGCTTTGCCAGCGGTGACGCTTGGACCGACGTCTACGCGAGTCGGCCTGACGATCGGCAACTTCTCAAAGATCCCCTCTGGTGGCGCAGGCAGCCTGGCCAGCCTGATACTCTGTTGAGTGCAATCCATCCGGCGAAACATTCCCGCATGCGTAAACTACTCGCTCCGGCCTTCACCCCGCGTGCCTTGAGGGTGCAGGAGCCTGTGCTACAAAGATATGCCTCACTTCTTGTTGACCGTATCAAAGACCAAGTCTCAGTCGCTGGCACAGACGGGGCAGTGATTGACATGGGCCCCTGGTTCAATTTCACCACATTTGACATTTTTGGCGACCTCGGCTTTGGCGAGTCATTCAATTGTCTGCAGCACTCACAGTACCACCCCTGGATTGCACTATTATTTGGTAGTGTTAAGGCAGCATCATTCATTGCGGCAGCGCGGTATTACCCCCCGTTGGAAGCGCTACTGATGAAATGCATCCCCCGCTCGCTGCACGAAAAGAGTCAACGCCATTACCGGCAAATCATCGACAAGATCGACCGACGGCTCAGCTGGGAGCTTCAGCGACCGGATATCATGTCTCACCTAATCGATGAGAATGGCCAAGTGGCATTACCACGGGGAGAGCTCAATTCGACCTTTATGATTTTGACTACAACGGGCAGTGAAACGACTGCCACCGTGTTGACGGGCATTCTGACCTATCTAGTGAATCAACCAAAAGTTTTGGGGCGCCTCATCGGGGAGATCCGTGGAAGGTTCGAATCTAGTCAAGACATCAGCCTGTCAGTAGCGGCGGATCTGCCGTACCTCGCTGCAGTGATTCAGGAGGGTCTCCGACTGTGTCCACCTGTGCCGTGGATGCTTCCCCGCCAGGTGCCGCCGGGAGGCAGCACGGTGTGTGGGACTTGGTTACCGGGCGGAGTAAGTCAAGCAAACCCCTGGGGGTCCCTCACCCCCTTTAGATATGATCGACATCAGTATTGACAACGAAATCACGGCCAGACCGCGGTTTCCCTGCAGGCTTACACTCTCAATCGCGACCCCTCTCGGTTCCATGCAGCCTCCTCCTTTTTACCCGAGCGATGGCTCCCGGATGCTTCGAGTAATCCCAACTCCAACTTTTACCAGGACGACCGTCACGCCGTGCAGCCGTTCAGCATGGGACCGCAGTCTTGTCTAGGTCAGCACCTGGCATGGGCGGAGATGAGGTTGATCCTTACCAAGTTACTGGTCAATTTTGACTTCGAGGCGGTAGAGGGGAAACAGTTGCGATGGGAAGAATTGCGGACCTTCTTGTTGGTGGAGAAGCGCCCCTTGGAGGTGCGAGTGCGGCTGGCCCCGGTCAATTGACCCCGTCTTGGTGAGGCTGAATCCTTTTGAGCTTGGTCGAGCTTGTTTCTACGCAGCTAATATAGAGGTCACTTGGCGGTATAACTAACGTTGTCACTCGTAACCGTTCGTTTCAGAACTTCGGCCAGCAAAATCTCACACCATATGGTTTCGAGCAACCTACTCTTCAGCAAATAACATTTCTGTCTGAGGATCAGGTATCTAATAACTGTGTTTCGGCAAATTAGAGAATCTCATTACAACGTCTTACTTCGCATCTCTATCTGGCAAAATCCAGGGCCGAATGGCTGTACTGAAAGCATGGAAGTTCTCGCTCGGAAGGAGTGCAACCCGCGCAGCAGCTTCCGCTCGTTCAAGTCTGTCTCCCGAACAGGAGACTTACCTGTGTCGTTCCTGGAAAAAGAGTTGTTAATCAACGACCTACTCTCCGCGTCCTCCCCGGCGTTGAACATACTCTTCGCGACCCAGTTTCACACAACTATCAACCCGGCCATGCTAGACCAGGCTTTCAGAGAATCTGTTCAGGAGTGCGAAGTCTTCCTCTCGCGCTACAAGCAAGTCCAGGGGAAATTCATCAGAAACCTCGTCTATACCCCGTCTTCCCTTCGCCACTTTTCGACAAATGAGCTATCTATTGACGAATTCCTGCATGCTGCCCGGAACTACCAGTTTGACCTCGCCAACGAACAGCCCGTACAAGCCCTTCTGTACCAGCATTCCCCTACAGAATCCACTCTCGTGATCCTAATGTCCCACCTAGTCGGCGATGCCATCACGATGAATGGGTTCCTCAACAGTCTCGCCGCCCGCTTCCACGCCATGTCCAGACAAGAACTCACCGACCCAGGTTGCTTTTGGGCTGATCTCCGACATACATACACCTACATAGACTGGACCGCATGGTCCACCACTCAGGAGCACGTCTCAGCGGAGGCCTTAGTCTTCTGGAAAACCTATCTCGACCACCCGCCCCTTCAAACTGGTCTGAACCAGTCCCGTCGACCAAGGTCCTACACCGGCGGGTTTGAGTCCTGGACCCTCCCGCGCGACCTCTCCAAATCCCTCCTCCACGCCTGCACCGACCTATTCGTGAGCCCGCATCAACTCATGCTCACTGCTGTCGCGCTTGCCACGCAAGCCCTCCGACCCAGTCAGGACATCGTCATGATGGCCCCGTACTCCCTACGCACGAAACCCCTGACCGAGGATCTTGCCGGTTGTCTGCTAGACCGTGTACCAATTCGCGTCAAGTGGGACCGAACCCAATCGCTACTTGAGCTTCTGCGAGCTGTCCAGCAGTCCTCGCAAGCGGCAATCGCTCACGCTGTTCCCTACCCCTCTCTGTGCAAGGGCCTGCACCTTTCCCCGACCCTCACAGAGCTCCTTGCGGAGATCATGGTGACGTTCCAGCCTCCGGCCACCAACAAGGCTGGATGTTCCTTCGGCCAGCCGTTTTCCCTCCGTCCGTCTGCCGCCAAGTTCCCCATCGTGTTCGATTTTTCCCACAGTCCCCAGATGAGCCAATCACCGTGGTTTTCGAGCACGACGACGCAATCCTCAGCGGTCAAGACGGCGAGGCTCTATTGTCGGCGTTCCAGCTGGTCTTGCAAATTATTGGCGATAATCAAACAGCCCACGAAATGGTGGAGACAGTGTGCCGTGAGGTGCGTACACCTGAGAAAAGACTCAATGGTCTGCTGGAAGATCAGGTGTCGGAGTCTTGTTCCGAGGGGTCGAACAATGAGTTCCATGAAGAAATCGTACGGAAGGTGTTTGCCACATGTCTTGGTGTGACGGTGGAGGATGTGGGCTCGCATACTTCGTTCGTTGATGAGATTGGGGGTTCTTCGGCTGATGCGGTCCATCTGGTGTGGTTGTTGAAGGAGAAAGGCGTAATTGGAGTGGATGTGCGGCAGGTGTTGTTGGCGAAGACGCCCGCAGCGCTCGGGAGGATGGTGAGGTCTATTAAATAGCTCGTGTTGTATGAGTGGATACCTCCTCAGCAACTCCTGCTCGCCCTTCTGGTTGGTACAGGAGTTATAATAAATACTTTTATAAATCCTACCTTACCAAACAATAGGAAATGTCGTGATTAAATCTGGCTTTTTCTAATCATGTATTCATTGTTATAGCATTGCCACTGGACGGCTGGACCCCTGTCTCTGAAACACGGACTAATAGTTTGACAAATCGGGAAGACTATAGGAACGAAACAGTTCACAAGGAACAAAATGCATCACCTAAGTAATAAGCATACAATCCCCGAACATATCAAACTCATAATCACCCTTCTCCTGAATTTCCTTGTAGCTTCTCATAACAAAGTCGGTCCCCGCGAAAGCAGCCGTAAGCACAATATGACTAGACCGCGGACGATGCAAATTGGTAAGCAGCACATCCACAGCATTGAACTCAAATCCCGGGTAGATATAGAGATCGGTCCATCCATGCTGGGGCTTGATGGTACCCTTGCGTCCGGTCTCACGGGTAATGGTCTCCAGCGTCCGCATAACAGTCGTGCCAACAGCAATGACACGACGACCTTCGCTTCTTGCTCGATTCAGCTGCGCTGAAGTCCTTTCGCTGACCTCGTAATACTCCGATCGCACCTTGTGTTTTTCAATCTCCTCGACGCTGATGTGCCGAACGGACAGAATCTCAGTCGCCCCCACATGCAGAGTGATGTAGGCGATCTCAACACCCTTGGCGGAGATTTCAGCGAGGAGCTCATGAGAGAAATGCAGTCCAGCCGAAGGGATCTCGAGAGAACCGGGCTTTTTGGCATACACAGAGCGGTAAGCATCGGGCTTTTCTTTCCAGTAAGTAGGGTTCAAATGGATGTTTTCGTCGAGCCGGGCTCCGTATTGATCGAGGGTTGGGAGGAGCAGCTCAGTTGGGGTGAACTGGACCTTCCACAGCTTATCGGGCTGCTGGTCAAGGAGCGTGCATTTGAGCTTCTCCTCATCCAGCGAGGTCAGGGTTTGGGCTCGTTTGAACGTGACCTCGGGCTTCTTGAGCTCAACGATGGTGGTGCCGTCTGGCTCGTGACCGTAGACGGTCAGTTGCAGGGAGTCCTTGTTGCCATGCTCAAACCACAGCGTGTTTGACAGCATGTAGCTATCGTTCAGCACGAGGAGGTCTCCGGGGCGGAAGTATTCTCCAATGCTGGAGAATATAGCATGATCGATTTTAGAGCTTTCGCGATCTAAGACAATCATCTTTCCGCTATCACGGGTTTTGCCGCGAAGCTCAACAGGGTCATGGGGCATGACCTTGTAGTCAAGATCGAACTCGAATTCAGCAGTCTTCATAGTGATAATAAAAGCAAGTAGGTAGTTTAGATAGCTATGATATGAAGATATCCAATATATTTGCAGAAAATAGCAGCATGACTAGGAAGGCGTTTGTGCCCTTTTATCTCCCATCCCTGCTAGGAGTGCAACATTACTCGCACATTGGAGGCCGAAGGGCATGCAACTGTAAGATGCCCCAAGAGATGGATAGAGATTATCTCGCTATGCAACATTACTCGTACATCGTACATCGGAACATATGCGGGGGAGATTGTATGTGTTGCTTCATCCCATCAAGACCCATAAAGCAATCAAGAACAGGTGACGCTATTGCCACACCGGCCAGGCTTCCTCCACACCAGCCTTCGCTCATGCCACACCCTTTGCCTACTCTGGGAGGTAAGGCATGGGGTTTAAATATATTTAATCCTTTGAACTATCCTAATAGACCAAATTCCTGCCCAAGATCCCAATTCTAATGTCCAAGGCTGATGTGGAAGAAGCCTGGCCGGTGTGGCAATAGCGTCTCCTGTTATTGATTGCTTTATGGGTCTTGATAGGATGGAGCAATACTACACATACACGGGCGGCACTCTGTAATCCGAAACCAGGCATGTAATGCTGCTTCAATTGCACCCAGGATGATGTTTGCTGCAGGCCGGCCCTGCCCTGATATCATCGGTGTGGCCTGCCATGTACAGTCTGGAGGTAAGTGCTTGTAGCTCACGTTGAAGGTTCTGTTGATGCATCTTACTTAACAAGTCATATACACATCATCCTTGGTTCAAAACGGGAACTAAACCGGCTGCGGGTATCATACAAATTGCACTGGCGAATAATAAATGTCCGCGGAGAATTTCTGGAATGCGAACCATGAATCATTCCGGCAGTGTCACTGGAATCCTGGACATCCCTCTTCAATCCCCGCATCTAGTCTGCTCATGTCGAGTTTTTCGGTGACTCTGTCATCGCAGGTGGAAACTCTGGAAAACTAGGCTGCTTCTGAATGTCACTGTATCCGATCAGAATACGCTTCTGTGGGTTCTACGACCAGCCATGGCCTTCTCGACCACAGTCATGAGGCGCACATCCCAGCATGCTACTGTAACATCCATAAAGACGAGCTGTACATTCAAATAAGAGAGGCAATACCAGCCCACATACAAACTGTTACATGCCCATTACTGACATCAGGTTACTTTCACCTCGATAAGGGTTTCATTATAGCTATGTGAAGCATCAGTGGGAGGGAAAAGTTCAAGGGGTGCCCGAAAAAGGTATCCATTCATAGATTTCGGGGACGCACAGCTGCTGCAGCTTCCCAGAAAGTCCCTTCTTCTCAAGTCCACTAGCTTTTACAGTCTAGACAGGAACCTTGTGAATTATTCTTATCATGTCCTCAGTCAAAACAGCTGCAAGGGATTCATTGATACTGCCCCTTGGGCTTCCGCACCACCGAGCCACCACAGACAAATACGATATCGATTCCAACGACAATGGGAAACCTTTAGCTGACGAGCAGCATAATACCAAAAAATGTCTTCTTGTAAATGGCCACCAACAAGCCAATTCCAGCTCTCCGTTCATCTCAGAACGTCCTATCGATCAGCCCCGGCCACTGAAGCTCATCTACATCGGTGCAGGCATTTCAGGGATTGTCGCTGCCATTCAGTTTTTGAAGGCTGTACCTCACTTGGAACTGACTATTTACGAGAAAAATCCCGAACTAGGAGGGACATGGTTCGAGAACAGATACCCTGGCTGCGCATGTGGTAAGCCTAGCAAGACCTCAGCTAATAAGTTAGCAACCCATTACTGATTTATTGTACGAATAGATGTACCATCCCACACTTACCAGCTAAGTTTCGAGTCGTGGACTGAATGGAGCCACTTCTTCTCCGGATCAGAAGAGATTCTCGAATACTGGAAACGTGTTGCCCAGAAGTACAATGTTCGGAAGCATATACGGTTCAACCGGCGATGCGTCGAAGCACGCTGGCACGATACTAGGAGCTTATGGACTGTTCAGGTTCAAGATGTACTTACTGGGAATATTTTCGAGGACTCAGCTGACGTGTTGATGATTGGAACTGGCCTGCTGAACGAGTGGAAGTGGCCTTCGATTTCTGGTCTGCAATCCTTCAAGGGACAGCTTCTGCACAGCGCTAGCTGGGACGAAAGCTGTGATCTTAAGGTGAGTAAAATAAGACACTTCCTTGTATACCCATAGTTTTGCTAAAATCTCGGACTATAGGGAAAGAATATAGCCGTAATCGGCTCAGGAAGCACCGCAGTCCAGATAGTACCCGCAATTATCGACAAAGTCAAGTCCATGGATCACTATGTCCGTGGAGGGACATGGATATCCAACCAACATGGCAGCCCCCACCTTGCTGCGCGAACAAACAATCAAGCTATGAATTTCCGATATACAGAAAAAGAGAAAGAAGAATGGCGGAACGATCCATCATCATATCTCAAATACCGCAAGGAACTAGAGCTTGAGATTCAGAGCCAATTCGCCATTTCCCAACGGGATAGCGATGTTCAGAAGACTGCGACAGCAAAGCTCCGAGCAGGCATGCGGGATAGACTAAAATCGAAACCAGAACTACTGGACCTCCTACTACCCGATTTCCCTCCGCTTTGCAACCGATTGACTCCCGCTCCTGGGTATCTGGAGGCGCTAGTGTCACCGAAAGTCAATGTCATCGGTTCACCAATTACCCGTATTGATGAAGCTGGTATCATCACTGCAGATGGAAAACACCGCCCCGTGGACGCGATCATTTGCGCAACCGGCTTCGAAAAGAACCTAGGGGGCAACTTCCCTGTCATAGGCTGTGATGGCAGCAGCCTACGTGACAGATACGCCAGTCGGCCAGAGACATACCTAGGTCTTTGCACAGATGGATTCCCCAATTTCTTTCAGTCCCTGGGACCCAACTCTTTCCAGGGCGCAGGGAACCTGCTCATCATGATAGAGCGCACGCATGCGTACGTCGCACAGATCTTATCGCGAATGGCGTATGGCAATGTCGGGCAGGTAGAGCCAAAGCGAAGGCAGGTTCTGAATTTTACTAATTACGCTGAGAAGTATTTTGAGCGGACGGTCTACAGCTCCGAATGCAACAGTTGGTACAAGTCGCCTCCACCCGGTGCGACAACTCTGCAACAGCGTAAAAAGGGTCGGGTTACTGCTCTTTGGCCTGGAAGCAGCCTTCACGCTATCAAGGCACTTGAACATGTGAGGTGGGAGGACTTTGAGACCACAGCATACGATGGTAATGAGTTTGGATGGTTTGGAAATGGTTGGGCGGAGGTGGAGAATTCTTCGGAGAGAGGCAATCCGGATGCAATGGCCTGGTATCTGAACAAGGCATTTTTTCTTGATGCTAGTTCCTAGTTACATGATGTGAAATAGCCCTTTATTTCAGGAGCAGTTCAAACAAAAGTTTTGGTCTCAATTTCTACGTAGACAGAATTGAACAATGTCTTATTGTCGGAATCAACCCACTGGCTTCATCACAAAAGCCGAGGGGTACAGGAAAGATGTTTGTAACACGGCATATATTATAGGTATAAATAGACAGACATGAATATTTATTGCGGCGGATCGGCCATTTCTCCACACGTTCCTATGCTTCGCTTTCACCACTAGCGATGTTCCGCTTCCTACTTCCAAGCCATCTCTACTGCCGGGGCTGACCGTTCTACTGACCGCTAAAAGCGGCAGAACCTAGTCGACCTCGCTGGAAAATTTGCGGATATAGACGGATATAAACGGATATAATTATTAGCAGCTCCCAAAAGACTAAGTCGGCATTCTGTATGTTGTTTTACCGCCTTGGGGTGGGGTGGCAGAATCTGATATCACGTAACTATGGGTGGCCTTGGTGACACAGCAGGATCTACCCAGCATGTTCAATATATACCCCCGCCATGACCCGTTGACATACATGCTTCTGGCCCTGGTAGGACAAAATTCAGGGTTGGGCTCAAACTGTCCAAGGAAGCATGTTTGAGGTCGTCTAAAACACGACCTTAATACTCATGTCTACATGTGCACCAGTGGTCACAATTGTGATACACTTACATACAAAGGTGGAGAGCGTAAGTATTGACCTACATATGTCTAAGGAACTCTTAGCTCCAGTGGGGCAGCCCCCACTAAGCCATTGTCGTCGGTTTGGTGGACATTGGACCTTTAGACCAAGCGGAATGGTGATGCTGTCCTTGAATATGTAGTATGTAGTGTGGCTGTATGTATTTCCAGTCCATTGTGTGTGTAAGTGTTCCTACAAGACCCTGCATTTAACTGCTTTAACTGCAAGCGGATATCGCCATGTAGAAGCTCACATTGCATTGTCTGGCTAGTGCTTATCATATCCCAACCCCACGACCTCACCTACCGTAAGCAACAATTACCCACTGAAGGCTTATAGGATGTATCTAGTGCCAGCCTCGTGAGAATTTTGCCCCTATTCCGGATCATACAAACGTTTTACGACCCAGTGATAAAGAACGATTCCAATTACAGACTAACTAATTGACTAAGTACTCATAACTATATAAACCGCAGTCATCAAGCAACAACCATCCAGTACTTCCCACTAACCTCCCCTCCTCCCACACACGCAAAGAAACCAAAAAAACCATGTCCACCACCACTACCATCCCCAAACCGACCATCGTCCTCATCCACGGAGCATGGCACACTCCAGCCAACTACACCCCCCTCATTACATCCCTCCAATCCCTCGGCTTCACCGTGCACTGCCCCCACCTCCCCAGCTGCACCAACACCCGCCCCCCACCAGCAACCTACGCCGACGATGTCTCCGTCGTCCGCAGCCTCGTCACCTCCCTTGTGGAAAAGGGCGAGCGCATCCTCATGCTCATGCACTCCTACGGCGGCGCCATCGGCACCGATGCCATCCAGGACCTTGACCTCCCCACCCGCGCATCCAACAACCTCCCCGGCGGGATAATCCACCTCCTCTACCTCTGCGCCTACATCCAACAACCCGGCCGCTCCATCTGGGATGTCGTCACCGAAGTAGGCATGACAGCCTTCTGGCCGCAGTTCGTCGAGAATGCAGACGACGGATCTACATTCCCCGTTGATCCGGTGCAGCTGTTCCTGGGTGATTGTGATGAGGCGCAGGTTGCTGAGGCGGTGAAGCACCTCGTAAGGAGTCCGCTGAGTGCGTTTCAGACGCCCGCGGTGGGGGATGCGTGGAGGAGAGTGCCGGTTACGTATGTGACTACGACGAAGGATTATTCTGTTCCGAGGGTTTATCAGGATTTGATGTTGAAGAGGGTGAAAGCGGAGGGGGTGGATGTTAGGGTCGTGGAGGTGGATACAGCGCATAGTGTGTTTGTTTCGAGGTTGGGGGATGTGGTGCGGATTGTTGAGGAGGCTGTGCGGGATGGGAGGCATGTTTGAGGGTGGTTAGGAGTTCAATTATAGGCGAAGAGCAGTTGGTTGTTGGGTAGGGGAAAAGCTAATGTTTGTTGATCTTTTGTATAACATTACTTGTACTAGTGGTAGTATAATGTGACGGGGGCCGATGGTAAATAAAATATATATATATCGCTAGATGCTAGTATTTTGGGCTTAATATATAAGACACCATGCAGGACCTTTGAGTATCGATATTATATGTATTGTAATCGAGACTCATCATGATGGGCAAAAATTGAGTACTAGTACTCTGGTCTTGTGCTTCAATATGTAAATCGCTTGCATGGCTAGCACCAAAATAGTGAACCCAGTTAAGCAGCTACTAATAAGACATTAGTAGTTGGAGTGATAGCAGTATCACAAGACATTCATTCTTGGCATTTATCCATTATGATACATAAGATAGAGGGCCTGCATTAACCGGGATTTGAGATTATACTACCTCTGCGTCTCATCCTCACTATCCTTATCCTCGGGCATAGCAATCGGCAATCCCGAATTTGAAGCAATCCTCTTCCGCTCCATCTCCACCGAAATCTCGTCCAGCTCATTCTCAATATCCAGATGAATCCGCAGCCCCTTCTCAACAAGCACGTTGTACACATGCCTGAGTTCATCGAATCCCATACCGTCACCCTTTCTACTATCTTGCGGATACTGCTCCCGGATCACATCCGCCCGGAGATGAGTAAACGCAAGCATAATAAGCTCCTTCGACCAGGGGCACGCGCGCATTCCGCGGTAGAAAACGTTCTTAGCCCGTTGAATGTCGTTACGAGACAGTTCAAAGAGTATGTAGAGTTTCCAGATGGTGATGCTAGAGTGGCCAGTAGAGGTGTTGGATCCTTGGTGGACGGTATCGCCGATGGCTTTTTCGAATGCAGCGCGGACAGAGTGCATCGTTGAGCCGGCGTAGGTGGGGCGGTTTAGTTCGGTGTATATGGAAAAGAGGTGTGTCGTTATGGGGACTGGGGCGGCTGTGAGACTGTCTGTGTTGGTGTTGATGCTAGTGATGTCTCGTATTGTGTCCCGGACGCGTTCTTCGATGCGAAACCGCGATTCGTTCCAGGCGAAAAGGGAGAGGAATATGGTGTTGTGGCGGGAAATTGATATGCTTTCAGATAAAAGGGAACGAATGTGTGAGGGTTTGTAGGTGCCGCTGGTGCGCATGTGGTGATAGAGAAGTCGGGCTCGGGATTGATGAAGGAGTTCGGTCGTGAAGCTTGCAAAGGACTTGGACTGGTCGGGTAGAGAAGCCAGCCTGGCAAATGCATTGTGATAGTAATCCAGGGGCCTGATTAGGTCGAGGGAGTTGGAGAGGTACGATAGAATAGCTAGGCAGTCTATGCACGACGTGAGGACGGTTGGCTTCTCGTTTGCAAGACCAATTTCCTGCGCTTCGGAAAGATACTGGAGGGAATGTTAGAGTTATGAAAGAGCGGAGAGCGTGTGCATCTGGTAAACTTACACTTTGTATCTTTAGTAGATTTGTCGGACTGAAGGAGGGGTGACTGGAAGCGTCGGAAAAGACCTTGAGATTGATGCTATTCTGAGGCATCGAAAGGAGGAGATGAGATGCTTGAGTTGCATTTCCAGCATCCAGAAGCTCCCAAATCCAGGTGCGCCATACCACAATACTGTCCACCCTGTCGCGATCAGGGAAAGACTTGCTCATAGAGAGGGAGGTCGCCCAGACATGATCGGCAGCTGCTTGATTGCCAAAGCGCCGCTCTATTAGAGCATAAGCATTGTAAAGTCTCAGGCTAGATGATCGCTTCTTGAGCAGCGCTTTCGCGAATTTCCTCGCATCTTTGCTTTTACACGCGAGTTCAAGAGCCAGACCATATTCCGCAAGGTCATCATTCTCCGGATTTGCTTCTATCAACGATCGGACGACCCTGCGGACCCACACAGGGTCGACGTGGGATTGTGAATTAGAAGTGGCGTCGCTCCAGGTTTTGAGGGCATAGAACCAATTAGTAGGGTCAGCGAACAAAGTATCTAGCGTAATGATGAAATTGTGATGAGGGAAAAGAACAGGGGATGTGACCGTGGGCTCAATGCCAGCAGCCACATCAGGGAGCCAGTCCGCAAGTGTTGTATAGAAACTGCTTGCAAATTCGTTCCTCACGAAGCCATCCCCATTCCAGCGACTCGTCGTACCCAAGTTCTCAACCGATGGAATTGGTGGGAGATGACAGTAATGGAAAAAGCTATTAATCAGCACTTCTGCTGGGGTTGCCTGCCAAGCCAGCGACAAAATCTCTTCAAGATCGGATGCGATGATGACTCGGTATGGATCATCTTCCTCCGAGTCATCAATACTGCGGGCTGGCAATCGAGCATTGACGGTTCGCTCCTTTTCGCAGGGTGCCCAAGACGCAAATACGGCGCCCGAGTTGAGTTGAAACCCAGGCTTCTCGCTATGATTGGCATTTTGCAGGACATTCTCATCGTTCTTCCACCCTTTAGCGCCCGCCTCGCCAACGCGGGAGACCTCCGACTCCCAGAACTCCAAGAAAGCTGGTATCACCTCTTCTGAGCTTTTGCTTCCGTCAAGCGAGTCAGGACGGTAGAACGTCAGCTCCAGAAGACCTTGCCAGAGAGCCGCAGCATGCTCCGTAAACCCAGCTTCCCGGATGAATAACGTCAGCCTAAGGAACAAATACAAGTGGACCCGGGTCTTCTCGGGTTTCTCCAGAGAAAACTTATTGAGTCTCAAACACTCCAGAAAGGTCGCAAAGCACCGCTCATACGTAAAACCCAGAAACTCGGTTTGACGGAAGTCAAGATATCGGATCCAAAGGCTGATGTACTCAGAATTTGACTTCAGTATCGTCTGCCACTGAGCAGACAGCTTCTTGGTGTCCCAAAGTTTTGCCCCTTCTTCGAGGAGGCCGAGTAGAAGGCGATCCTTTGCAGGGCTCGATCCGACCTTTTTCAATGCTTTTTCGTAGAGCGATAGCTTGATGTCGGCTAAGCCCATCTTTTCTGCGTACGTCAGAGAGCCAGATTCCCTCTCCGATCCTCGAAGGAGCGACTCCTGATGGTCGATAAGCGTGAGCCACGCGGAAATATCATCAGGGCTCTTTTCAACCTTCCTAAGTAATTCCGCATTGCGCTGCTTGATCTCCTGGTCGGGGTCACTCCGGCCATCCTCTCTATCCGAATCTGTACCGGATACGGCTTCAACATCACTGGGCAAGTCATCCTCTGGCTTTGCTTTCCCATGAATCGAACGATACGCGTGTTCTTCATCATCAGAGTCGACTTCTAACAAATCCAGGCGATTTCCTTTGCTGGACACACTCAAAGGAATATAGTCCAGTAACGTATCTGCGGCTGCATCCCCCAGCGACTCTGGCCGTATCCGAAGTAGCCGGGATCTACCCTTGTCTAGTCCTGCGAGGAGATTCTTCGCCTTTTTCTTTGACTTTCCCCCTTTGTGTTCGTTCGTGACGACCAACACGTCCTCGACAGCGCTTTCTCGGTCGATCTTGTAGCTGGAAGGCAAGCCCAAGACGTTGCCTCGACCGACGCGATAATATTGTGGAACGCTATATCTATGTAACGTGCCATATATCAAGTTGTAACGATCGCCCTTACTATCAATCACATACAAATCGGAGGCTTCGTCGGGAGGATGCTTCACGGTGCGGGTCCGGGTCGACGTAGATGGTCTGGGAGATTCGGAGGTGGGCTCCCGGCGGCGATGACTTCCTTCATTTCGAGAGGAACGATGCTCCCGGTGGCCCCTGCGACGCTCTCTGGACCTCGAGCGATCATGATGGCTTCTATGTCTTGATCGATGTCTCGAGCGGTGGCTAGACTTCTCCTCGCGGTCGGAGATGTCGCGACTGGGGCGCCCGGGCGGCCGATCAGCTTCGGGCGGAGGTGCTGGCCGAGGCTTGAAGCTGGCGAAGCGCGGGATGTTTTTCTTTTCCTAATGCAAAATTTGAATTAGCATGAGGCGAGTAGCTCAAGCACTTTATTCGATTGTAACATACCTGGGAGCCAGACGAATCCATGCTCCTGGAGAGATGAGGCCTGCCTTTGATGGGGAGCTTCAACCAAAGGCGGCGGCGATGGTAGGCTGGAAAAACTGGATCCCGCTTCCCGCACTTTTTTCCGGTTTGGTTCCAACGGCCTCAAAAAAAAGTTGCTCCGAGCCTTCGAGATCTCCACGCTGCCCGGGGAATAACTGCCCGTCAACGCTTGGGGTTTTGTTAACGTTACCGGCTGTCGATAATTGAGGGATGGATGTGATTTGCAATTCTCGATAAACAGATTTTTCATAGTCCAACATGGCCTCGTCCCTCGCCGCGCAGCTGTCGCAGATTGCGGCAAAGTCGACAAACCAGTTGAACCTCAAAGCACAGCGCATTGCGCACTCGCAGTCTCTCATCTTCGACTGGAAGACCGCCACTACACAGGATTTTGATACCGTCTACCAAATATGTTTCGAAGGTTTCCAAGAGTTATGTCAGCTCGATCCTCGTTTCGCGCCGTTCGAGCGCACCATCTTCAGCGAACAGAGCAAGGCGGAGGACCGAACAGAGATGAACGCGGCTCAGAATAAGGAGCTGGACACTGTTGTGGAAGCATTTCTTGCACTTGTTGGAGGTCACTTGCTGCTCAGCCCGGCCGTGAAGGCCGTTGACTGGCTTATTAGGCGCTTCCGGTAAGACTGGCATGGAAACTCGATCTTCGTTCAACCAGCTAACAGGCTTACAGTGTGCATGAATACAACACAGAGTTCACGATCCTCACTTTTCTCCCTTACTATACCACCCCACTCTTCCTCAACTTGCTTTCGATCCTGCCCGAAGACCTGACACCGACCTTCAAAATCCTCAACCCGTACAAGAAGAGTCAAATCAACCCTCCACGCCACCCTCTCGTTCACAGCGCTACTACCAATAAACACTTCCTCGCCGCTGTCAACAGATACACCCTTCAAGTCAGCAAACAGCGGGCGCATCATCATGCGCTTCTGTCGTTTTGGGCGGGAACTTTGACGGAGGCAGTTGCTGGGATGTTGGACTCATCGCGCTCTGGTCGGCGGGAAGTCGAGAAGGAAAAGCATGAGGATGTTGTCATGAAGGTTCTTCCGGTCCTCAACGATGGCTTAGCTTTGAAGGATGTATCCGAGCTGGTCATTGGCTGCTACATGGTTTGCGTGGTTCTTGCACAGAAATCTTCTCTCCAAGACAAACTTCTCGATGGACTGATGGAGGCCGTTGCCGGATCATGGACGGACGAGACTAAGGAATCGGGTTTGATTTGCTTGTCAGTCCTTGCCCAGAAGAAGTCTGATGCCAGGATCCCCAAGCGCGCCTTCAAGGCAGTACTTCGCTTGGAAGATCCCGTGCAGCAGCTCTCTGCAATCTCGGCACAGTATCCGACATCCCACTTGCTTCTTGGCCTGGTTGCGGGATGTGTCGATGACCTCTCGAAGCAAAAGGATTTGTCACGTTTGGATTTGCTGTCCCTCTTGTTCGAGACCAATCTTTTGGGCGAGCAGGAAGCGGGCAAGGCCATGGCTGTGATTCTCCAGGCCGTCAGCCATGCTCATACCGAGGGTGTGCTTTCTTTGGACGCTCAGACTCATCTCGCAGAACTCGTGCAACACTTTACTCAGTCCGAATCTCTCCAACCCATCTTCCAGAAAACGATCGAGGACTCCTCCATCGATGTCGCGGCACTCGAACATAACCTACAGACTGTGATCGAATCCGTACCCACCACCACACCGGCCATTGGAGACGTTGAGATGGAAGATGTTCAGCAGGAAGCCGTCGAAGACAACTTCGCCTCTGTCCTTGAGTCAGTGGCAGGCAAGAATTTGGAATCTTCGGCTCTCAGTGCGCAATCGATGCCCGCCTACGAGAGCCTGGTGCAGACCTTCGCACTTGCTGTCGGTTCCCAGGAGAAATTGCAGGCTTTTGTCGACTTGCCCGCTCTGAAAAAGGCAGATGCCTCAACATCGCCACAGTACCTGTCATTCTTTATCCGCACTTTCTCCGGCTCGTACCCCATCGGCACCAGGATCACCGCACTGAACCAGATTTCTTCGCTACTTAATTCCGCTACTCCCGATGTCGATCTTCAGGCACTCCTACCCTTCCTACTGGTGGCCCTAGCAGATTCCTCGGAGAGAGTTCGGCGCGAGGCTGCGGGAGTTCTAGCCGCAATTGGAAGCCTGTACAAGAAGAGCAAGAAGGGTGACGCTAACGTTTGGGCACGCGACACCATCTACGGCAAACAATCGAAGAACGTTCAGTGGATCGCCGGTCGCGATGTGCAGAAGATTGTTGAGCGCGCTTTCCTTCCCGGCCTCGAGGAATATGTCCTTGATCAAGCCCACATCGGCCGGGTACTTGAGGCTACCTTGCGCGGATCTTCGACTTCTGACTCTGGCGCAACTGAATTGAAGAAGCCGCTTCGGTTGAGTCTCTTCACCTTCCTCTGCTCCCACGCTGTCCAGATGCCACTCTATGCCCCGAAGTTGTCTTTGCTTAAACTTCTCAACCGCGTCGATAAGGCCGGCGGAACAACCCGTACGAAGGAACTTGGACCGTTCTTGAAGACGTGGCGGGATATGAAGGAGCACACAGCCAAGGATGTCTGTGAACGGGAGCGTGTCTCTGTCGCAGATGTCGACCGCGAGGCTGTCATGACGGTAACCCCCAAGGACAAGGACGCCATCTCTTTGCTCTTGTCCAATGTGAGCCCCTACTCTGATTCCCTACGCCCCTCTTTCGTCACAGCCATCTTCAACCGTATGAAGGCTGTTTGGGGGACTGTTGCGGAAGAGCTGCAAGTCGACGCCGCAGAGAAGCTGTTCGAGATCTCTCTCGAAGATGTTCAGACTCCACTGGTCCACGGCTGCAGGGATGTTCTTCGCAGTGTTCAACTTACCGGTTCTGTGCTTCTCCAATTCCTTCGGAAGATCCCCGTGTCCATCACGGACATGGAATCTCTTGGACCGGCGCCCAAGCGGAGACGCACTAGTCAGAACAACATGGTCGCCATGACCATCAAGGATGAAGCCAAGCTCAGCCAGCTCATGGAGAAGATGACTTTCATCCTGGAATTGGTTGACAGCTCGACCCCGGAGGCTCATCCTGAGTTGGCCGATGGATTGTTCCAGACTTTGGCTGCACTCCATCACTTCAAGTCCCAGATCCAGTCTGGCTTGAGCTACCTGCTGAGCTTGACGCTTGGCAGCCTCCTGGCCATCGTCAACCGGTCTAAGGGAACTGCGAAAGCACAATTCGACACCTCTGTTATCCGGGCCGACCTCGTTGTTGACTGTGTTCGTACCACCGACAGCCCACAGGTACAGAACGCAGCTCTTCTGCTCGTGGCGGGCTTGTCCGTCATCGCTCCTGAATTGGTCCTCCACAGCGTGATGCCCATCTTCACTTTCATGGGCTCTAGTGTCCTGCGCAAGGACGATGAATACTCAGTCTCTGTGATTGATCAGACAATCGATCAAGTCGTCCCGGCTCTCATCCAGTCCCTGCGCAATCAGAAGCGTGATGTTGTGTCCGGAACATCCGAGCTGTTGCTCAGCTTCACTGCTGCCTTCGAGCACATTCCTTCTCACCGCCGCCTGCGTTTGTTCCATGCTCTGGTCACCAAGCTCGGAACTCAAGACTTCTTGTTCGCTGTTTTGGCCATGCTCGCCAATCGGTATGCTCTGGATAAGGATGTTCTGATTCTGATGACCGGCTTGGTCTCTGATGCTAGTGCACCGGTGGAACTCAACGTAAGTTATTTGATGTTGCATACAGCTGTCCTCTTCGTTACTGACTCTTCAAATAGACATACAGCAAATTCTTGGACCTGGTCAAGGATTCCCTCAGCTCCAAGCCCGGCATCTCCCAGGTTCTTCTTGGAATTGGTAGCGACGATGGCCGCGATCCCCAGAAGGTTGCAGTTGACTTGCTTCGCGCACTGGCTTATCTGTTCAAGCACTCCTCTCTGAAGGTGAAGATGGCCAAGGACTTTGCAACGGAGGGAGACAAGGTAGTTGGACAGATCCGCACGCTGTTCTCTCGCATCCTGGAACAGGTCTTGGCTATCGGCGAATCCATGCAGAACGTTAAGCCCGTCAGCCAGGCCAGCGGCGATGTGCTCAGCGCTCTGTTTGGTACCCTGTCGCTTGTGGACTTCCTTGATACGATTGAGGTGCTGCTGCAGCGTCGCAACGATGAACTGCGTCGTAAAGTTCTCCGACTCCTGGAAGGTCGCCTGCGTCAGAACCCTGAACGCGACGGTGCTTCGCAACACCGCATGCTCGACTTCCTGCCCACTTTGGTCAACATCATCCAGTCCTCGCCAGACATTCTCCTTAAGCACGCTGCAGTGGCCTGCATCGATCGTATTGCCGAGAAGTACGGCCGGAAGGAGCCTACCAAGGTCATCCATGCCGCCCAAGTTGTTGCTAGCGAAGCCTGCATTGGACAGGATGATGAGCGTATTCGTATTATGGGTGTCTTGTGTCTTGCATCTATGGCCGAGGTTCTTGGAGAGGCCATGATTCCCGCGCTTCCTGACGCACTCAGCCGTTCCCTTGCGCTGCTCGAGCAGAGTTTGGAAGACGGAAAGGAGAATGCACGCCTGCACGACGCCGTCTACTCTTTCTTCTCGGCCCTTTTCATCCATATCCCCTTCATGGTGTCTGGCTCTCACCTGGATAAGATCCTTGTGCTCTCCTACAAGTCTGCTGTTTCTGAAGGTGTTGAGGACGAGAGCCGCGAAGAAGCTCTCCAACTCATGGCACGCAAGGTTGATGTCGCTGCTACATACGCTGCCATCGACCGTAACTGGCAGCACGCTGTCAAGGCAGGCCCTGATGCTACAAGGGAGACTCTGGGCGTCGTTAGCCTCGCTATCGAGAAGCATCCGAAGTCTGCTACTGTCAAGAACATCGCAGTTCTCACCAGCATCCTGTTCAAAGCATTCGATCTACGTCGCGAACAGGTATCACTGGATACCCAGGCCACGTTCGAATTGTCTG